TTAAGAAGATCCATCTACTCTCTGGATGAAGTAAAGAACCACTGAAAAGCAGCTTTTGGATAGTCAGCCCAGAAGAAATCAAGAGGTAATTTGTAGCAACTCTTTTCATTTTCATCTTGTCCGTGAGCCCAAGCCTAACCCTTACATTGTTTAGGTTTTCAGATATAATCAGCACACCACGAAGATTATTTTAGTGCCCACTGGTCTGCAGCCCATCCTTCCTACAAATGTGTTTTGCCGTGGCTCTTTCACTATACAAACTGTCTTGTGACCATGCAGGCAAGATGGTTACTTTGAAACACGAATCTTCCATCTTCCCACCTGCCAATAAAGCTTTTTCCACCACCATGGTCACCTCACTGTGTCTTCTGAACAGCCCTTCACATGGAACCTGACCTCAGTTAGCACAGTAATTATGAAATATTCCTTGGGTGTCACCAGTGCTTCATATCCACTGTCACTGCCCTCCCGTTTTTCATCAATTTGCTCGAGCGGGCCCAGTAACATCTCCATTGTGAGACTTATTGTGTTTGGTGTGCGGACGCGATACTCTCAGTAGTTTGCCGGGCTCTCTGAGAGGGGCAGAGGAATCCAACTCAGGTTGACTGCGTCGGCCACATGTGTGCAAGGCAAATGCCCTACGGCTGTGCTATCGCTCCAACCCCATATTACTTATCATTAAGTGATCCTCGTTTTCAGTTACAGAAGAAAAATAAAGTGTTTGATGCTAACCTCAACTCCATTAAGTGCTACATCATAAAATGCTAATTTCAGCATTTTAAAGATAAAACAAATGGAAGGATAATGCTGTAATCGTGCTCATAGTGCCCTCTAGTGGACAAAGCTGGTTTCAGGACTCACTCTTTAGTCCCTAGGTTCCCATACTGACCAGTATCATTCTGAGTCATAAGCTAACAAACTTTTACTTACAGAAATCTGTTTATTTACATAACAAGCTATTGTCATCCATTTATATACTACTATAGAACAAGAATAGTTGCAATAAAGTCTCATAAGGTCAATGTCACTTTACAGTAAAAATTTGCCAAACTCTAGTGGATGAGGTGGGGGAGGAAGCTGTGGTTAGAAGGGCTTGTTTCATTGACGAGGCTGGGAAACCTTCCCTTGAATGCACACGAACCGCAGAGAAACCTCTTTAAACTTTGCTTAATTTCAAATTTCACTAGTTCCAGACTATTTGTCTAGACTGGAAACTTTTCACCCAATTGCTTAAATTAACACCTTATACACTTACATCCGGACACATTTTGGGAACTATTGTTTCATTAAGTTATAAAATGCTTAAAGAATTATCTTATTGCGGTTTGTATCTCAAGTCATACCAAGGAAATATTCTGTCTGGCTACACTCGTATTCATTTACCTACCTACACTGGAGACACATTTCCTTACCCATTTGTGAGCCTCAGAATGTAATCATTATGGGCATGTGCAACATTCAAGTTTAAAATATTTTCCATCACATTCTTCGGTTGAGAACAAATAAACACATCCAAGTCCTCATGTATATCATTTCATTTCTCTGGGGCAAATATCAGAATGTCACTAAACAAAGAGTGGGGAAGCCTGACACCCACACAGATACAACACACAAAAAAAATCTCATGAATGGTCATAATGAAATATTTAGGAAGTGACATACCTTTAATATAATGTATCCACTTTTACATTTACAAAATTTCTTTCCATTAATGACAATGTAACATTGGCTCAAAGGTAATTTGAGAATGGAACTGTCCCAAGTGGTGTGAACACATTGTGTGAACTGTTAGCTTCACTTCCCTCTTGGTCCCACACATTTTTCCCCTAAACTTCCAAGAAGGAACTGCCCCCAAGTGTGACTTTCCCAAAACGTGGGGGAAGGAGACTCAGAGACACACTCAAGAACCTTAACGTCCAGGGCACAGGCAACCCACTCTCAAATCAGGAGAGCTCGGGGCCCTGGTTTTCAATCTTCAGTGTTTTCAAGCCTGGAAAACAGAATCCTTTTCTTGTTTCTTTTTGCCCAGTTCTTTCCTGGAGGGAAGTTCGACTCAGAAAAGAAATAAACTATTACAGGCGAGGTAGTATGAGAAAACTACTGTAAGAAAACGAAAGGACTAGCTTAGGAGCATAAGAAAAGGCAAGGGGGTCTTGTGGTTACCAACTTACCAGTGGAATATGGACTTTGGAAAACCAGTTTCAGCCAGCTACTGGGGCATGCATGCTCAGTAAACAGAGCCTTGGCCTTATTCCACGTCTCTCCTCAGTAAGTCTTAAATACATATTAGCTTACACCCTCAGCCGCATAGATGCCAATGACACAAGTGATGTATGTAACCTTTGTACACATGTGCAATGTAGCACCATCTCAGTCATACTGTTCATCCCCAAACCTAGGCACAGAATCCTCTTAGCTTGCTCCTTAAAAACAAACTAACAAAAAAACCCGAGGTGCTGAAAGGTGATCAGGTAAAGTATGAAACTGTGAGTAACACAGTGCAAAAACAAATATATATATTTTTAAAAAGACAGGAAAAAAAAAGAGCCTCTTTTACCAGCAGACTCTTGTACCAGTCTCTCATAGTAGCAGGAGGCAAATGGTGAGGAAGCATTGGTGGAGGGAAGTGGACACTGGTTAAGGGATCAGTGTTGTAACACTATGCCTGAAACCTAATCAGGAATAACTAATTTCATAGTGATTTAAAGAAAAATTTATTTTAAAAAAAAAGAGAGAAGAAAAAGAACCTCCCAAACTGGTGTAACTTCCCTGGAAAAGCACCCAGTTCTCAGTACTATAATACTTTCTTAAGTAGTCACTCTACAACTATCTACACTGTCACTCTGTCCTTGGTTTCTCCCTTCATACCCAGGAATAGGACAGTTTTCTGACTGGTCAGAATTCTCCTTCTGACAAATCAAAGAACTTGCTTTCTTTGGATAAAGGCTACTTTCAGAGCTCAAGCTTGCCACAGTATCACAGGTCCCTGGGCATGGTGTTTGGCCATGCTGAGCAGACTCATCGGATCCTCCCCTACCTCTGTGGCCACTCCAAGTCTTATCTCCAGTGACAAAACCCAAAGATGCCGCCAAAGGAACAGGGGCTGGCCCCTGTGTGGCTTCTGAAGGGCTTGCCCACGCGGAGCCCATCACATCAGCTGTACCCTTGGTTCCCTTCTATCTGATGAGTCTAGAATGAAAATCCCAATCCTTCATTTTTCACTGCAGGAAGACCTCCTAAGAAATCTTCATCATTGAATTTCTCCCTGAAGGTCACCCATTATCATTGAATATGGTACACCAAGGGTACCCTGTATAGTATCTAAGGACCATTTTTCTACTCTTGACAGAAATATCACCAAATGACACGACTGTAGCTCTTTGTTGCAGTTAGATTTTGCAGGACCGGGGATGTAGCTCAGTGGTGAAAACACCTGCCTTGCATATGTGAGGACCCGGATCTGACTGCCAGCACAGGAAAAGACAAAACTTTGAAACTTACCTTTTGAAAACAGGCTTTCTTGTCAATAAATACAGGTATTATTTTTTTAGGGGTCAGGACCACCTCTGGCAGTGCTCAGGGCTGACTCTTAGCCTTGCTCAGGAGACCATATGCAGCACCAGAATAAAATTAAAGTCAACCGCATGCAAAGCAAATGTCAAGTCTCGTTCTTAGCACATCACTTGATCAGTCCTGGAGGCCCCCGAGCACTACTGGGGTGGACCAGGTAGTTCCCAGTATCATGGGGTCAGAACAGCAACCCTACCCTTGGACCCTCACATTGAAGTATGAGTCTGGTTGGTCAAAGATCACTAGAAGAACCCCTGGGCCACCTGAGCATGGCTTGGGAGCACCTCCATTCCCATGCCAAGAAATAAAGTCTCCAACAAACTGCCTAACAGACTTTACACACTTTAGGTACCTACAGGTAATTTGAGCCTAAGCACGTGACACTTCGATGGAAAGACTGGTTGAATTTGCAGAATATTAAGGGGCCCAGTGCCACATCTCCTGAACTTCTGCCTCCCTCTGTACCTTGCCTGGGAAAGTAATTTGGCTGACAACCCGGGGCCCTTTTGTGAATGGAGGCAGAGTCCTCTGCCATAATAAGGGGCCTAGTGCCATGTTTCCTGAACCTCTCTCCCTGCTTCTCCACCCTTCCAGCACAGCAGGAACGCTGCAAACCCAATGGGGAAGACACACAGAAACCCACCAAACTCAATGAGTGAAAACGGTTAACACAGAAGGCTCACCCAAAAACCAGTGTCACAGGAGCCTCTTTAGACAAACTTGGGGCCAGAGTGGTAGTACAGTCGGTAGGGAGCTTTCTTTGCATGTGGTCAACCTGGGTTCGATCCCCATCATCCCATATAGTCTCTAAGGCTACCAGGAGTAATCCCTGAGTGCAGAGTCAGTAGTTAGCCTGACAATCATGAAGTGTGGCCCCAAAAAACAAAAACGGGGGGAGGGACTCATAACTTCCCATCACATAGCACTGAGCATGGCAATTATGGTTGCCCTCTAAGAGATTAAGAAAGTTATGCTTACTCCTAGTTTGCTAATCTGGGTAGGTCGCATGCAAGGCAAGCAGCACCTAGCACCCCTTATACTTTGGTTCACTGATAATCAACTATATAAGCAGCACTTTGCACAAACTTTACTTTTTCTCAGCTCAAGTCTAAATTACCTAGTCTGCAACAACTAGTGTCAGAGTTTGCAATGTGTTTTTATAATAGGATTGATATTCACTGATCTTTCCTCCAAGATATAAAAGGATTATCCAAATTTATAACCAAATATAGACACAAAGACATACTTAAGGACAAATTTCATTTGCTCATGTACAAGATACCCAGGATATAGAAATAAAGGAAACAAAGGCATTAAGAGTTTTTAAAGGAAATAAGTCTGGAATCTGCTATAATAATATGGTTGGTATTAATTTTAAAAAATATGCTTAGTCCTCAGATTTTTAAAAAAAGTGATATCCAGTAAATCTGTACAGTGAATAGCATGTCTTTATTCTATTTACATTTGTTATAAATATAATACATTTCTGAAAAGCTTATTTTTAATTAACTAGAGTAGATTTATATTTTGAACAGGTCAACTCAATTATTAAAGTTACATAATAAAGAATATGATAATTTAAATGACCAAGATCTCATATTGCGAAATAGTGCACTCTAGGCTGAGATGAATGAGGGGAGAAGGTGAAACTCCTTTCAAAACTATATTCAAAGCATCAGAAAAAATTTTTTGTCTTTTACAAACTTTTGTATAAGCCAATGGAATGACAAGATACTTAAGTATGATGACTTTATAAACCAAAGTTCAAAACTGATTTGAGAGAACAGTGTGAAGCGAGACAAGAAAATCTGTTACTTTACACTCTATAGAACTTCACAGTAAAGCTGGAATTTATAGACTAATGGCTTAATAGGAGTATTGCCAACAAGGCCTTTCTTTCCTCAAAATTATCTCTGTAAATTCGTTAAGCATTGATAAGCTGTAACAGCTGACTTAGACACTGGTTTTTAAGACGGGGCTTAATAAGGTGCATGGATATGTTGAAGTTCTGTATAATGAGCATGTAAATTATTTACCAGGATTTAAAGAAATACAAAAAAAAGAATGTTAAGCATTCTCAGTTCAACGTGCTTTACATCATCAACAAATTGACAAGTCAAAGTATTTTGCAGTGATCTGACACCAACCTCCATAATAAGTTAGGTATTTCAAATACTGCTGTAAAACCCATTTGGTAAAATAAACCAACGTAGATTTCAGTACAAATTTGCAAGCTGTCATTCATTATTGATAATGATTAGGGCAGGCATAGAATTCTGCTGACTTGTTTCAAACACCATAACTTGGTCTGATAACTTGGCAAACACCCTAGGAGTTCCAAGATTATAAACACCTGTATGGACAAAGCATGCTTTCAGCTGTAAACTACGAATCTCCTGGCTTTTAAGTTGAAGTTTGTATTGTGTTTGTCCAAGCCAAGTGAATGATCCATGGATTTCCAATGCTTCTGGGCTAAAGGAAGAGGAAAATCGTTAGTCTGGAGAACTATTTATTCATAAACTATTTTTCCCGATAACATATTTTTCATCTAGCAATTTATGAGGTCAATATATTAATAATGATTAAAGGCTACAGCTATTAATTAACCACTATCAACAGTTACTACTTTTTAGTACAACACACAGAGTAAATTATCCCTTTACTATTCACAACTGTAGCTAATAAATAAGAGAACTTGCAATCAAAACTTAGTTTTTAAACATTTGATCTAGACTGAAAAATAAATGTACTTTTTAAAATGTTTTAAAATGCTTGTAACACCGAAACTGTTAATAAGCATCTACCAAAAGAAATAAAATTCATTTAGAATACATATAATCACATAGAAAATGTATTAGGTATCCAGAGAGCTTACTCAAAATCTGTCTGGAGTGCTATAATACATAATTTTTCCAAGCTCCCTCCAAAATTTCTCAACTCACAAAACACTTCAAGTTCTTAGAGTATCAGCTATAAGAACACAGGGGTTGTCCTTTCTCAGGTATTATTTTATAATTAGAAGGAACCCCCTCCCCCAATTTTAAGCTACAAACTTGGCTTTTACTTTTAGTATTCTTTATAACAAACCTTTAAAAAGATTTTTTTGTGTGCCTAGCAAAAATCATTTTCTGTCTCTGGATAAGCTTTTCCTTTCCTTACGCTTGCTTTTCGGTTCTTTACCATTAAAGCTCTTTAGCTTTTCTGTAACATCAAAGGCAAAGATGAAGGGATTCCTGGGTAAACTACTTCCATTTGCATAACTTTAAAATATTAAACTGCCCTCAAGTCACTTTAAATCTTAAACACAAGATAATCTTGCACCAAACGAATCTTTACCTTGTTGTTTTATGCCGAAGATCAACGATCACATCAACATCAGCCTTTGAACAATTGGAAAGTAAAAGGGTAACTGGAACTAAACAAAGGCTATAGAAAAAAAAATTTTTTTAAAGGTTAGATGCTAATTTTCTTTTTAGCCAGCTTTCTAGAAAATAAGCTCTTTTGTTGTTTGTTTTAGGCCACAATCAACAATGCTCAGAAGCTACAGGAGTAGGAGTAGCTGTGCTCAGGGGTGCCACGGTTCAAACCGGGGTAGGCCATGTGTGACACAAATACCTTATCCCTGAACTGTACTTACTCTGACTTGAAAATAAACTAAGACTATGGAAAGGGGCTGGAGTGATAGTACAGTGGGTAGCTCATTTGCCTTGCACAGGGCTGACACAGGTTCGATTCCCAGGATGCTGTGTGGTTACCCAAGCACCACCAGGAGTGATCCCTCTGCGCAGAGCCAGAAGTAAGTCCTGGCTGAGCACCACCCAGTGTGGAGGACACCTAAAAAGAATATGTACTACACATAGCATAAGCCCTTAAAAACAAACTGACCGGGGAAAATAAGAATTTCAAAGTAACAAGACAAGGTATGTAAATAAAAAGTAAAATTTACATTACTCCAATGCTTGAATACTAAATAGCAAAATATATACAGATTTACAAAATCATTTTAGTTTCACTATAGCCAATCTCCCCCCCCCCCACCTTAAATTTTTATTAGTGAAACACCATGAGGTACAGCTGTAGACTTACAAATTTTTGTTCTTGGGTTTCAGTTATACAATGATCGAATACCCATCCCTCCACCAGTGCCCATTCTCCACCACCACCAGTCCCCAGTATCCCTCCTACCCCCCTTCCCCCCATCCCACCCTACCACTGTGGCAGGGCATTCCCTTTTGTTATCTCTCTCCTTTTGAGTGCTGTGACTTGCAAAAGAGACATCAGTGGCAATCTTGTTTGGACTATAGTCTACTCTCATCATGCATTTCCCATCCTAATCTTAAGAAATAAAGATTTCTTAATCTTTATTTCTTAAGAAATAAAGTGCTCCTAAGCAAGTTATTTCCCCAAAAAAAACCCCTAAAAGTAATTTTAATTAAGAAAGATCAAAAGAAGAAAAAACAAACCACAAAAATTCCAACAACTAATTTTCTTCATACTTACTAAAAACTGCTTTATTTGGGGAATTTGGGAGAGTGGGGCACTTAATTTTCTATCAAGTTTGCATCATCATGTTTTGGAGCATTATGAGAATTACATATACACAACAAATTATGAGGAAAGCCCTTTAGTAATCTAAATTTTGGCATCCTATCACGTTTAACTGAAACTCAGGAGAAAGAACAGACAGAAGAGGGCATATAAATAAATTGGTATAGATTTCAAATCAAAAACATTAATGAATCAACATTAACAACCTATGCACAAATGAAGTCACAAACGAAGTCTGATTATATTCTGTTAAAATCCAAATGCATAATTTATAGCTCAAAGCAAAAAAACTTGAGTTTTTTGCTATTCTGTTCTGTTTGATTATGAAATATGTGAATACTGGCCACATTAATATCTATGCTAAGAAGGAAAGTTGACATGGTGATAGGATTGGTGCTAGAACAATGTTCATTATAATATTAAACTCAACTATCAATAATTTTGTATATCTAGCCTAATAAAAGATTTAGAATTAAAACACGTTTATAAACAACTGGTTAGAAACTTGAAAACTTGAAAAAATGATGTTAAAGGATAGACCAGAGATGACTTCCCATGTTACAATGGGATGTGCAAACTGGTAAAACTACTATTTAAATACACTGTAAACACTGTCCTCCTGGTGTTCATCGATTTGCTCAAGTGGGCCCAGTAATGTCTCCATCATGAGACTTCTTGTTACTGTGTTTGGCATATTGAATACGTCACAGGTAGCTTGCCAGGCTTTGCCATGAGGACGAGATACTCTCGGTAATTTGTTGGGCTCTCTGAGAGGGGCAGAGGAATCGAACTTGGCTCAGCCAGCTCGCTGCATGCAAGGCAAATGCCCTACTGCTGTGCTATTGCTCCAGCCCATTTAAATACAAATTTTAATATTATTATGGTCTTAATTTTTGTTGAGCATTTTCTGTTATACTTCACAATGGAAGGGATTAATACTAATTAGCATCATTTACTTCATCAATTTGTTTTTCCTTCTCTAGTACTGGGGATCTAATCCAGGGCCTCATATATGTCAAGTAAGTACTCTACCACTGAGCTACATCCCTGGCTTTTTCCTATTTCTGATGTTAAACCCTTATGAGGTCCTAAAATTGCCTAGCACTCCTATGTGGTTTTTTTTTTCATTTTTTTTTATTATTAGTGAAACACCATGAGGTACAGTTGTAGATTTACAATTTTTCGTGTTTGGGTTTCGATTATACAATGATCAAATACTCATCCCTCCACCAGTGCCCATTTTCCACCACCATGGATAATATCCCTCCCACCCCCACTCCTATATGTTTTTCATCACTTATTTCTCTTTCCTTCAGCAGCTATCATCAATGTGACCTTAAAAAACTTCTTTATTTCAATGCAGTCTCTATAAGAATATCCATGACATTTTTAAAAGAAATTGACAAAACACTTCTGAAATTCACACGGAACAATAACCCCCCAGGAAGAGGTAAAGCAATCCTTGGGAGGCATCACCTTCCCCAACTTCAAACTGTACTACAAAGGGGTAGAAACTAAAACAGCATGGTATTGGAATAAAGACAGACACGCAAACTAGTTGAAATACAGCTGAATATCCTGAGATAGAGCCTCATATATATGATCACTTAATCTTTGATAAAGGAGCAAGAATATAAAGTGGAGCAAAAAAGCCTCTTTAACAAGTGGTGCTAGCAAAACTGGACAGCTACATTCAAAAATATGGACTCAGACCTCTATTCAACGCCATGCACAAAAGTCAGATCAAAATAGATTAAAGACCTTAACATCAGACCCAAATCCTTAAGGTACATGGAAGAAAATGTAGGCAAAATCCTCCACGATACTGAAACTGAATCTTTCTTCAAAGATGAAATGCCACTGATTAAGTGAAAGCAAAGATAAACAAACGGGACGACATTAAACTAAGAAGCTTCTGCACCTCAAAAGAAACGGTGACCAAGATACAAAGACAGCCTAGGGAATGGCTAAAACCAATGCTAAAGGCATTGGTTAAATTCTACAAGAAAAAAAATCAAACCCTATTAAAAAATAGGGCAAAGAAATGAACAGAAACATTCTCAAAAAAATTAATATGAAGCACATTAGATAGCACAGCGGTAGGGCGTTCGCCTTACACGCGGCCAACATGGCCGACCCGAGTTTGATTCCTCCGCCCCTCTCAGAGAGCCCGGCAAGCTACTGAGAGTATTCGATATGCCAGACACAGTAACAACAAAGTCTCCAATGGAGACGTTACTGGGCCCGCTCGAGCAAATCGACGATCAACGGGAGGGCCTTTACCTTTTACCTTTACCACATTAAAAAATGCTCTACATCACTAAGCATCAAGGAGATGCAAATCAAAATAACAATGAGATATCTCACACCACAGAGACTGGCACATATCCAAAAGAACAAAAGCAACCAATGCTAGCATGGATGTGGAAAGAGACTTTCCCTCATTGTTGGTGGGAATGCCGACTGGTTCAGCCTTTTTGGAAAACAATATGGACATTCCTCAAAAAACTAGAACTTGAGCTCCCATTTCCGGCTGGAGTGATAGCACAGCGGTAGGGCGTTCGCCTTACACACAGCCAACATGTCCGATCTGAGTTCAATTCCTCCGCCCCTCTTGGAGAGCCCGGCAAGCTACCGAGAGTATCTCGCCCGCACGGCAGAGCCTGGCAAGCTCCCCGTGATGTATTCGATATGCCAAACACAGTAACAACAAAGTCTCCAATGGAGACGTTACTGGGCCCGCTCGAGCAAATCGATGAACAACGGGAGGACAGTGACAGTGACAGAGCTCCCATTTGACTCAGCATTACCACTTCTGGGAATATAATTTGGGGGGCCAAAAACACATAGCAGAAACACCATCTGCACACCTATGTTCACTGCAGCACTATTCACAATAGCCGAAACAACCTGATTACCTGAGAACTGATGAATGGATAAAGAAACCATGGCATACTAAACAGCTGTTAGGGAAAATGAAGTCATGAAATTTACCTATAAATGTATGGACATGGAGAGTATCATGCTGAGTGAAATAAATCAGAAGGAGAGGGACAGATATAGAATGACTGCATTAATTTGTGGTATATAAAAATATATATATAGTAGAACAGGGAAAACAGGGGATAGGCGGACTGGTCAATGGTTGGAATCAACCACAAGTGTGTGTGGAGTGGAGGGTAGGTAAGATAGAAAAGAAACCAGTATGACAATAATAGCTGGGAATGATCACAGTGTATAAGAACTGAGTGTTAAAAGTAGGTAAAGGTATCAATATACATGATAACCTTTCAGTTTCTGCATTGCAAACCACAATGCTTAAAAAGGGAGGGAGTGAAAAGGAGGGTGAAGAAGGGGGGGGAGGGAAAGAGAGAGAACTGCTTGCCATGGAGGCAGGCTGGGAGTGGGGGTGTGGGGGGTGATGTGAGGGAAACTGGGGACACTGGTGCTGGGAAATGGACACTGGTGGAGGGATGGGTGTAACATTGTATAACTAAAACCTAATCATGAACAGCTTTGATAGGGTCTACCTCAGGGTGATTCAATAAAAATAAATAAATAAAAAACTTCTCTACCCTTTATTCTTTTATCTCTCAGATTAACATGGTTAATCTTGATCATATAAACATTCTCTAAAATACAGGCATTTTGCACTGTGGAAATTCACTGAAAAGTCTCCCTACTTTCTTCCCCCCATTTCCAACAGTAAAAAAGTCTCCTTTTCAGTCCAAAGTTAAATCCTGTATATCCTTGGTGTATAACTTTCCAACTATTAAGGATACCATTGCTCTCTGTATTTCTCAAATTTTCTCAAGACACACCACACCTTATTAAGAAACAACAACCTCAAAAGATAGTTTCTGTTCTTTTAGGAACTTTACTTTCCACCCATTCTCTTGCTATAGTGAATTTCCATGGCCCCCATATAGTAGTAACATTCTTCTCAAAAATTATGATCTTCCCTGCCACAGAGGTAGGGTGGGATGGGGGATGGGGGGTGGGAGGGATACTAAGACTGGTGATGGTGGAGAATGGGCACTGGTGGAGGGATGGGTATTAGATCACTGTATAACTGAAACCCAAGCACAAAAATTTGTAAGTCTACAACTGTACCTCATGGTGTTTCACTAAGAAAAATTTAAGGGAAAAAAAAATAAAACTCAAACGCACACACAAAAATAAATTATGATCTTGTTGCCAGCTCCAATAAACAACTTTTTGGTTCATTCATTATTCTGACCATTTGGTAGCACTTTAAACCCTCTTTCTCCTGAATGCTCCTACCTTAGCTTTGGAACTAACCACATCCTGACAGTCGTCTTTCTAAGCATCGATTTCTGAGGTTCATCACTTGGATGCCAGTGTCCTGCAGCATTCTCCTTTTGTTCCTTCCAACCTTTGCCCAATCCCTTGCAAGTGAGCACCATCAAAATCTGTAGCTTCAAATCACTTACAGAATAACCTAGAAGATTTCTCTCTGTATTTCACTTTTTGTTGTTTTGTTTTGTCCACTCAGTGGTGCTGAGGGCTTACTCCAGGCTCTGTGATCAAGGGAACAAAACTAGTTCTGGGGATTAAGCTTGGGTCAACCTCATGCACTGGACGGGCCTAAATCACTACATAATCTTGGGATCCTTAGTTGTTTCTTTGATTTGGAAGAGGAGGGAAGATGAATCATGAGTCACATCCAGTGGTGCTCAGGGTCAAGTCCTGGCTCTGCATTCAGGGATCACTTACGGTGGGCTTGGGGAACCCTATGGGGTCCCAGGGGTCAGCCACAGGCAAAGCAAATGCCTTAGCTGCTACACTATCTCTCCAGCCCTTCATTATTTTCTTACATATGCACATTACCAACATTTTGAAGTATCACCGATTCAAGATGATTTTTATAACACTACGTTTATAAAAAGTTATTAATGTAACTATAAAAAAATTCACCAAAATAGGGCATTTGCCCTGCACACGGCCGGACCCAGGTTCAATTCCCAGCATCCCATATGGTTCCCCGAGTACCGCCAGGAGTAATTCCTGAGTGCAGAGCCAGGAGTAATTCCTGAGCATCGTCGGGTATGACCCAAAGAGAAAAAAAAAAAATTCCCCAAAAGATTCTCACTTAAAAAATTTAATAAATCTTAAACTGACTAGATGTGAATTCTTTGGTGATCCTTTATTAATAGTCACCCCTTAAGTGTAGTTTCCAGGTCAAAACAAACAAACAAACACTGTCCTCCCATTGTTCACCGATTTGCTCGAGCAGGCCCAGTAACATCTCCATTTTGAGACTTGTTACTCTGTTTGGCATATGGGCGAGATACTCTTGGTAGCTTGCCGGGATCTCCGAGAGGGGTGGAGGAATCGAACCTGGCTCTCCCGGGCTGGCTGCACACAAAGCAAACACCCTACCACCGTGAAAAAATGAAATAAATATTTTGTTTTTGAGAGCCATTTTTTAAAAGCTGTTCTTTAAAAAATAAATATTAAGCGGGCATGGCACCTCAAGAACTGCTCGGGGGAGGGGGGGTTCTAGGGAGTCTCCCAGTAATTCTTGGTTGCCCAAGTCCTTTGGTGCTGGGATTACTAGGCACTCTAGCAGTGTTCAGGGTTGGCAGAGCTGTGTCTGTGATACCTGGGAGACCAGGTGGTATAAAGGATCACACCAGGGCTGGTTGCAAGGTCACTGGTATACTCTCTCCAGCTCCTTTATGGTAATTTCTGTTGATAATATTAATTCTGAATTTTCTCTTCAATATTTGGAATAATGTTATTGTCAAAATAAATCTGTGTTGGAGAAAAATTTTCATAACAAATTTAATAAACTTCAAACCTTTTTTGATGAAATGGATGATTAAAAGACTCAGGATAACGAAGACTCGTTTTAATGAGATTAGAAAGTTGCTCTGCTGATGGTCTTAAAGGAACTGCTGTGTGTTCTGGCCTGAAAAATCTCAACAGTTCCATTTCTGGAGGTTCCTGAGAAAATAAAAGTATTTGACAATAAAAGCACTGCCTTGCCACAATAAAGTCTACTATATTTACAAAGTTAAAACTAATAGATACAAAGTAAAAAATGAACAGGACCTTTTCTACAATTATTTAAACTAGCAGTTGGTATTATCTGCAATATAATCTAGGGTAAAGAAAGCAGAATCCCTGGACCCAGAAGAATAGCTCAGTGCTTTAACAGGTTTTGCCTTGCAAATACAAAAGTCATGAACTAGATTCCCACTGCTGTCACATGCAATGTGAGTCCTGGTGTCACAAGTGGTCTCCAGTCACAATGCATGTCAGGTCATGTGTGAGCACCACATCTAAAGGGATGTGACCCCAGCACAGCCAGGAAGTGCAACCTTTGGTGACTACCACAGTAACTCCCACTAAGCATTACAGCCAGAATGCGTATGAGTAGCACATTTAGAGTGGGACCCCCGATGAACATGTCCAAACAAAAACAAAGGAGCATGAACGTGTACAAACACAACAAAAGGAGCATTGTGCAACCATCACTGGAACTTCAACAATGAAAAAGACAATATGGTGAGGAATTTCTTTAAAATAGAAAACCAGAATCCAAAATTATTTATTCATGTCCTATTTAGTATGTGTTGGATGTAGACTTGAATTCTAGGACAACTATACATTATCTCCGTAAATTACTAACTTCCTCAGATGTAAAAGGGATTCATAATAATAATAATTTTTCAGACATTATATTAACTATCAAGTGGCAAAATTGGTTAGTATTTATACTGTAGAAATTGTGTAGCACTTATTTTAATAGTGTAAGATTTTAAATTGCCTTAAATTTATATTTTGGAAACATTTATTCTGTGCTATACATAGGTTAACATACTCATAAAAGTCTACCATGCTTGGTGTCAGGCATATTACAAACATTTATTTATTCTGGTTTTGGGCCCACATCTAGCAAGCTCTAAGGCTCCTCCCAGCTCTGTGCTCTGCTCCCTGCACACTAGAGAACCATGCAGTGCAAGGTTCAAATCCAGACCCCAGACATGAAATCACATACTCAGCCCGCTGACGACCTCAGAGCAGAGACATTTAAATATCACCAACTTAAACAATAAGAGGACACTCCAATTCTAGTATTATTATCTTCTTGCCTTAATTTTTTCTTTCATTTTCCTTCACTGTCCAGGGAATTTTTTATTTTTAATTGCCAGCCAGCAAGTTGGACTTTTAGTTATAGCATATATAGACAAACTCAACTCACCTCTTTTTTTTTTTTTTTTTTGGCTTTAGTGGCCTACCCCCAGTAATGCTCAGCGGTTGGCTCAGCTATCATTCCTAGCAGTGCTCAGGGGAGCATATGTGGTAACACAGGGATTGAACCTGGGTCTGCCACATATAGGACAAGCACCCTACCCTCTGTGCTATCTCTTCGACCCCTCACCTCTTCCTTTAACATAAAGTTTTACTGAAACACATTTATTTACAGTCTACGGATGCTCTGGACTCCAAAAAACAGAGATGAATAATTATGACAAAGACTTATAGCCAGCATAGTCTAAAATACTATTCTGCTTTTTTGAAGAAAAATTTACTGACCCTTGGCTTATATATCTATAAAGGCAGTAACTAAATTTGGTTTTGACTGAGAAGCCAGGGAGAAATTACTAGAAGCTTACTCTGGGAGAAGAAGACTTGAGACTGGGAGAGAGGTGGAGTTCTGTTACACTGGTTAAGCTCTATTTCTTCTAGACCTGAGTCCTGGCTTAACTGGAGTGTCCTCCAACTTGTGAAACTGAATGATCTATCCATTCATTATTCTCAGCTACATTTTGATAAAAAGTTCAAAAACAAGTTGTTTGAGATTTCTATATTATACTGAGTATGTAACTTTACCATATATCAGGAAGGAAGCATGTTCATTAAAAAATAAATAATAAAAACCTGAAGCTAATTTCCAGAGAATATTTAGACAAATTTATTTTCTGTCCCAGTTTAAGAGTAAAAACAAATATTTTCATAATCAGTGCTGAACAACTTGTACAGTAATATCACAAGGATGTGAATCTCACTTTTGACAATCCCATAAGAGAGGCAATTGAGTAGTATGCTAAGTTTTATCAAATTATACAAGTAATTTCATTAGGTTTCAATCTTAAGTGTCTTTAGACTCCAATAGCAATCTATAGCATGACAAAACCACTTATCTGCAAAGCTCAGCTAATCATAAAAAAATCTCAAAGTAACATAAAAAAATGAAAGACATGCAATGTACAATATAAAATGAGACTAAAACATAAGGAAATTCTATAAAAAACTACCTCACTTGATTTCTAAGTGATAGCCTAGTTCTTTAGTTGAGATGTTCCAAATTACCAATTTTATGCAATTTAGAAATAAAATAAGATTTTTATGCTATTGGTAGGGGAAAATTTTTTTCTTATTAAGTTTGGGGTACTAGTTAGTATCTTCATAAAACCTAACAGAGAAGTACCATTAGTAACAATTAAAATTTTGTCCACAGCAGGCTGCTGAGACCCAGAGTTCAATTCCAAGCCTGGTTCTACATGGCTGAGGGTGAATCCAGAAGCTCTGCTGCTTGGGATTTCGGGCATCACAACAAACAAGGTGTGTGATCTTTGGTGCACTGCAACCCAGTGTGTATGAACATCTCAATTATAACCAAACAACCACAAGAGAGGCAAGACACCACAAAGCCCAAAGCAAACTTTATCATTACCTGTTTCTGAGGATACGAAAAGGCTTCTTTTCCTATAGTGTGAAGAATAACATGATGCTGACCTTCCAAAATAAGCTGCTTACTGTCATCCACTACATAGGCCTAAAAATACAAAGCACAGAAATATTATCTGCAATAAATCCAAGTTACCAAAGGGAGGCCTTGGAAGATAGCCCAAGTCTTACGGCAAATGCCTACTACGTGGAAGGCACTGACCCTGATACTTGAAACTGCATTTTCCTCCAGGCAAACACCACAGCATAGCCCTGGTGGCCCCTGAGCACCACCCACCAGACCACATTCACCAGGCCCTCAGCAGGCTGAGCTCTACCACCCAGCAGCTCCAGGCCAGAGCACCGCTGAGTGTGGTCCCTGAAAACAATAAAGTAACCAAAGTGATAGTTGATGCAAAGTGGAAACAGTATGGCTATTATGGCTAATTATAAATACTCAAGATAGTACCATAATTTCTACTTACCTATTTATTCAGGCAATAAAGCATTTAAAAAAAAAAGCCATTGTTTTGACTCAATATAACACAACTGGCATAAATGTTAGAGATGGATCTTATAATATTTTCCAATTATCTCTAAAGCATTTAGAAAACTAGTATAAAAGATCTGTGCCACAGCTTTCTTCTTTACTGAACTGTTAATAAACAAAAGTTTTACATATATATATGTATACATATAATTTCTTCTGAAATGCCCTAAGGCTTATCAGACAGAATAAATTCAAGCTAGTATAATAAATCCTGCAGGTCAAGTCCTAGGTGAATCTAAATTAAGGTGCATATGCTTTAAAAAAAAAAAAAGTGGGTAGTTTTTTTCACCTCTGTGGTTAGAGGAAATAATTTATTTCAACATTTATTCTAGCATAAAGCAATTTTGAATTGCTTCGGTTGACAATATAATCTGTAAATGGCTCTGCAAATGAACTATTATTGTCAATTATGCAAATACAAAGGCTTAAAATTTTTTGACAAGCTGAATTTTTATACCATTACATTCAGACATGAAATTAGCCACAGTTCTATAAAATTAGTCACAGTTCGACACAAGTTTCTAAATGTTTACTTTCAATGCCTGAATTTACTTTATCTAACTCATGGCTACCATAGAACTCACTTAGAAGAGGGCGGCACTGAGGACTTGCTCAGCATCTCACTCCAGAACTTTAATGTTTTTGAAGCTTTTGTTCATTTAGTGGGTCAATTTATTTTTATTTTTATTTTTTTGCTTTTTGGGTCACACCTGGCGATGCAAAGGGGTTACTCCTGGCTCTGCACTCAGGGGACCATATGGGATGCTGGGAATCGAACCCGGGTCAGCCACATGCAAGGCAAATGCCCTACCCACTATGCTATCTCTCCAGCCCCAATTTTTTTTTTAATTTTAAGACCTTTATTAACAGGTGCTTGCAGTTTGTTGACTTTTTTGAAAAAAAAAAAATCAAGCCATAAACTTTTTATTACAAATTAAAAATGAGGTTCTTAAAAATCTCAACTTGACCAGATATGAAACAATTTAAAAACCTTTAAAGGTGTATTGAGAAAAACCAGGCTCCTTTTTTTTTTCTTTTTCTAAAACACGCTTGTCATTACCAAAAAGAGACGTCTTTAGGTAAAAAATAATAAAAACACCATGCTGCATAAATAATGCAGATAGTTCTGGTTATCTGGTCAATGGGCAAAAAGCAAGCACTTAAGGTCTTCAGCTCCAATCTTTTGTTCATGTCTTATTGCTGGAATTTCATATTCATATCTTCTTGTTGGATGACTAAACCGGATGATGGTAAAGATGTGTAAGCCAGCATTTACTCAGCCCTGCCCTGCTCATTCTCAGCTGGTGGATCGGCTGCTTTTGTCTCTATGTCATCTTGTGGTTTAGGGTTTTTTGGAAGTCTGCATCGGTAACTGAAGTTGCGGCGGTAACGACATTGAGGTGGCTGCTGACCTTGAGTCTCATTTCCTTGATTTTCTTTACCTTCTTCATTGCTGTCCTCTCTAGGCTGTCTTTGGCGAGGAGGCCCCCTGCGAAATCGTGGTCTATACCTTCTTCTCCTGCACCCTGGTTGTCAGCACCCTTCATCACTTCTCCCTGCACAGGAGGCTTGGAATACTGTGGTCGACGCCCATAGGGTCTCCGCATGTAATAAGGTGGGAACCGTCACCTGAGGTAGGGCCTGTGTTGTTGGGTCTGGCCTTCGAGAGCACTCTTCAATCCCTCATTCTTTTCCCCACTCTCCCTATTCTGGTAATTCTGCTGCTAACTGCATGGAGGACCCCTGTGACGTGGATAGCGTCTATAATGGTTACGATCTGCTGCGTTTTTACTGCCTTGCACTGGAACTCCACCAGGGCCTGTAACATTTGCTGCCTCTGCACCCTTTTCTCCTTCAACAACATCAAACTCCATAGTCTCTCCATCTCCTTCAGCTGCCTCTGCACCCTTTTCTCCTTCAACAACATCAAACTCCACAGCCTCTCCATCTCCTACACTGCGAAGGTACTTCCTGGGGTTATTCTTCTTTATGGCAGTCTGGTGTACAAATACATCTTCCTTGGTGTCATTCCTGTTGATGAAACCATATCCGTTCCTTACAATGAACCATTTTACTGTTCCCAAAACCTTCGTTGCGATGACCTTCTTGTCCCCTGCGGCGGGCGCCACTCCCTGCGCCGTTGCCCATGGTGCCGGGCTTGATGTCGGCACTGAAAGGCAGGGGTGGCGGGTGGCTGCTGGGTCTCGGCCTCACTGCTCATGGTTGCGGTGATGGTGACTGGGGCCGGCTGCAGCAGCTGCGGCTCCTCCCAGGGTGTGATGGTAACTAGACCCGCAGCGGTGGTGGGGCTGCTCAGGGCTTTCTGGGGTCCGCTCTCCTTTCCCGCTACCGATTGAACTTAGTGGGTCAATTTTGAATCAGAGCCATATTAAGGATATCTGCTAGGCACCGTCTCAAGTGAGTAAATTATAAATTTATTCATATACACCCCAGAAAAGAAGAAAATAAAACACCTCCCGGAGCAACTTTTAATTGGGAAAGAATGAACAGATAAAAAATACGGAGACCTGTCATACTATTTTGCAAGTCCCATAAAATCAAGCAAAAAGTGTTCCAGTTAAGGTTAAGGCTCCGCCTTTGATCCATAGCACTGCCTCAAGCACCACTGGGAGTGAACCCTGAGCAGGAGAGCCAGGAGTAGCAACTGAGGGGTGATCCAAAAGAAAGAATAAAAGTCACCAAAAGCCATCTTATAACCCACGACAATCCTAGATACTCAAAAGCTGTCTTTCTTTCTGTCTTGGTTTTGGGCCACACATCTGTGTGCTCAAGGCTTATTCCTGACGGAGTTTGGGGGACTGCATGTGGTTGCAGGGATCAAAGAGGTTTCGGCAAAGTGCAAGCAAGAACATTACCCTTTGTAATATCGCTCTGGCTCCACAAAGGCTGCTTTTTAAGACAAACCCATTTTTGGGTTAAGAATGGGTATAATATTCTCCTTTTCCCCCTGCCTCCCCACACACAGAACTGTTTTTGCTCTTGGTTTTCACCTACATTCTATTTTATTCAAATGCACCTACATTATATTAAACTCAAGTGCTACGCTACCTACATACCTCACTCCACAACTTAATAATGCCTTTTTAAAGTTTTTGTTTATTCAATGGATCAGCTTCAAATCAGAGCCCTTTTAAGGGTATCTACTATAGTCACTTTCTCAAGTTATTAAGTTATAAATTTATTATAGACCCAACCACTTAAAATCTTCTCATAAATATTACAAATTGCTATTTGGCAAGAATACATTTCATGACATCCATAAATGCCACGGGTCTATTTATTTGATGGCTGGTTTACAGTAAGAGGCTGTGTTGCCATTATGTCTAAAAACAGAAACTTTAATAGATTCTAAGTTCTGAGTATATGTTATTTCAAGCTAATAATGTACAACCAATCCATTTTTGAGGGGACGGAGAAGGGTGCCACATTTGGCTGTGTTCATGGCTTATGCCTTGCTCTGCGCTCAGCGATCACTCCTGGCGGTGCTCAGGGTACCACATGAAGGGCCAGGAATTGAACCCAGGTCAGCTGCATGCAAGGCAAGTGCTCTTTCCACTGTACTATCTCTCTGCCCCCATCTATTTTATTAACATTAAACAATCTGTTTGCTTAACGGTTTTACTAAAACAAATGTAATTATCAGCTTGGTTTCAATAAAGTGTATTAAAAATTGCATGCTTTGCTTGTAATGGCAGGCACCAGTTTAATACCAGGCACCCCATATAGTCCCCAAGTACTGCCAGGACTGATCCCAAAGCACAGAACAGGAGTAAGTCCTGAGCACCGCCAAGTATAGTCCACCCCCGCCCCCACCCCAAACCCACCCCGCTGCTTCCCCAAGCAGCTTTATATTTTTACTTATTTTTTAATTTTTATTAGTGAGACACCATGAGGTACAGTTGTAGACTTACAAATTTTTGTGCTTGGGTTTCAATTATGCAATGATCAAATACCCCTCCCTCCACCAGTGCCCATTTACCACCACCACGGATCCCAGTATCCCTCCCACTCCCCAAATGTATATTTTTAAAATTTAAACATTCTAGGTAATTTTCAATCTTTAAACAACCTCTGGATTGGTGAAAATAGAAAAAATAGTCTGCAGACCACTAAAGTAGAAACCAACACATTATTTATCGTAAGAATATTTATATTCAATATTACAATAGTAATGCTAATTATCCAAGTGTATCACCTGTTAAGTGTCAGCAACTATCATGAACTGCCAACCAGCAGTTAAAAACCATTGATCTGAAATATCTAACTTAACTTAAAACTTAAGTATTGACACTGCACTAGCTCTTCTATCACCCAACGACAAAAAGATCTTTCCACATGGGTTAAGTGACTATCCTCTGGCAAGATCCTTACTTTCCCTAGAGAATACTTAAAAATAAAATTTGGCCATACACTGGGTCATGTTTGGAGGCTACTGGCTCAGTGCTTGAGATTGTCCTTTGGGCTGCTCCTAGCAGGTCACAGGGAATTATTTGGTTGTGTGTGTGTGTGTGTTTATTTTTATTTATTTTTCTGCTTTTTTTTTTTTGGTCACACCCAGTGATGCTCTGGGGTTACTCCTAGCTGTGCACTCTGAAATTACTCCTGGCGGTGCTTGGGGGACCATATGGGATGCCAGGGATTGAACCCGGGCCACTTGCAAGGCAAATGCCCTACCCACTGTACTATCACTCCAGTCCCAGGGAACTATTTGTACAGGGACTCAAACCTGGGCTTCCAGAATGCACTCCACCCTCCCGAGCCAACTCCCTAGACCTTGTGGAATGATTCATAAGTAACACAGGGACAGGAAAATATTACAATGGTTAGGACACTCTAGAACCTTGCTTTGATTCTTAACATTGTTGGGGTGGCCCAAGTAATCCTCAGCTCCTTGGGTACCTGCACTGAACTTCCTCACTCGAACAAGGAGTTGCTGAGCACAGCTTAGGAAGCTTTCCATTAAATGTATAAATAAAACAAAGAGGTGAGATACTATAGAATATACTGTGAAGATCAAGACTCATATATTTCAGGTAACTTTATTTTTGGATTTTTGGGCTAAACTTGGTGGTGTTATGAGCTTACTCCAGACTGTGTTCAGGGACCACTCCTGGCAGGCTCATGGCAGGGATTGAACCTGGGTCAGTGCATGCAAAGCAAGCACTTTACTATGATTCCAGTCCCCATACGTCAGGTAACTTTAGGAAAAACAAAGGCCTAAGCAATCTCATTCTGCTAAGATATGTATAAATCTTATTTGAATCAGATGACTTTTTTCAATAACATTTTCAAATAATCCGGGAAAAACTTAATACAGACCATCAATTTAAAGTTAAGAATTACAGTTAATCTGGTATGAGTTAACACTATTACCAGGTTAAACAAAACCACACATTAAATAGATCAAATCCTTCTTAGATAAAATGTTATGCTTTTAAATATATATCCTGGGGCTAGAGATGTAGAGCAGGTAAGGGTCTTGCCTGGCACATGGTCTATCTAAATTCAATTCCCTGAAGCCTATATGGTCCCCTGAGCACTGCTAGGAGTTACTTCTGAGAGTAGAGTCAGGAATAACCCCTAAGTATCACTGAATGTGGTCTAAACCCTCCTCCAAAATAAAAATTAAAAACAAAGCGATATATCCTATAGTAAAAGTTAAGGAAAATACAAATGAAAATAAAACCAAAAAGAAAGAACAAATAAAAGATAAATAGCAATAAACTAATGGCTTCAAGAGTCTAAATAAATGCAGAGGATCATGGTGACTTTTCTAGTTTGAAGATACTCATACACAGTGATTTCACAGAGTTTATCATGTCTACAATAGTCTTAGTAGAACAGAAGAAAACTGTCTAATTTAACTTCTTTTTCAGATACAAATAAAACATTTTATTTCCTTATTACGCCAATTTAACTTATAGGGGCCATCCTTGGTGGTCCTTAGAGTCATGCAGTACCAAATAACTCTCCCTGCCCCTGAATTAATTCATTCTTAGGTTGGGAAAAAAAAAAAGACCTCCATTTTGAAACTATTACATTTTAAAACTGAAGCTGTGTAACATTCCTGGGACCATGCAGACCAGGGACTAAATCTAGGCTCTCACATGAGGTTTTTCTACTTTGCCTGCTCATTCCCTGCGATTTTTGTGGGTGCCATGATTTGAACTCAGCCTCATACATGTAAGGAAAGTGCTCTACTACTAAGCTATACCCTACTCCTAAAACAGAATTTTAAGTAAAAAACAAAACAAAAAAACCCACCTCCCCAAAAAAAAACACCCCAGAAACAAAACAAACCGAAAAACAGCTTACATTTATTCTTCAATTTAAGAAGTTTCTATAGGTGAAGCTTGCTGAAATACTTTAAATAGAACATACCTTCCACAAGACAATAATGTTCAAATCCACCTCACTGCACTTCTGAATTAATCTCACAGCATCATCCACTGCCTGTTTCTCTGTCTGCACAGAAGGCTGGGCTTGTGGCTTCTTCAATTCAGAGGATAAGCTTCGATAAAAGAAGTCAGCACATGGACTTGCTGAACTTATTATCTGTTTTGAAAAAAATCACTTGTTTACAGAAATGGTTTCAATTAAATAGAGCCCGATAAAACTTGCATTCTGTTCTATGTACCCAGTAAGAGTAGTCAGTAATTTCCTGTCAGTTGGGATGTAGCATATGAACTCTGTATGTATGACAATGCTAGGTTCAGTCTCCAGTACCCCCTTCACAAAATTAGATAAATTTTGTCAGTATGTTTGAATATAGCGACTACAGAGAATGATTACTCTAAAACATTTTTTTTCCTTTTTGGGTCACACCTGGTGATGCACAGGGGTTAATCCTGGCTCTGTACTCAGGAATTACTCCTGGCAGCACTCAGGGGACCATATGGGATGCTGGGACTCAAACCTGGGCCGCCCCCGTGCAAAAGCAAACGCCCTACCCGCTGTGCTATCGCTCCAGCCCCCAAACACTCTAAAACTTGAACACCTAAAATACCTGTACAAATTACTAACTCTTAAAGCTGTTGTTCAAAATAATTAAGTCTACCCATTATCATGGGCTGGAGCGATAACACAGTGGGTAGGGTGTTTGCCTTGCAAGTGGCCATCATGGCCGACTGGAGCTCAATTCCTTCTTCGCCCCTCTCTCAGCAAGCTACTGAGAGTATCTCACCCGCGCAACAAAGCCTGGCAAGCTACCCGTGTGACGTATTCGATATGCCAAACACAATAACAACAAGTCTCACAATGTTACTGAGTTCACTCGAGCAAATTGATGAATAACAGGAGGACACTGACAGTGACCCATTATCACATTAGCTTTGCCTTTTCAAGTATCTATGATTATCCATTATCTTTAAGAAAATTAGTATTTACTTTTAATGATTTTTTTCTGATAACGTAACATAAAATATCTTGCAGTTAATACTTAGAACACTAAGCAGTAACCAATGAAATAATACAAATGAAGTTGTTGGCATTAACATGGCTATTTTTGAAGGGAGAAAAATATAAGACAAGAATTTTAAATGAGCTCAGAAATGTAGTTCCCTTAATAAAATACTTAAAAATGTATTTTTTAAAAATTTAAAAGTATTTAAAAATGGCCAAAAGGTGGGGCAAAAGAGGACAGTGGGTAGAGCCCTTGCCTTGCACACAGCTTACCCTGGTTCAAACCCTGGCAGCCTATATGGTCTCCCAAGCAATGCCAGGAGTGAGTGCAGAGTCAGGAATAACCCCTCAGCATTACCAGGTATGGCCCAAAAACTTAAAAAAAAAAAAAAAAAAGCCCAAAAGGTGTATGGAAAAAATGCCTTTCATTAATCATCAAAAAATGCAATCAAAACAATGCAGTACTACCTCAAAACAAAAAGACTGGCACTCATTAATATTAACCATTTTCTCCTATGAATGCCAAGAACTATACATATCTCATGTTATACTCAGTTAATTTTATAACTAATTTTAAGGATATAATTCATTTAGCATTCTTGATTTATTCTGAAGAATGAAGGCAAGCTGGAAATCCAACAGAATTGGTATGTTCACTCACCAAAAATTTTGAGTTGCTAAAGTAGTAGTTTTGCCAAAGTAATGATACTATAGAACTAAGACCTTTAAAATCAAATACTACCACGCATACTGACGTACCTGCTCATTTCCAAAAATGATATCAGCAAAGGTGTATTTTTCTGAGGACTGTGTAGCAACTAAAAAAAGGGGAGAAAACAAACTAATCATACCATTGACATGAACTATAAAACTGCCACGAAGAGAGTATAAAAGTAAAATAATTTACCTTCTTTATCTTTACATCGTATTGCCTTGAAGCAAAACTTCCCCTTTTCCCTACTGGCTAGTCTGGCATCTAGGAAGAAAAGAGAAAATTTTTAAGATTTTTCTCAGCTTATGATACAGTTAAAACCTTATTCAAACTAGAAAGTAATTCAAAATAACAACTATTTAATCAAAATGCCCTTCCTTTCTTTCCAATGAAGTGGCTCTCACTATTTTTTTTTCAGCATTTTGTTTTGTTTTGTTGGGTCATACCCAAGCGATGCTCACACAATACTCCTAGCTCTGCACACAGAAATTACTCCTGGCAGTACTTGGGGGACCATATGTGATGGCGGGGATCAAACCTGGGTTGGCTGCATGCAAGGCAAATGCCCTCCCCACTGTACCACTGCACCAGCATCTCACTAAATTATTAAAAAGAACAAATTTGGGGCGCTGGAGAAACAGCTCAATGGGCTAAGTACATGCTTCGAACAGAGGAGGCCCTGATTCAATCCCTACCCCCACATCATACCTAGCACTGCTGAGGGCAGTGATAAACAGAGAGTTGGGAACAGTCACAAAATGATGTGTCTGTGCCCCACTGCAACCCCCACCCTGCAAAGGACAAATTTTAATTTTCTTTATATATATGTTCATATAGGTGCCTTCACCCTCCCCTCCCAATACTACAAAGTTTGAAAGATACCAACATGAAGGTCACAATCTCATCACACCATCATTTTTTGTCTGTTATTATTTCCTATATATATTTTAGTCAACAAAAGCACATAACTGAATCTACTAATGGAGATACTTTTCAAATGCCAATAAATTTCGCTGCACACAAAAGTCTTGAGTTGTACCTAAATTTTCATTAAAGCAGTATTAGGAAAAAAAGTGGTAGGGTTCTACATGATACCTAAAAGGAATTGTCAATGATACAATCCCATTGGCAAAGAAAACAAAAGTGCCAAAAAAATGTTATAGCTAAAAAGTTTCTGTACCACAAAATAAACAAGGCCTAAAATAACAGTACCCCACTGGTGAGAGAAAAAATACTTGGACATCATACATCAAAATACACCCAAGATAAATAGCTCTTTCAAAGCTCAGTAACTAAAAGATAAATAACCCCATGAAACAATGGGAAAAAAGAGACTATCAGACATTTCTTCCAAGACCAGGCACATGAAAAAGCATTCACCTAACTGGTAACAGGAAATGTCTATAACGATGAGCCAGCACCTCCCACCAGCAAGAACAGTCAGTGATCAGTGTTTCTGGACCTTTTTCTTATAGGAGCTCCCTTCTCAACTTGTTTCCTTCCCATGATCCCAGTCCTGCCAGTTGCTTCCTAGTCTGGTGCTGTGACCCCTTATTGATGCAGACTGCACCTGTGGCCCTCTTAAAATATCCTGGAGACAGACAGGGGTAGAAGCTGTAAGCTGTAAGGGATATGGTAAAAAAGGAACTCTCATTTACTGCTGGTGAAACTGCTGTCTGGTTCAACTCCTTGTAAATGGGTTGGAGACTTCTCAAAAAAAACTAACAGAGCTTCCATCTGAGCCTACAATTCTACTCCTGGGCATCAACCCCAAGAACACAAAGACACTGATTCAGATGGAAGAAGCACACCTGTGTTCATCACAGGAATTTTTACAAGAGACATTATCTAGAAAAAACTCAAATACCAAAACCTAACAGGCTATTCCTAGGTCTGTACTTTGGAGAAAGCCCTGCTGGTGCCTGCGATGCCAGACATGCAAGCGAAGGGCCTGTGCAACCTCTCCATCCCTTGGGTTGTTGAAAATTTTAAACAGATCATGTACTGATTTCATAACTGAATTAAAAGAGACAGGTAATTTGATTCAGTCATACAAACTTATTAAGTTATCTACAATCTTATGTTACTTTCCTAGCGAAGAAAAATAAGCAAAGAGATTGTCAAAATTTATTTTGGAGGGTCCAGAACCCGACTGCCACCATGCTCAAGGCCACTCTCCACACGCTCGGACAACCTCACACAAGAGGGGACGAGCATCACTCAAGATGGGATGAACCTCACTGGAGTGGACCGGCTGGAAAACCCAGGTACGTGGGTACTCCTGGATGAGATCTCCAAGCAACTCGGATCGGAACTAGGCCTCCTCCTCTCAGCTCCCCAGTTTTCTAGTAGCTTGGCAGTCACACCCACAAACTGCTCCCAGCACCGTGTAATCTCATCAATGGCCAAGACTCAGAGACTATAACTAAAGCTCCCGGAGGAGTGCACTGCAATCTCTGGAGCACGCAGCCGCAACCTCTTATACTCTACCTCACTTACTTTCAAAAGATGGGGAGGTGCTCGGTGGTGGGATTGGTGTCTGAATATTACCTGTAATAACTATTGTGAACTACTTCTATGAAAATAAAAAATATATATTAAAAAATTTATTTTGGAGGGAAAAAGGAACAAACCTTTGTTTTCTGAGAGATTTACGGATTTCTGTAACTTCCAGTGTTTGCTGCTACTTGATACTTGTGTTATGTGGAACTCCTTAACACCTGCTTCACTCTACAGAAAAAAGTAAAAGTCACTCAGGATTTAATAGCACTAATTTAGAATATTAAAACAATACTTAGACATTACTATGAAAGTATATATTAACACAGATGAAATTTTAACTTTTAAATAACCAAATATATATTTTAGAAAGCTCAAGTTAAGTCATTTTTCATTCTTAAAAAATTTCCCCAAGGAAGATATATTCCCACCACTAAATTTTAAAGCACTGAAAGGTATTCAGTTATTACAAAAACTATAGCATCAGTAGTATTTAGTAAAATTACTTGTCAATTTATAACCCAAACAATAGTGCTTTCTCCCTTTTCTGTTCTAACATAGCTTGTTTTAACCCAATGTACAGTCAGTACACACAGCTATTTAAATTGTACTGAATTATCCTCTTAAATCAGAGCTAATTTAGAACTATTAAAATTTTCACTCTTTAAAAACCTGTTATGAATATCACCAAAGTATTAACGTATTAATCCGAACAGTGAATTTTAAAAGGGCTGGAGCGAGAGCTCCAAGGGCTGGCACACATACTTTCCATGCTGGAGTCCTAAGTCCAAGCCCAGAAATGGTTCCCTTCTGGAAATGACTCTGGAGCACCAGGCCAAGAGCAGCCCCTGCACCAATGAATGTGATCCCAAAACAAAGAGGCCTTGCAAGTTTGCAAAAGCAAATTTAAAAGCAACAACAATTAAAGAAAAAAATAAAATTTCAAGTATGTGAACAAATTCAATCTAAAGCTAAATCATGAAATGATACTCTGTTCAAGATATTCACATTTAAGGGGCAAAAGCAATAGTACAGCAGGTAGCGTGTTTGCCTTGCACGCGGCTCACCCGGGTTCAATCCCTGGCATTCCATGTGGTCCCCCGAGCACCGCCAGGAGTGATTCCTGATAACTCCTGAGTATCACTGGGTCTGACCCAAAACTACAAGATACTCACATTTATAAAGCACACAAGTAAAACTAAATAGGAACAGCTGTTTGAAATATTTAATACAAAGGAAGTAATAGTTACATATGTAAGTAAAGTATTCCCTAGTTAGTAATAAATGTGAAATCTGATAGAACTTCACAAATTTAGTTATATAAAATAGAGTCTCTCACAAAATTCATGACATCTCTTTTGGGTTGAATTAGTGGCTAAGTGCAGGTATTGGGAGATGGAGTTTGGGCCACACTTGACAGTGCTCAGGGCTTACTCGTGGCAGTGCCCAGAGGAACGAATGAAGTACCTAGATCACTTTACCCTGTACTATCTCTCTGGCCCCTAAAGGTAGATGTATCAATATCACTAGTTCTTTTTATTTGAAAGGACTAGAAAATAAAAATTACAACTAATAATATAATAAGACATGGAATTTTTCACTCTATATGAACACCTCTAAAGTCCTAAAAATGTCTTTTGAAGAAAAAAGCTCAATTTCTGAAAATATACTTTAAAAATCATTTTAAACCAACTTACAGTATTGGTATTTTCCACATCCACAAAGACCATCATATCCCCTCCTCTGCCCTCCTCTTCAAGAGAATTACTGCGGCAGACTGTGGCTCGTACATTCAAAGATCGGCTGGTACAAATGACTGCAGTATGCCTTAGAATTCTGTGACTGAAGAAATAAAAATTTGCAAATTTAATCTAAGAATCTTTCCATGAGCAATCTTTCCGAGTGTTGAGCCTTTTTATCCTTATAAAACTTCTAAAGCTTGATCACTCACAGGACCTTTTATATTCTAGAAAAAACCAAAAATACAATAAAGTGAAATGATCTAGTTAGCCTAACTTTAGTCCAATTCTTCTCAATTTAGAGGGGAACAATCTTCCTCTTTCTATACTTTTTCCTTGCTCATACAGGTATGTATATAATATAGGAAAATAATCTCATATAGTAATCCTATTACATGACATTAAGAATACTAATAAAATGACATTCAAGGTCCTCCACAACAGAACCTTGTATTTCACAGTTACTCTACTTATTTGACACATTATACATTGTGGTCGCACTACAATATTGTTTTTATTTTCTAACTTATTTTTTAATATTTATTATATATGTAATATCTTTTATTTTTTAAAAATTTATAAATTTTATTTTTAATGAATCACTGTGAGGTACAGTTAGAGACTTAACAAACTTTCGTGATTACATTTCAGTCATACAATGATCAAGTATCCATCCCTCCACCAGTGCCCATTCTCCACCACCAATGTTCCCAGTATACCTCCCACCACCTCCCCTACCCCCTCTTCCTCTGTGGTGGGCATATTCTTTTTTTACTTTTTTTCCTCCTTTTGGGTGTTGTGGTTTGCAATATGAATACTAAGTGGTCATCATGTTCTATCCATAGTCTATTTTCAGCACACATCTCCCATTCTGAGCGAGTCCTCCAAACATCATTTACTTAGTGGTCCCTTCTCTATCTGAGCTGCCTTTTCCCTGAGCTTGTAAGGCCGGCTTCCAAGCTGTGGAGCAATCCTCCTGGCCCTTATCCCCACTATCCTTGAGTATGTTAGTCTCCCATTATGTTACTTTTTTTAAAAAATTTATTTATTTATTTTTAATAGTGAGACATTATGAGGTACAGTTGCAGACTTACAAATTTTTGTGCTTAGGTTTCAATTTACAATGATCAAATACCCATTCCTCCACCAGTGCCCATTTCCCACCACCACGGATCCCAGTATGTTACTTTATATTCCACAAATGAGCACAGTCATTCTATGTCTGTCTCTCTCTCTCTGACTCATTTCACTTAGCATGATACTCTCCATGTCGATCCACTTCTAAGCAAATTTCACCCAATACCCATCTGATAAGGGATTAATATCAAGGATATACAAAGCACTGGTTGAACTCTACAAGAAGAAAACATCCAATTCTATCAGAAAATGGGGCGATGACATGAAAAGAAACTTTCTCAAGGAAGAAATCCGAATGGCCAAAAGGCACATGAAAAAATGCTCTTCATCACTAATCATCAAGGAGATGAAGATAAAACAACAATTAGATATCATTTCACACCACAGAGACTGACCAACATCCAAAAGAAAAAAGCAACCAGTGTTGGCGTGGATGGGGAGAAAAGGGGACGCTCCTTTGCTATTGGTGGGAATGCTGACTGGTTCAGCACTTTTGGAAAACAATATGGACATTGCTCAAAAAATTAGAAATTGAGCTCTCATTTGACCCAGCAATACCACTTCTGTGAATATATCCCGGATATGCAAAAAAGAACAGTAGAAATGATATCTACACTTGTATGTTTATTGCAGCACTATTTACAATAGTCAGAATCTGGAAAAAAACCCGAGTACCTGAGAACAGATGACTGGCTAAAGAATTATTTCCTAACTGTAAATTTCACTCACATATACATTGACTTCTGGAATATCCACTATTCTCTCGCCTATCCTCCTTGGTATCCCAATTCTGAAATGCTGCTTATTTTCCTTGAAAATTCATTTCACTACTTCAACATGCCACAAAGCTTGCCCCAGTCGCCTTGGCTAGAGAACTTTATCACCTCAAAAACAGTAACTGAGGATATAAAATGTACCTGTGGTTACAGATATTGTATCATTTTATCTTCAAAAATAAGTCTTAGAAGGTAATTTTAAATGTTCCAATAAACAAAGTCATTTCTAGTTCTCTAAAAATAGTAATCACATGTAATACTATTGTGTAATGTAAAGGCCACAGAAGACTGTAGAGCCGTATTGGGTTTGATTTCTTCGGTGATCCCACTCCGTTTTTTTTTTTTAATTTTATTGAATCACCGTGAGATACAGTTACAAGCTTTCATGTTTGAGTTACAATCATACAATGACCAAACACCTATCCCTCCACCAGTACACATAATCACTGTAATCATATATTCTACTAATACATTTTCCCCATTCACTCTTGGGAGCAGGAAGGATGATACTAAAGAAAAGGAAAGCACTTACATTAGGGATACCCTGATATATTTTTAAGGGGACTATCTTCTTAATCAACAAATACTAATACATTTATTTGAATTTGTGCACATAAAAACGAGTTAACTAAAAATATTGGTAATACTCACCATATTTTTGGCTGCCTTTTAACACTTTCGTAGTAAAACAAAAAGTTGATTTCATGAACACCTTCTTCATCTGGCCCACGTAACCACATTGGTAGCTGGACTGACGCTCCGGGCAGAAGAACAGTGTCAGGAAGGGGAACAGAAATCACCTCTGGCTGACTTCCTGTGCCAATGCCAAAGTCTACAGAAGATGCTGATGATACGAGTGCAGTACACACAGAGGTAGAATCTGTCACAACAGTCTTGTAAGCACTACAGTTCTCAGACGCAGAAGGACTTTGCGGTGTTAAAACAGCTGTGTTACCACCAAAAGTAAAGAATTCTGGATGCTTAGAAACAACCTTCAATCCAGTCAGAGGACATTTGCTGACATTGACAAATTCCACATACGCTTTTCGGATTTCTCCACAGAGGAGCCCTGTAGGAAAATGTATAAAGAACACCTGCATTGGAGGGAAAAAATATTATTATATTGTCTGTAAGAATTCTGAACTCTTATTAATATCAATTTAAGATACTATATTCCCTTACAAGGGCTTACAAGTATTTTGTTTTCTTTCATATCTCCCTTAGCTTATGGCCCTTCCAACCCCATTTTAATAAAGTGAATAGGTAAGAGTTCACTCAATATCAAAAGCAAAAAAAAAAAAAATCAAAAGCAAGTTTCATAATAATTATCATTATTTTAAAGGTAAAATTTCAGTATGAGACCTATTATGAAAACTTTCATAACTGTGTAGATTTATATAAATGAGAAGCTACAATTTAACATTAGTAAAACAATTCTTATTTTCAACTTGAAAAGTAGCTCAACTAATTAAGCATAGATCAATGAGATGAAAAGATTCAGAACAGGGAAAGAACAGCTATATCTGTGATTCCACACATATAACTTTAAAAATGAAAAACTCCGAGGACCTTTAAAATTTGCTTCCATGTGGAAGCAAAATATGATTTAACTAATTATAATCTTCAAAGTCTTTCCTACCTAATTGTGATATTGTTGTGTTTCACCACAGTGTTATCAGTTTGATTCTGAGTTGCTACTAAACTCCTATGTAAGATTTTAGATAACATTTTAGATAGAAATATACATATACACATACACATACACAAAGCTTTTAAAAATTTGACTACCATCTTCTATACCGAGGATTTTAGATGAAGAATTGTGGACGTGGGCTGGAGCAATAGTATAGTGTGTAGACATCTGCTTTGCAGGCAGATGACCTGAATTCGATCCCAGCATCCCATATGGTTCCCTGAGTACTGCCAGGAGTAATTCTTGAGTGCAGAGCCAGGAGTAACACATGAGCATCCCCCCTCCTCCAAACAAACAAAAAAGAGAGAGAATTTTGGACCTGTTTTAAAGAGGCAGAGATATGGCCAGCCAAACAATACACTGTTATTTGCATTCCAAAGATTCTTAAGTATAAATATAAAAACTATGATGACTAGCAATTGATAAAAGAATGTAGAGGTAACAGTATAAGGAAAAATATTCTAATACTACAGCTGGCAGTCCCAACCATTTTTTAAAAGCCAGTGGAAGTGTTTCTTAATTTAAGTTTTAATGGAACTTCATTATGGTCATATTCTTTAAGAGGGGAGGGGGCTGGGCTACTGCTGGGAGTGCTCAGGGCTATACCTGTGGTGTTCAGAAGATCTTATGTGGTACCAGGGATAAAACCAGAGTCCACTGCATATAAGGCAAATGCCTTAATCTCTGTACTCTCTCCTGACTCCATAATGACCCTATTAAGGAATGAAGTAAAATGCAAGGACATCAGTGGTTTTAAAAATGTGCATGAAGGGGCTGGAGCAATAGCACAGCAGGTAGGGTGTTTGCCTTGTACACAGCCGACACAGGTTCAATTCCCAGCATCCCATATGGTCCCCTGAGCACCGCCAGGGGTAATTCCTGAGTGCAGAGCCAGGGAGTAACCCCTGCGCATCACTGGGTGTGACCCAAAAAGCCAATTAAAAAAAAAAGTGCATGAAAGGCTAGAGTGCCAGAGTAGTAGACAAGTGGGTAGGGCCCTGCATGCAGTCAACCCAGCATCCCATATGGTCTCCTTAGCACCAAGGAGTAATTCCTGAGTGCAGAACTGAGAGTAAACCTGAGTACTGCCAGGTATGACCCAAAAACCAAAAAAAAAAAAAACCCACAAAACATGGTTTAATAGCATTTGGAAATGTTAGGCCTACCTAATTTTTTAACTTTGTACTAATTAACCAATGTCGGAGGCTGGAGAGATAGCACAGCGGGTAGGGCGTTTGCCTTGCACACGACAGACCCAGGTTCGATTCCCAGCATCCCATATGGTCCCCTGAGCACCGCCAGAAGTAACTCCTGAGTGCAGAGCCAGGAGTAACCTCTGTGCATCACCAGGTGTGACCCAAAAAAGCAAAAAAAAAAAGTGAACTAAGCAGTCAAGTAAGCTAGAATTTGTAGGAAAATGTCAGTTTTGAGATTTGTATCAAAAACAGCTGCATGAATGGCAATTGAAATAGAACAGTGTAAATAAAACACACCAAAATACAGTTACCATTAAATAGGCTGTGACACTGCTGTTAATACTCCTGGTTCAGTACTCAGGAATTACTCCTGGCAGTGCTCTGGAAACCAAGTGGGATGCAGATGATTGAAATGCAGTTGGCCACATGCAAGGCAAGCACCCTACTATCTCTCTAGCTCCTATCTTGGCTTCTTAAGGACATTGGGTATACAGAACCTCTATTTCAAAAGCATAGAAGTTGCTAAAAATCCTTTACACAGATGACTTTAAAAAAAAAAAAACCGGAAAAACCAAGAACCTGAGAATCTCACTTTTACTAGTTTATCCTAAAGATCTTTTGAGTGGTTTTATCTGTAACAGCAAATAACTGAAACATAAATCAAGCATCTTTCTATCTGACTGATAAATTATGGTGTACGGGGGCTGGAGAGATAGCACAGTGGATAGGGCGTTTGCCTTGCACGTGGCCGACCCAGGTTCGATTCCCATCATCCCATATGGTCCCCTGAGCACCGCCAGGAGTAACTCCTGAGTGCAGAGCCAGGAGTAACCCCTTTGCATTGCCAGGTGTGACCCCAAAAGCAAAAATAAATAAATAAACAATGGTGCACAGATACAATGGGCTGGAGCGATAGCACAGCAGTAGGGCATTTGCCTTGTGCGCAGACAGCCTAACCGAGCCAGGTTCAATTTCTCTGCCCCTCTCGGAGAGCCTGGCAAGCTGCCGAGAGTATCTCACCCAAACGGCAAAGCCTGGCAAGCTACCTGTGACATATTCAATATGCCAAACACAGTAACAACAAGTCTCAAAATGGAGACATTATTGGGCCCGCTCGAGCAAATCGATGAACAATGCGATGACAGTGACAGTGACAGATACAATGCAGTGCTCATGTAGTGGAAACTTGAAAGGCTCTGCTTTTCTGCTTTCCTATGTTAAAAGCAAACAAAAAAGTTTGAATAATACTCTTTTCTCCAATAGCTCTTAAGAGGAAATTATTTCTATTTTCTAAAATCCCTCCCACCCCAACTTGTCTGTACAACCAGTCATGCTCAGGGCTTACTTTGACTTTGTGTTACCTTGCAGTACCGTTGGTCCGAGTATCACCTCCAGTGCAGGGAATGAACCAGACAGTCTGTAGCGTACCAGGCAAGTACCTGAACCCCTAGTACTACCTCTCCTAACCCGCAGTTCATAATGGATGTATAATATAAGCTGAGCTCAGTTGTCTGTCATTCTACTACTCACACAGTAGAGAACATGTGACACTTTGCCCTTTTCCTCAATAAACTTCAATAGCTTCCATCCTTAGTTTCATTTAATTACTTCATTTAACAGTCTGAGATTATTTCATCAGACACAAGAGATTAAAATTTTCTTTCTTCATTCCCTTTAAATATTTCAATGCTTTCACACTTAAAATTTTATAAGATACTTTAACGTATGTCGGGCTGGAGGGATAGTACAATGGGAAAGGCGTTTGCCCTGCACACGACTAACCTGGGTTCGATTCCTCCATCTCTCTCAAAGAGCCCGGCAGGCTACTGAGAATATCCCACCTGCAAGGCAGAGCCTGGCAAGCTCCCCTCGATATGCCAAAAACAGTAACAACAAGTCTTACAATGGAGATGTTACTGGTGCCCGCTTGAGCAAATCCATGAACAACAGGAGAAAAGTATTACAGTGCTACTTTAACATATATAGGAATAGGTATATGTTAATTTTTTTCATGAGCATACCACTGTTCATCCAAATGTAACCTTTTAACAATATGTAAACTTTTAACAATATGTCACTAACTGTTCTCAAACATGTTTAAACAACTGTTTTGCTCTAAACCTAAAGTACTGGGGCTGGAGCAATAGTCACTGGGTAGGGCGTTTGCCTTGCATGCGGCCCACCCAGGTTCGATTCCCAGCATCCCATATGATCTCCTGACATATGGGGATGACACCAAGAATACCAAGAACAAATGAGTACCAATTCCAAAGCAAGCTCAGTGTAAATGGAAAGACTTGATAAGTTAACCACAGCTTAAAATAAAGTATCATTCAGTTCAACTTTCTAAGTGAAGAAAGTGCCCAAGTTCAGATAATCAGCGATGAGGGTTAGTCAGAAGTCTGAAAGTAAAGTTTTATCAATAACGAGATGTGATCTGTAAAGTGCTGTGCTCAAATACTATTTGTATATTTACCAACTTAATGAAGATTTAAGTTATGAAAATTAAAAACTAATATATAATCAATAAAAATGGAATATACTGGTGTCCTCTACTGATTTATTTCAACAACTTTAATGAAAGGGTTCAAAATCTTCCCTTTCGAAAGTAAGTTAAAGCAAATTCCACCAGGGGATTCCAAATAGAATGTTTGGAACTAGTTACTTTTCAACCTAATGGTAATTAATCCTAATATAGTATTTGGAGAACAACTCATTTCAGTTCATCTTAGAACTCTTAAATATAGCAATGCAAACCTAATGAAAACTCAATGCACATGTTAACACTTGAAAACTTTGGATAAATAGAACTGTCACTGTCACTGTCCTCCCGTTGTTCATCGATTTGCTCAAGCGGGCCCAGTAACGTCTCCACTGGAGGCTTTAATAAAAAAAGGTGAATAAACCGAAAGCTACAAGATACATTTGGTTTATCAGACTAAAGAAAGATGATAAAGAGTATGATATCAACACAGAAAGAAGTGAAAAAATATCGAGCAAGCGACTGCGGAGCAATAGCACAGTGGGTAGGGCATTTGGCTTGCACGTAGCCAACCCGGGTTCAATTCCCAGCATCCCATATGGCCCCCTGAGCACCGCAGGGGTAATTCCTGAGTGCAGAGCCAGGAGTGACCCCTGAGCATCCGCCGGGTATGAACTCAGAAAGCAAAATAAATAAAATTAAATTTAAAAACTCAAGCAAATAACTAACATCTGAAATGTTAAGTTATGGGGACTTTCAGGTATATTCAAATTATTAAAAAGGGCATGAGGAATTGCCAACATTTAATGATAACTGGGACTAGAAACAAAGTTTGATCCCTAAACTTGACCTTAAAATAAAAAAAATTCCATTAGATTACAAAAAAAAAAGACATTAAAATATAAAACTGTAGGGTCAAGAATATAGCTCAAATAGGAAAGCCATGACTTGCATGTGAGAGGTTCTGGATCTGACCTTCAGCACATGTCACCATCTATATCCCCCCAGTATCACTCATTCTCCTTCACTCCTCCTATAAAATGCAAATTCTGATATGGTGAAAGATACCAAATCACTGTCACTGTAGCACTGTCCTCCCACTGTTCATCAAGCAAATCGCTTGAGCAGGCCCAGTAACATTTCCATTGTGAGACTTGCTGTTACTGTGTTTGGCATATCGAATACGACCAAATCAAAAATTAAAATATTTACCAACAAGAAATTAACACAGTCAATCTATAAATCTTTTATAGTCCCTAAATAGCTCTTTAATTTCAATAATAAGCAAGTGCAAAACCTGGGTAGAATATATATATATCAGCATATATACTCATAAACACGTATCATCATTTTCATGTTTCCTACAAAACCAATGTCACAGGGAGAAAACAAATCACAAAGACTGATTAACAACAGTTGATAGAGAAATGTAAACAAAAGCACTATTTTTCACCAGTGTTTTATAAAACTGAAGAAAAAAAGGGGAGAGATCTGAAGTAATGGGCACTCTGACTGAAGAAAAGTGTAAATTATTATAGCAGTGCTGAAGGTAATTTAACAATAGAGTTCAAAATTTGTATACCTCAGCAATTCCATTTCTAAAGTCAAACTGTAACTAGAAGACAAAACATGTAAACATGATTTATAGGTATCAAAAACATGCATATATCAAAATACATACTACAGAACTCTCAGTAATAATGTAAAACTACACACATCAATAATTAAAATATACTATGATTCAAAGAAATACTTGTGTTAAAAAAGAATTTTTTCTGAAAACAGTGAATTTAAGGAAGGAATTTTCTCTTTTATAAGTTACATGATATTCATTTCTCTTTTACAACTAAGAGACCTCTGACTAATATGGCAGTAAGATAATAATTTGTTTATATATATATATATACACACTATAAAAATACTACTTTTTGGTCATATATGAATCTGTACTGCCTAATTTTTAATAAGAATTGGGCCCCATATTTTTATAGCCTATTAAAAAAATTACTGCTTTTTAATAACAATTTCAGTGTTCTTTTGTTATTTCCTTGTGTCTTTTTTTTTTACATTTGATTTTCTTCAGGGGCAATACTAGGTGGTGCTGGGTGAGGAGACTGATCCTTGAAATGACTGTGAGAACATACAGTGCAAAGAACTGAACACAGCATCTCACATAAGCAAGTTAGAACTCAACCAATGAACCACCCCTCCCTCCCTGGCTGCCATAAATATTTTGAAGGTTATATTGTACAATCCTGTATTTGTGTGACTTATTGTCAATCTGTATAATTAACTTTGTAAATTAGAATTCTAGCTATAAGATGGGAAGATCCACCCAGGATGGGAGATGCATGCTAAAAGCAGACTATAGACCGAACATGATTGCCACTCAATTCCTCTTTTGCAAACCACAGGACCCAAAAGGAGAAAGAGAACAAAAGGGAGTGCCCTGCAACAGAGAAGGGTGGGATAGGGAGATGGGGGTTGGGAGGGATACTGAAATTAGTGGTGGTGGAGAATGGGCACTGGTGGAGGGATGGGTACTCAATCATTGTATAACTGAAACCCAAGCACAAAAATCTGTAAGTCTACAATTGTATCTCATGGTGTTTCACTAATAAAAATTAAAAAAAAAAAAATTTAAAAGGCTCAATATAATTATATAACCTGTCTAAGTGGATTCAAACCAGACCTTTAAGATAAGTGTCTTGAAATTTTTTAAAGTGTAATACCTCTAAGAGCGGCATTTCTTCAGTGATTATGGGATCTAAACGGCGATCAGGACCATATTTAATAGACGTTTTCTCTTCCTTCGTGTTGTTTAGTCGAGGACCCTGAATTTCTAAATCTTGCCTCCCTCGGACTGACATACTCAAGGCATGTTTTCCTGAAATAAGAAAGAAGCAACGTGCCAAAATAATTTTATGTTATCTGACATCAACTTAGTTAGAATATATCATTACCATACAGTTCGGATTTTTTCTAGAAAAATCGTAGATAATTATGATTAGCACGATATATCAAATAATCAAGAACATTTCACTGTCGAGTTTAACTACACACATCTACTTATTGCTGCTTAATTTCTCGTTTTATTAGGATTTTTACTCTTTAGAATGACCACACGATAGGAAATATTCAACAAACAGATATGAGAGATTAGATATGTTAGGCCCATCATTTGATTCAGATTATAAAGAAATCTATTAAAGAAAATCATTCCAAAGTCAAAGGTCAATTCTTAATCATATCCATATTCAAATACACACTAATGTATTAGGTTGGTTTTCTAATGTATGAATTAGATTTCTGAATGATATTTTCTCAACTGATTGTACAGCAAAACTATATACTACAGGTAACTTTCTCAAAACTAAGCTCTTTTTATAGTCACAACAACACACAAATGTATAGTCTAAGAGGTGGGAGTGGGTTTTTTCTTCACAGTAGGACTATATAAAGCCAAAAGTCACATGATACTCTCTTATGGTATTTATAATGCAGTATTTCCCATATTTATTTTGACTTAGATACCTATTAAATTTGATGTTTAAAAATACTCTAAAATCAGGGGCCAGAGTAATAATATAGAAGATGAGGTATCTGCTTTGCACACAGCCAACCAGGGCTAAATCCCCAGCACCTCATATGGTCCCCTTGCCCCCCAGCCCACCAGAAGTAATTACTGAGTACAGAAAGAGGAATAAGCCCGGAACACTGCTATGTGAGGCTCAAAAGAAACCAAAAACAAAATAAGCAAGCCTAAAATGAAAATCCTATTTAAGGGGGGGAAAAAAAAAGGAAAAAAAATTCCAATTTATTGTAATAGTTAAATTCAGGATCTCTCACATGTAATAAATCACAGTAATGCATATGCATATTCTTAGTACCTTGAATTAAGCAATTTGTTAACTATAAGCCTGTAATGCTACATTAAGATCCCAGGTATGTATACGCAGAAAAGAAAACTTCAACAAGCTCTTAAAACTCAACTAACTACTTGATATGCTAAAAACTAGAAAAGTTTTTATAAATGAACCTTGTCTGGTATAAGTCATCCTAGAATCTCAAATACATAAAACTGCATTCAAGTTTATTATAAGTTTGTACAACTTATAAAACCTTATGAATAGTTTACTTTGTTAAAAAAATTCTTATTAAATCTTCCTAGATATTCAAATAGAAATACTCAAGGTTAAAAGGACCCATTCCCTCAGTCTAATCAATGGCTGAATAAATAGCAGTACTCCTACATTGGGCTGGAGAAAAAAAAAAAAAAGACCCATTCCCAGAAGAATTTCCAAAATAAATACTCAGCTTTTGTAAATTATTAGTCTTTTAATGACTATCAATTTGTTTTAAAAAATACATATCTACTAACACAAAATTTTAATAATAAACATCATCATCTTGTCAATTTAAACTCAACTAATTCCATATAATAATCACAAGATGGTTCTAGGCTTCCCTGAATTAAAAAGAAAAGAATAAACTATGTCCAGAAGCAATAGTACAGTGTGTACAGGGGCTTGGCCTAGCAATTTGATTCCCAGCATCCTATATGCTCTTCTGAGCTTGCCAAGAGCAATCCCTGAGCACAGAGCAAGGAGTAAGCTTGAAGCACTGCTGGTGTGGCCCAAGAAAACAAAAAAAAAAAGAATAAACCATGTTAAACATGTACCTTGTAGTTTTACATTTCAAAAACTTGCAAAGCAGAGTTCAGGAGATGGATCAAAAGGCTGGAGCACATGCCTGGATCTGACGGAGTTCCATCCCTGTTACCGAACTATCCCCCGCATAATTGCGTGTAGGGTCCTCTCACAAAAAAGGGTACAAGACCGAGTACCACCAAGTATAACCAGGAATAATTCCTATAATTCCTGACTGCAGAGCCAGGAGTGACCCCTGAGCAATCGCTGGGTTGACCCAAGGGGGGGAAAAAAAGGTACACGAATTTGTAAAATTTCATCTGGGGTCCCACGGATATCAGCCAACACTAAAACTGCACTTTCTTCTCAGGTTATCTGATAACCTCTATAGTGCTAACTACCAATGATGTGACAACATGATCTTAAACTTGTCCTGTTTCATAAAAAAAAAAAGTAACATTCAAAAATAGAGTATCTTATACAGTTTTTGAACAGGCAGCATATTTGTTTTATCAATGATTAGAAATATATTTAATTAGAACTTGCTGAATTTGGATCAATAACAGCAAAACAGTGTAGAACCTCAGAATGATCTGAAGAAAATATGCTCTAGAAGGAAATAAAGTTGTTTTGTTTTGAAGCTTTGGTAGTGGTTAATATAATTCAAGTTATTCATTCTTCCATTTGGTTACATGACTTTATTAAGGTACATCAAACCTATTTAGAAAATATCTCATTTTTATTCGTTTATTTTATGGAGATTTAATTATTAGTTTTCTAATTGTCTAGCAATGTTATAGCTTTACCTGTATGACACCCGGTAAGACCACCAACGCCATCTACGGTCATGGAGCCCTGAATAGTGCCAAGATTATAAACAACTCCCAGAATATGCAGCTCTCCTATGTGATGGGGAAAGAGCTTTAGTCTTGCCTGTGGAGATATTTAAGTCACTCTTATTATCTGTTTCCATTAATACCTTAAATAGCACTATACCTAAGTTCTTTAATGTCAGAGAAATATAAACCCATGACCCAGACTTTTAAAAATTCTCTTACTGGAAAATATTTTCTTCAAAGAAAATCTCCAAATCCAACCCTAAGGGGCCGGAGCAATGACTCAAAGGCAGGAACGCATGGCTACGTGCTGCAGGACTAGTTGACTCGCCAGCACCAATTCCACCCCTTACCACCGGAAGGTGGAACCCTGCTGACACCCAGCTTCAGAATCTTGGGCCTATGCAGCAAACCAAAAGGTTCACACTACCTGAATGCAGGGAATGGCACCCAGCCTCAAAGCAGCAATGGGAACTCCCCCTCAGAATAAAACAACCAAACCTCAACAATTGTGGGCTTGGATCCCCATCAATTGCTTCAATAAAGGTCTGGAAGATAGCATAAAGGGCTGGAAAACAATCTTTGCGGTGGTAGCCCCACGCTCAATCCCTGGCACCACAGAGTCACCCAAGCTTTACCAGGAGCAGCCCCTGAGCACTCAGCTGTGAAGAGCCCTTAAGCACTAAATCCCCATGCCACACCCACACCCCCCAATATTTTTGTCACTAAAAGTCAAATTATTCTGGTCATCCGAGTATCATTTAGGATTCTAAAAGGCTTTTTCTCAACAGGCTCCTGAGGAAACTATTCAAAGGCCAATGAAAACCTATTTCCCCCACCAACTTTCTCCTTTTAATTAAAATAATTTGCTTTCTCTTACTTTCAGAAAGACTTACAACAGAAAGATAATAAAATAATTACCACTTTAGATTCTTCACTGTTTATTAAGAATTCTGAAATTACTTCACTTCCAATCATTTTAGGTTCATTCATTACCTGAAAAAATAAATCATTTTGTAAAATATAGACTCTAGTGAATAAAATTATGAACTGATTTTGGGTTTAATCCCCAGCTGTGGTTTGGTCTCCCGAGCACAGCTAAGAAGAACCCACCAGCACTAACCACCACCCAGTGTGGTTCAACAACACACCCAAAAACATCAAAATAAAGAATCAGCATAAAAAGGCAGATGAATTTTTATCACTAAATTTTTATATAAAGAGGTCAAAATTTCAAAAACAATTCCCAATAGGGCCTGGAGCGATAGCACAGCGGGTAGGGCATTTGCCTTGAATGTGGCCGGCCTGAGTTCAATTCCCAGCATCCCCGATGGTCCTCTAAACACTGGCAGGAATGATTCCTGAGTGCAGAGCCAGGAGCAACCCCTGAGCATCTCTAGGTGTGACCCAAAAAGTTAAAACAAAACAAACAAACAAAAAAAATTCCCAATGAAGAAATAACAGAATAGCTTACAGATAATGCTTATAATGATGAAACACAAAAATGAAACATTTAGGTATTTTTATAGAAAATATACATATAAATCAAAATAAAATTTAAAAAGCAATAAATACTCCCACATATGAATATATATACACATAAATAATGACAAAGTCACGCAATAAAATATTAAAGTGTTATTTTCCCTAAGTATTGGAAAAGGCAGTTTTACTTTATTTCTGTTTTCTGAATTCTCAATTTCTAACAATAAGCATTATTTTTTAATTAGGAAAAATAAACATAACTAAGGAAAATAAAATAGACTAAAACAGAGTAAGCATAGCTTACTGAATGAAAAGCTGAAATTTATTACAGTATCTATTTTGCATTTACTAAAACATGCTTATTACAAATACCTTTTAATAACTTACTAGTTCTTTAACTTCTTCAAGACCCTTTCCATTGGAATCTTTAGGATGAAACTTCCAAAGCAAAGACAACTCCGTCAACAAAAGTGGAACTTTCAAAGGGTTTCTAAAAGCCACTTCCACTGTTATTGGTTCTACAAAATAAACACCTGAATTAAGAACTTGAACAAACCTCACGCATCACCCTATATTTCAACTCTGAACACTTCTTGCTTCCACAGCTCTTTCTCCTGTACAACCCTCTACAACCTCGTAAATGTGTTTATTCATGATTTGGTGTTTAAATCACCTCTAGATTTTCCCAGTTCTTCTGACTATTATTCTATAGCTTTCTGTTCTATATTCTAATTGCTCACAGGCATAGCTATATTAATCGGATTGCTTGGGTTTATAAAAGGAGACTAAATTGTGAATTCCCAACTTACTATTTCCTCCCCAACCTCTACCAATTTTTGGTATAATGTAAATTTATCTTGAATCTACAAACAAAATACAATAAAAATTAAAGGGTACCACCTTCTACAACCGCAAGTGGGAAGCGTGAGTTATCCGAGTAACTGTTCAAGCAGTACTGAGTGGGATGGAAATAGGATGGAACTACTCCTTTATTAACCACTGTTACAACTTGCTCTTCAAGTTCTCGCCACTGCTGAGAGGATTCAGAGTCATATTCTTGATCTAGACTTACATGAGTAGCTGCTTGCTTTTCACCTTAAAAAAAAAAAAGTACAATAATCGTATTTATTAACACCTGTCTTCTCAAATTATACCATTCAAATAAAAATAAGGTATTCAAATAACAAACATACACTCTTGCCTCATTCCCATTATGTGAGAGAAAAACGTCCTGTTATTTATCCTCCCAACTGGAATTTGCTTCCTCCTGATATTGGAAGAAGGTACTCTCCCTAGCTTGCCACAATTTTGGGAGTGTGAGTATGGAGGCGAGGAGGGAATGGGTAGGACAGAGAAGGGGGCACTGAGGTGTGTGGCCACACCACCTATGCTCAGGGTTTACTTCTAGCGCTTCAGATTGTGTTGGGGAATCATATGCAGTGCCAGGGATCAAACCCATGTAAGTTGTGTGCAAGGCAAGCACCTTTATCTTGTCTATCTCTCTGATACACAAGTTTTATGGGGAGGGTGGTATTTAGGGCCACATCCAACAGTGGTGCTCAGGGCTTACTCCTGGCTCTGCACTCAGGGATCATTCCTAGCACCCTCCTTTTGCAGTTTTTAATGCCGTTAAAAGAAAAACACTAAGGTTGTCTGATTTCCATCAGTCTTCCTGCTGGTTTGATGTAGCACAGCTATTTATTTTCAAATTTATATTAACCACTACCATTCATTAGTAAGAGGGAAAAACAGTTTATAAAGTGACTAGGTAAAAAAATGAAAATTTACTAACCATCAGCTGGTCGTCGGTCATGGCCAAAGAAAACCCGTGTTGCTGAGCTGTTAATATAGGGTAAAGGAAGCTGTGGCAAAGGACCATCAGGTGACAGCTGACTTACATTCTAGCAGAAACAGAAAAGAGGAATTTTTTTTAAATACCATTTGTTTCCTCATTCTTAAACACAAAGGGCATTAAAATTATGTCAAGTACTACTGGAGAAAAAAATTACTCATTTGAGGACAGGATATGGTGCAATGGCAGAACACCTACTATGCCATGTGTGAGGCCAGTGAGTTCAATTTTTCAAGTCGAATCTCTGGCACTACAACCAAGCATGAGCCTGATCCCTGGCACATCACAACCAGTGCAAGACAGCCAACTGCGGAAGCATCACCAAGTGTGTGACCACCCCTTGCATCATGCACCAACTTTTTTATGATGATGAGGAGGAAGAGGAGGAGGAGAATTACAGTGCCAGGAATTGGACCCAGGGCCTCACACACAGAAAGAAAGTGCTCTACCACTGAGCTACAGCCTCAGATATCAACTTAACTTAATATAAGAGTTATCAAATTTTCCAAATAAAAAGAACTTTAGGTATCATTTATCCTGACGCAACAGAATCTTCTTAAGGTTATTCAGCTAGTTGGCTCTCTTAGATAGATGTTAAACTGAAAACATTATTTGATAAGCAATTTTATCCCTGTAACTCATTCCAAGCCATGCTATCTGTCAAATTCTAACCCATAAAATTTCAAACAAAAAATAAAATGGTAATCATTTTCTGTAAGGCTTACATAATATTCACTATTTATAGACCAAGAAAAGAATTTTAAGACAGCCATTTTGGTTAATTTTTGGCCACACCCAACAATGCTGAGGGTCAACTCCTGGCTCTGTCCCTCTATTCCTCCTTCTGCTGCGTCTAGTAGCGATTGAGTATCATGTGTTACTGGGTACTGAACCCAGGTGTCACGCACGTAAAGAACACAGCTTAACCTGTTGAAATATATCCCCAAAACACTGTCGCTCTTTATTAACATAGGCTATGCTCAGGGCTTACTTCTGGCAAGGCTTTGGGAACCACTGGGATCAGTCACGTAAAAGACAAGAACTTTATCCCTCCTTCAACTCTCTCCGAACCATCAACTACCTCAGCTATGTCCTTCTTCTTCAACATTCCAAAGAGCAATCACAAATCCAACTTTAAGTGGGCATTACTTTTTATTTATTTATTTAACACAGCAGGCAGGGGCCAGAGTGATAGTGCTGCAGGTAGGATGTTTGCCTTCCATGTGGCTGACCCAGATTTGTTCCCCAGCATCCCATATGGCCCCCTGAGCCCGCCAGGAGTAATCCCTAAGCACTACCACGTACCCCCCACCCCCAATAAATAAAGTTAAAAAATGTAGAGGGCAGGGGCCAGAGAAAAGAGTACAGAAGGCAGGGCGCTTGACTTGCATGGAGCTGACCCAGGTTCGATCCCCAGCACCCCATAACGGCACTCAAGGTCCTGCCAGAAGTGATCCCAGAGCACACAGTCAGGAGTATGCTCAGAGCACCATGGGTGTGGCCCCAAAACAAACAAACTAAAAGTAGAGGGCAATGTAACTCAGGCAACCAAAAAGTCTAGCCTGCCATACTTTACTATGAGAGACAATTACATAGTTCTAATAAAACCACTTCATTAGCTTCCTACTAGATAATACTGAATACGTTTTGTGCTGAAAACAGTTAAATGTTATTATATTTAACTCTTTATTATATTATGATATATATTCCAAAAAATACCTTGTAAACATAAAGGTACTCTCTGAGGAAGGCCCCTTGCTGAGCAGCAGACTGTTTACTTTCATTGATTAAAATGTGTCTAAAAGCAGACACAGCGTTGTCTAGTTGCCTAAGAGTATATGACTGGCGCCCGATGGTGAAGTTGATATGATCCTCAGCAAGAGACCAGCCTTTTCCTTTGTAAACTTGCATGGCTTGACAATAGCAACGCAAAGCATGCTTTTTCTGTAAGAAACAAAACTAAGTATTAAAATATACATTGCTCATGGGTAGAAAATATAAATGCCTGCACAATAAACTAGTGATTTCTCCTCCTCTGTTGTATGATAAGGAACATAAACATTTATGGAACCCCCTTTATAATTTACGAATTAAAAAGAAACCAGTGGTAGATGTCATTCCTGGCAAAATACACACACACACCAAAAAGCCATGAAGCACATAAACATGTACTGTCAAGGGAACAAGTCTGAGAAGTCAAGATTACACTAGAGGGCTGGAGCAATAGTACAGCGGGTAGGGCATTTGCCTTGCATGCAGCCGACCTGGTTCGATTCCCAGCATCCCATATGGTCCCCTAAGCACTGCCACGGGTAATTCCTGAGTGCAGACCCAGGAATAAACCCTGTACATCTCCAGGTGTGACCCAAAAAGAAAAGAAAAGAAAAAAGATTACACTAGAGATGATTACTAGCGCAGTAAACAAATGTATCTTTTTTTGTTTTCCGCCTTTTGGGTCTCACCTGACAATGGGGTGCTGGGGATCAAACCTGGGTCAGACACATACAAAGCAAGCGCCCTATCCACTGTACGATCATTCCAGTCCTTAACAGAACGTTTTAAGCAAGGGTATTCAGTGGGAGAATGTTTCAGTTGCATTTATATTCAATGTGGGAGAAAGAACTGTAAAAAATAATGGTTACAAGTTCTTGTGTCCTAGGACCCACCCCTTTAAAGTCTGAAATTTTCCAATTCCTGGAATATATCCACTATTATAAAAAAAAAAAATGTTTAAATTCAGGGAAGAAGAAGATGGCTCAGTGGGCTGGAGCATAATGCACAGGTCCTACAGACAGAAGTCCTGGGTTCAATCCTCAGCAACACATGGTTCTCCCAACCACTACCCCCCAAAAGCAAAAAATCCCTTTTAAGGATTGCATAGATAGCTCAAAGGGCTGGAGCACATGCTCTGCATGTGGAAACCAGCACAGAATGACCCCCGCAAAGTGCTGCAGCAGAATGTCCTGTTGGTCCCCAGCACCTCAGGGCATGGCCCTAGCAAAACCACCAGTCAAAGGAGCAGACCCACCCAGCTAGACCAAGCAGTTACATAAGTGGCTTTGGGATGCCCTGGTACTGCTTGGGAGGCTCCTGCCAAAATTTAATTTTATGAATATCTGTAATGTCTGCGATCTAATATAAAATAATCACAGACTTTCTGATTTTCACAATTTCCAAAAGACAAGAGTAAAAGACCTATTCTTAAAATGTTGATTAAAAAAAATATGGTTCATTAAAGTAGTAATTTTTAAACAGCCTTTTCATACCTCTTTAATAACACATAATTTAAGTACTAATTATTTCGGTTAGCAAACTGAAAAATGTTTTTGTATGTTCATAAAATTTTAAAATTAGATTAGAAGCTCCTGAACAGAGAGGAACATGTTGACTTTATGAGTCTATTCGCTCCTAGAAGAATCTCTAGAATACAGAGGGGAGTATAATCTACATTCCCAGCTACACTTGTAGTAAACCACCATTTAATTACTGCTATACTCTGAATCTCTAGCAGAGATCCTCCATCTAACATTTTATGGACAAGAGGGGAAGAAGAGATCACTCTAAGGGCTCTCCACCCCAACTGCTTTCAGGAAAAAAACCAACGCCTTCTACGCATTAAACATTGATTAAGTCTCATTACAAGGCACCCTAGACAACAAAAGACCAAAGAGCAAGAGGAGAGAAAAATCACTGTTTAGGATAGTTGGTATCTGATCCTTCCCATACTTAATCTGTTTAACTGCCACAAAGATGTGGGCAAAATTCCAAACTGTATAAATAAAACCCTGAGAACCGTAACTTGATCAAAGGTAAGTTGTAAATAAAACAAGATTTAAACCCAGATTTGTATAAATCCAAATTCCTAGCCCTTAACAATGTAACACATTACCTCAAAACAATTTATTTTCAAATTATTAGTTCTAATAACTTATTTTCTTTTGAAACATGCACTCACCTGCCCTGCTTTACTAAACCGATGGCCTGCCAATATCATATGAAATGCATATTTTCTAACCATGGGACTCTTCATGTTTATAAAGCAATGTGCTGCCTGTTCCAAAAGAAGTGCACTTCGAAGATCAGAATCCTATTGAATGTTTAAAAGAAAGGTTAGTTTCATAAAATTATAAGTAAAGTGATAACTGGTAAAAAAATATTTATTTTCTTAAAACATTTATAGCACATTCACTGTTTTAACTTAGAAAATCTGAGAGTAAAGAGCAAGGGGAAATCCAATCTTGATTCTTTCAGTAAGCCATTTTTAATCCTTCAAAATATTCTCTACCATTAGTTTTTTTTGTTATTCATAAAGGCAAGTGTCTGATTCTAATATATATGCCATGTCATAAAGCTCTGAAGAAACAAATCCCCCTTCAAAGGGCAAGGTATATTGATATACTGAAATTTTAATAGTGGTATACTGATTATTAAAAAAAAAAAAGAGGAGCAGGGGGCAGGGAAGAATTCACACCAATCTAATTTCTTCTGAAAAATCAATCTATGCCATCAAATATCTTATTTTCATCTGTCCGAAAGAGAAAACAGAATGTGTGTAGATTATGTAATAATCTAATCTACTACTTTTCATCTATAAAGTTTTGCTCTATTTAAAAGAAATTCTCATTTTCTGTTATTATTCAAAAGGGCCAAAATGACTGCTTTATATTCAAGTTCAGAGGGCTGCCATTCTTTCATCACCTACTGTTAGTGTAAGAGTAAATGGTGCAATTCAAACTAGCTTTTACTTCAATCCACTTTTGCAACACTGTCTACAAAAAAAATCACATCCTCCATTTATGTCATCTCCCTTAAAGTCAACCTTTCAAGTGAAAGAGCTATAATCATTTTAGAAATAACTGAGAAAGTACTGAAGGTTGCTGATAACGTATCAACAACATTTTCATCAAAACTTTCTCTAGGTTTTCAGCTATTCTCAAGCTGAACTTACCATGCCCTTCCATGTGTTCTGCTGCCATTATTTTCCCCAGGGAAAGTTGCAAATAGAAAAGATTGACTTTAAATGCAATAATTTCAACAGATTATAGTTACGTTAAAAAGTGTTCATTGACCATTAATATAATAACTATCTCCTGTAGCAACCATAAAATTTTATTAGAGTTAAAACAGATCTGTATTCAGTAAACAGTAGATATCATTATCTCTTACCTTATATAATAAAAACTAAATAATCAGATGATTTTTTTAAAAATTAAGACCCAAAAGCTAGTAAGCGGCAAAATCAGGGATATAAAATCAATAAACTGTTGGGGAGATTAGGCTGCTTCTTATTTTCTAAAACTTATTTTTGTTTTGGGGGCTAAACCTGACTGGGCTCAGGGCTTAGTCCAGCACAAAAAAATGTTGTGTGAAAAATTAGCAATATGTTCAATGTTAAAAAATAGTAAACATCTTTCCTATCTCACACCTCAAATGATTTACACCAGGAATTTAAACTCTCTAGCGTTTATATGTGCCACTTCTCTCTTCTAAACAGATGTTTTATCACATATACATACACACACACATTACATGGTTATATCATAAACAAATTTTTTAAATTATAAAAATTAAATTATAAAATTTAAATTATAAAAACTTTGGAAATATGTAGGATAATGTACTTATAAATTAGTTTCAAACAATAAAACTGGTGTTTCTTCCTCTGTAGTTATGGAAACAAACTACAACTATTAACTCATTCTTGTCTTTCTGCGACCATCAAAACAAATATATGTCAGAGAACCAGTGACATGTTCATTGTTCAGGTGTCACTGTCACTGTCCTTCCGTTGTTCATCGATTTGCTCGAGTGGTCCCAGTAACATTGTGAGACTTGTGACTGTGTTTGGCATATCGAATACATCACGGGTAGCTTGCCAGGCTTTGTCAAGTGGACGAGATACTCTCGGTAACTTGCCGGGCTCTCCGAGAGGGCAGAGGAAAGAACTCAGGTCGACCGTGTCGGCAGCGTGCAAGGCAAATGCCCTACCCGCTGTGCTATCACTCCAGCCCAAATACAAATACGCATTTTATATATCCATTCTTTTAAAAACATAAATGGTATTGTTCAGAGTATACTTTAGGGGGTGGGGAGGTCATATCAGTGGCTGTTTCTGGCTCTGTACTCAGAAATGATGCCTAACTCAGGAGACTATATGGGATGCTCAGGATCTGAGATCTGATCAGTGGGCTGTGGTCACTGCAGACTCATGAAAGACAAGTGGTCTAACCTCCAATACTATCTCCCCAGCCCTAATCTTGCTTTCTAAAGTTAATATCACAGATTTCTTTCCAAGATATCTACTCTCTTTTCCTTTAATTGTGCATTGTATTCCACTATATATGAATTATACCATATAGTCTTTATTTAATACTTGTAAGTTTTTATAAATATAAAAAGTTTCAATAAACACTTACAAAAATATTTTGAGTAGGGGTTGGAGCAATAGTACTGCGGGTAGGTCATTCGCCTTGCACGCAGTCAACCGAGGTTCAATCCCCAGCATCCCATATGGTCCCCCGGGCACCACCAGGAATAATTCCTGAGTGCATTGCCAGGCATGACCCAAAACACAATTAATTAATTAATTAATTAAAGTTAAAAATATTTTGCGTAATATTAAACAAGTATTTTAATAGACAGATAGGACTGACTTGATGAGTCACTCATATACTTAAAATTCTAATAACCAGACCACAAAAAGTACTGTATTCAAGTCAACAAAAAACTACTTTTAGCTCTTTAAGAAAAATAACACTTTGTTCTTAAACATACATATGCTTAATAGAAATGCAATCATTTTAATATGTTTAAGGGTTTTTTTTTTCTGGGAACTTCCTACTTTTGCAAATGGGGTTTTGTAATTATCTACTCTTGAGTTCTTTGTAAACATCAATTATTAGTCTTTGCCATACATTTTCAAGTAGTACTTTGCTGTTTGGAAATGAAAGATATTGTTCTTTAGTTATCTTTATGGTTTCAAAATATTAATGGAACTGAAAAAAGGTAACATTACTAAATTTTAAAAGATGCTCTATGTTTTTTGGCTTCATTTTTTATAATGATTTTATTTTTGTATTATACTAAAAAAAGGAAATATTGTATGTATTCTAGCACTGCCCTCAAAAGTTGTTCATCAATTTGCTTGAGTGGGCACCAGTAACATCTCCATTTAGAGACTTGCTGTTACTGTTTTTGGCATATTGAATATGCCACGGGGAGCTTGCCAGGCTCTGCTATGGGGGCGGGCTACTCTCGGTAGCTTGCCGGGCTCTCTGAGAGGGATGGAGGAATTGAACCCGGGTCGGCCACGTGCAAGGCAAATGCCCTACCCACTGTGCTATCGCTCCAGCCATTTTATGTATTAATAAGGTAAATTTTCAACCTTAACAGTTAAACTATCCAACATTACATAAAGTACAACAAAAAACTCCCATCAATTTTAAAGGACATATATTGTACGTAATAAAATGCTCATTTTGTTCTACTCCTATCTATTCTTACTCATTTTGTAGCATAATAATTTTAACACATAAGGCATCTAAAATTTTAGCTGCACATCTAGCTATAATTTTTGTTAGGCTTCTCAATAGTTTTAATACTATATATTTTTCAAGTTTATTAACATGTATAAACAATTGCACATACACTGCCATAAATACACATATAATTTATACTATAAAAATATGCAATCCAGTAAAAACAGAACAATAAACACTAAATATACTCAAATTTAAAACAAGGAGTAATATAGGAAAGACCTGCAAGTCCATGGCTTAACTAAAATTTGCTGTAGGCAATAATAAAACTGTCATCTGAGAAAAAATAATCTGCAAAGCTGAGTATGTTTTCAAAACTCCCTACAGTTTTGTTCACAAAGTCCCTGTCCCTGATAGTGATACCTATAAAATGGTAAATCCTTGCTAAAACAAATAGCCCTGGAAAGAATGATAAATGCCATCAATGTTGATGGAAGAAAACCAAAGAATTTATTTTTTAATTTTTTGTTTTTAATAGTACATTTGTAGACTTACAAACTTTCATGCTTGGGTTTCAGTTATACAATGATCAAGTACCCATCCCTCCACCAGTGCCCATTCTCGACCACCAACAATCCCAGTAGCCCCACCCCCACACCCCATCCTCCTGTCTGGTCCCGCCTCTGTGGCAGGGCAGGGCATTCCCTTTTGCTCTCTCTTTCCTTTAGGGTGTTGTGGTTTGCAATAGAGGTACTGAGTGGCCATTGTGTTTGGTCTATAGTCTACTGTCAGCACACATCTCACATCCCGAGTGAATCCTCCAAACCCCCTTTACTTGGTGTTCCCTTCTCTATACGAGCTGCCTTTTCCCCCAGCACGTGCTGCCGGCTTCCAAGCCATGAAGCAGACCTCCTGGGAACTATCTCAACTATTCTTGGGTGTGCATCTCCCATTCTCTTACTTTATATTCCCCAGATGAGTGTGTACAGACAGTCTATGTCTGTACCTCTCTTTTTGACTCATTTCACTTAGCATATTTTCCATGTAGAATCACTTGTACGCAAATTTCATGACTTCATCATGAAATTTGCAAACTTGTATGCAAATTTCATGACTTCATCATGAAATTTGCAAACTTGTATGCAAATTTCATGACTTCATCATGAAATTCACAAACAAATTTGGAATGGAGGAATGGACAAAGTTTCTTTAGCCAGCCATCTGTTCTCAGGCACTCGGGTTTTTCTAGATTTTGGCTATTGCAAACAGTGCAGCATTGAACATACAAGTGCAGATGTCACTTCAGATGTAGTTTTTGGCCTCTCTGGAATATATTCCTAGGAGTGGTGCTGCTGGGTCAAATGGGAGCTCAGTTTCTCATTTTTTTGAGAATCGTTCATACTGTTTTAAATTGGCTAAACTAGTTGGCATTCCCAACAGCAGTGAAGGAGAGTCCCTTTCTTCCCACATCCACGCCAACACCAGCTGCCTTTGTTTTTTTTGGATGTGGGTCAGTCTCTGTGGTATGAGATATCTCATTGTTGTTTTGATCTGTCTGCATCTCCCTGATGATTAAAACTAAAGAATTTTACAGTAATAGTTTTAACCATAATGCAGAGGTTTTAAATGAAAAGAGAAATAAAATCCGTAACTATGATAATGACAAGGCTATTACATATGCTGTAAAGTAATTTAAAAAATTGTGATAACCTAAAAACAGGAGCTCCAACCTATAAATCTTGCTCATATAATAATTTTAACATCCCTCCACCAGTGTAATTTCCCAGCACCAGTGTCCCCAGTTTCCCTCCCACTCCTCCAAGCCCTCCCATCCCCGACGCCCACCTGCCTCTTTGCAAGGCAGCACCTCTCCTCTGTCTCTCTTTCTCTTCTCTCTCATTTTAGGCATTATGGTTTGCAATACAGATACTGAGAGGTTGTCATGAATATTCCTTTATCTACTTTCAATACACAGTTCCTTTCCAGAGTGTTCATTTCCAACCAGTGCTGTCATAATTGATCCTCCCTATCTTAACTACCTTCCACCCCCAAGCCTTGTGATATTTTCTAGCCACTGACCAGTCGTCACCCTTTTTCCCTGGTCTGTGGCAATGCTTTGATGCTTCTACATCATGATTTTTTCCTTATGTTCTCATATATTTCATCCACCCCACAAAAAAAATTTTTTAAGAAAATATTGTTTCTGCGGAAATGTACCACTGCTTGCTCCCGTAAGGCTGTATATGAAATGATTCCCTAGAATTTGTAACAAAATAAATAATCCAGGATCCAGAGTGATAGTGTAGCTAGTAGAACATTTGCCTTGCATGCAGCTGATACAGATGTGATATCTGACACCTAATATGGTCCAGTCCACCAAGAGTGATCCCTGAGCACAGAGACAGGAGTAAGAACCTGAACACTCCAAGTCCAAAAATAAATAAATTAACCAAATTTGAGACAATGTGAAAACAAAGAGAAGGGAAAGAGAAGAATTAAGAGCTTAAAAATGCAGAATTATCATACACCATGACCAAGTAGGATTCATCCCAGGGATGCAAGGATGGTTTAACGGTCGGAAATCAATCAACATAATCCATCATAGCAACAAAGGAAAAGATAAAAAGCATATGATCATATCAATAGATGCAGAGAAAGCATTTGACAAGATCCAGCACCCCTTTATGATGAAAACCCTAGCCAAAATGGGTATAGACGGGACTTTCCTCAACATAGTGAAAGCCATCTACCACAAGCCTACAGCAAGCATCATCCGCAATGGGGAAAAACTGAGAGCCTTCCCTCTAAGATCAGGGACGAGACAAGGATGCCCACTCTCTCCACAGCTGTTCAATATAGTACTGGAAGTACTTGCAATAGCAATTAGGCAAGAAAAAGATATTAAGGGCATTCAGGTAGTAAAGGAAGAAATCAAGCTCTCACTATTCGCAGAAGATATGATACTATACTCAGAGAACCCAATAACCTCCACCAAAAAACTCCTAGAAACAATAAGACTTGTATAGTAAAGTTGCAGGCTATAAAAATCAATACTCAAAAGTCCATGGCTTTCCTATACGCAAACAGTGAGAGAAAAGAAAGCTACATGAAAAAAACAATCCCATTCACAATTGTGCCCCAGAAAATCAAGTACCTAGGAATCAGCTTAACTAAGGAAGTAAAGGACTTGTACAAAGAAAACTACAAAATGCTACTTCAGGAAATAAAAGAGGACATGAGGAAATGGAAAGATATCCCTGCTCATGGGTCAGGAGACTTAACATTGTCAAAATGGCAATACTACCAAAAGCATTGTATAAATTCAATGCAATCCCTATAAGGATACCCATGACATTCTTCAAAGAAATGGAGCAAACACTCCTGAAATTTATATGAAACAATAAGCCCCCACGAATAGGTAAAGCAATTCTTGGGAAAAAGAAAATGGGAGGAATCAACCTCCCTAACTTCAAACTCTACTACAAAGCAGTAATAATTAAAACAGCATGGTACTGGAACAAAGACAGAACTGCAGACCAATGGAATAGGGTTGAATACACTGACATCTCCCCTCAATCATATGATCATCTAATCTTTGATAAAGGTGCAAGAAATGTGGAGTAAGGAAAGCCTCTTTAACAAATTGTGCTGGCATCACTGGACGGCTACATGCAACAAAATGGGCTCAGAACTCTGCCTAATACCATGTACAAAAGTAAGATCAAAATGGATTAAAGAACTCAACATCAGACCAGAAACCATAAGGTACATTGAAGATAAAGTTGGCAAAACCCTCCATGACATTGAAGCTAATGGTATCTTCAAAGATGCCACGCCACTGGCCGAGCAAGTGAAAACAGAGATAGATAAATGGGACTATCGTAAACTAAGAAGCTTCTGCACCTCCAAAGAAACAGTGACCAAAATACAAAGACAGTCTACAGAATGGGAAAGGATATTCACCAAATACACATCTGACAAGGGGTTGATAACAAGGATATACAAAGTACTGGTTAAACTCCACAAGAAGAAAACATCCAACCCCATCAAAAAATGGGGCAATGAAATGAACAGAAACTTTCTCAAAGAAGAAATCAGAATGGCAAAAAAGCACATGAGAAAAAATGCTCTACATCATTAATCATCAGGGAGATGCAGGACAAAACCACAATGAGATACCATCTCACACCTCAGAGACTGGCCCACATTCAAAAGAACAAAAGCAACCGATGCTGGCGCGGATGTGGCGAGAAAGGGACACTCCTTCACTGTTGGTGGGAATGCCGACTGGTTCAGCCCTTTTGGAAAACAGTATGGACGATTCTCAAAAAGTTAGAAACTGAGCTCCCATTTGACCCAGCAATACCACACCTGGGAATATATCCCAGAGAGGCAAAAATGTATAGTCAAAGTGACAGCTGCACTTGTTTGTTCATTGCAGCACTCTTTACAATAGCCAAAAACTGAAAGAAACCTGAGTGCCCAAGAACAGATGACTGGTTAAAGAAACTTTGGTACATCTACACAATGGAGTACTATGTAGCTGAAAAGATGAAGTCATGAAATTTACATACAAGTGGTACAACATGGAAAGTACCATGCTAAGCGAAATGAATCAGAAAGAGAGGGATAGACATAGAAAGACTGCATTCATCTGGGGAATATAAAGTAACAAAATATGAGATTAATACCCAAGAATAGCTGAGATCAGCACCAGGAGGATTACTCCATAGCTTAGAGGCCAGCCGGGCATTCTAGGGGAAAGGGCAGTTCAGATAGAGAAGGGAGCACCAAATAAAGGGTGTTTGGAGGATCCTCCCAGGAAGGGAGATGCATGTTGAAAGTAGACTATGGACTGAACATGTTTGCCACTCAAAGTCTCTTTTGCAGACCACAACACCCAAAAGGAGAGAGAGAACAAAAGGGAATGCCCTGCCATAGAGGCAGGGTGGGATGGGGAGGATGGGGGTGGGGGGGATATTATCCATGGTGGTGGAAAACGGGCACTGGTGGAGGGATGGGTATTTGATCATTGCATAATCTAAACCCAAGCACAAAAAATTTTAAATCTACAACTGTACCTCATGGTGTTTCACTAATAAAAATAAAATAAAAACAAAAAAATTTTAAAAATGCAAATTTCCCAATTTCCTAAATCATAAATCTTTCTACATTCAATGATATTCCCTGGGTTGAAAAAGAGCAACAGAATCAAACCCAAGTAAACATCATTTATTATACTCTGGAACATCAGCACATTCAAAAGCCCATACTCAGCTTTACTAAATCCTCTGGCAATTGTTCACATTGCTCAGTACATAAGTACTATGAATTATTAAACATGTTAGTATCATCCCTAAACCTAATTATATCTTATTAGGTTCTGTAAGGTCTAACTTACAGAAACCTTCTTCAGATTAAATTGAACAAACATTTGTAAATCATAAACCATAAGTCAAAAGCACTGTGGGGCATTAGGGGTAAGCAGGTATAAAGCATCCTTAGCACCACCACCACACATACATACATGCACGACATGTGTGCGTGCATGCACACGCACACGACATGCACACATACACACAGCAAGAGAAGGCAAAGCAAGCATGTAGAAAAAGTTAAGCTTAAATATAATTATCAACATGACAAATCAGATCATATTGTATTATACATACTGTATTATGCAAGAACATAAAACAGTAACTTAGGTACTGTTGAGACTATCCAAAGAACATGATTGATATAACAGAATTATAAATTACCGGAAGACAAAAGGGGCACAGTACTAAAGGACACTAAGGACATGAACTTGTACAATAATAGATTAAAAAAATAAAATAAAAACTATTTAGAAATATAAAAGGAAAGTATATTTAAGCAAAAATTTTAGGGTCAGAGCAACAACACAGAGGGCAGGACATTTGCTTTGCATTTGGCTGACCACGGTTCAATCCCCAGCACTGCTTATGGTTCCCCTAGGTCTGCCAGGAGTGATTCGTGAACACAGATGCAGAAATAAGCCCCTAAGCACTTCCAGGTGTAGCCCAATAACCAAAAATGAAAGAAGAAAAAATGTTAAACTCCTCAGTTATGTTATACTGCCAGGAATAGTGAATCTCAGAGCATTTCAGGCAATTTCTGCCTTGAATAAATGAGGAAGTAGGTACTAAATAACAAAAGTTAAGATCATTATCTATAAGAAAATTTGTTAGTTTAGTTACCAATATATCAAATTAAAGGTGCCTTAGAGGGGCCAGCATGCTTGCCTTGCATGCGGCCAGCCTGGGTTTGATGCCTGGTTCTACAGAAGGTCCTCTGAGCCCACCAGGAGTGACCTCTGAGTGCAGAATCAGGAGTAAGTCCTGAGTACCACTGAGTATAGCCCCAAAACAAAATAAAAGTGCCCCAGTAACATCCATATTGGTAATCTGAAAAGATAGCTGGTCAGATAAATCTAAGGTTTAAAGAGAGATTTGGGAAAAACACAGATTTTGCAAGTAAAAATCATGACTGCAGACATTTTAAAATATGTAAAAAGTACAAAGGTTCAAGGATTAAAACCCTACTGTGCATTAACAGTTGAGGAGCAAAGTTCACCTTAAAAAAATGTGTCTTCACCCATACAAGGTAAGGAATCCCTACCATTATTTACAAACTTAAAGTCAATGTAGTTTAATGAATTCTATAAACCCTCTATAGAAATTAAAAGTGAACTGCTTTTTCTCCCTTTTGAAACATTCACAGATTTTTTTAATGCTTTTAATTTTTTGTTTTTTAAATTTACCCTGGTGAAGAATAGTAACTTTCCAACAATTCACTTTTAAGTACTAATCTTTTATTAGGAATATTGCACATGCTGCTTTACATGCTATTTATGTATAGGTCAGAACCCAATTCATGGAAGAAGCTAAATATGTAACAGTAATAACAGACTTAAAATCTGTGAATAAATTATTCATAAAACTTATAAAATATTGCATTTACAATTAATTCAACAGTTAACTAACATAGCCACTTATATATTCTCAAGGGTATCTTCCCTCTATGTTTTGTATACAACCTCGAGAGAATATAAAATTCTATAAGCAAATATTGTAGTTTCATACCTCACTAGTCAACCGTATTAAGAGAGCTGCAGCTTCTGAATATTTGCTTTGACTTTTTAAGATTTCTGCACTAAGCAATACACATCTTTCCGCCAATACCATATTCCTATAGAGAAAGACAAGAAAATTTTAGTGTTACAATGCTTTTTCCCCTAAATCATAGTTACTGTGTATTCGTTAAGTTTACAAGTCTAATGTTCGGGCTGGAGTGATAGCACAGCGGTAGGGCATTTGCCTTGTGTGCAGCCAGCCTGGCTGAGCCGGGTTCAATTCCTCCGCCCCTCTCGGAGAGCCCGGCAAGCTACCGAGAGTATCTCGCCGCACGGCAGAGCCTGGCATGCTACCCCTGATGTATTCGATATGCCAAACATAGTAACAACACAGTAACAACTTATGTTAGGCTGAAGAGATAAATGGCTGAGTACATGCTTTGCGTGAGAGCACGCTCAGCTTTGGGACAACACTCCACTGTCCTCTGAGAACTGCTGGGAATAACTTCTGAGCAAAGATCTGGGAGTAGTGGAGAAGTGGGCTAGCACCGCCAGTTGAAACACAATTTTTAAAAAGGCAGGGAGTGGGGGCTGGTTTCCTCAGCAGCCAGTTTGTGTTTTGAGGGTTAAAAATTCTAATCCTCACACCCATGGAGACCAGTGCTAAAAGAGAAGTTCAATCACCAGTGGTCATTGAGTTAGTCACTTCTATGTACTGGCACCTCCAACAACCAAGAAGACAAGGTCTAGAAAGCTTCCATGCTGGTAAATATGTGATGACTTGGAGAATAACCTACCTGGAGAAGGCATAAACACTACACTTTTTGTCCACATCTAATATGATGCATTTCTTCCAGATGGCTACTTATGCACAAATTTTAATATTCTTTACAACCAAATCTCAGGCAAATGCCCTAAGAACCCCTGATTTGGTCAGCTGGTCATAAGCACAGACAATTTAGATTTGCAACAGGAACCTGAAGTTTGAGGAAGGACTATGGGAACCAATCTAGCCAACTGATTAGAAGCCCAGAGAGCAGTATGGACTAAGAGCCTGCATCTGCAGCAGAGGGTAGTTTGGGAGACCAGCCCTGGACCTGGGAGCCTGAGGCTGTCTCCCTGCAATGGCAGACCTGAACCAAAACTGGTCAAAGATAGTAAGCCCAAATAGAAACCAGTAATAATATAAATGTGTAATTCACCTCAAAATGAACAGAACGTAAATATTCTAGTCACCTACTTGCAGATATCCCTGTATGTCTGGATTGCTGTATCCATGTAATGCGCAGGGTATGGCCTCGGTGCTCCTGGCTGAAGAAATGCTGACACTGCTGCCATTTCCTAGAGAAGAAGACACTTTCTTAGCATACTGAAGACAAAGAAATAGCATTATAATTTAGCATTCAAAAGACTAATTAGAATAAGGACTAGAGCGATAGTTCATCAGACTAAGAGCATACAGAGGGTCCAGGTTAAATCCCTGGTACTGCATATGGTCCCCTGATTACTGCTGGGCGCAACCCCAGAGCAAATAAAAAAAAGACTGAAATAAAATTTGCTACGGTTCTTTGTGCATGTACAGGTACATATTTCCTAGTCTAATGCACATCTGAAAAGTACATATTTTTGTTTTTAAATTCTCTAAGCCAGAAAGATAGGAGTTAAGACAATGAATGGTCCTAGAGACTGAGGTAGAAAAGGATTGAAGCTAAACCGTACCTGAGCATCTAAAATACCAAATACTGAGTTATATCCTTTAGCAAGAAAGGACAAAGTTTTAAATAAGAACTTTATACTTGGGACAGCTCCATCTCGCTGGCAGATAAGCAGCCCAGTCTCAGATCTCTAAAAGAACATGATACCACCAAATCTTCCCAGGCAAACTGGCTGAGAATTCTGGGTCCTTTTCAGAATAGGGACAAGCAGATTCATCCCCTTTCTGCCTGAAGGCAGAGCAGGTCTCAGTGATACCCAATACCCTCTGACAGAAACGGCCCAGCTCCACAACCAAACCTCATCAAACAGCCAAGCCATCAAACTGTTCTTTATCTATGGCTCCTGTATTGTGCAACCTCATACAAGGCCAAATGACACCTCAAAATTTCATAGTACTGTCAGTCCAGTAGGATCACAGCAAATCTGATTGAAAATTTGCATAGAAGACCACCAAGCCTAAACAATAACGCAGAAGGCTGAACTAGCACTAATCAGCTCAGTACATCCGCAGACAATGACTCATTGTGAGATATAATGATTATCGCAAATTGGGGCCTGAATGATAATACAGTGGGCAAGGCACTGCACACAGCTGACCCGGGTTCCATCCCTGACATTCCATATGGCCCCCCTGAGTACCACCAAGAATAATTCTGAGTGCAGAGCCAGGACTAACCCTAGTCACATCACCAGGTGTAACCCAAAAAAGGGAAAAAAATAAAGATCACAAATTGACATAAGTTTTGATAATTCCATTTGCCTTTGTTTACTTCATAACAAAGTCATTCATTTGTGCCTGCAATTATTTGGGCAGACTGGGATGGTGGGTGGGAAACTAGGGATAGCAGTTAAGGGAAAGGCACACTGCAGATTGGTGGTGGGACTGGCGGTAGAACATTTAATGCCTAAAACAACTGTATTTATGAACAACTTGGTAAATCATGGTGTTATAATAAAAACAAACTTTATACACTTAATTAGAATTCAAATTAAATTTGGAAACAGATACAAATTCAGGGTATGCGGAGGGACATCCAGCTGTGCTTAGGACTTACTCCTAGCTCTGCACTTAAGGATCACTCCTGGCAGTCTGCAGGGACCATATAGGGTAGAAGGGATCAAGCCCAGGTCAGTCCCGGTCAAGGCGAATGCCCACCCACTGTACTATCACTCTAGCCCCAGACACAGATCTTCAAGATAATAATCAACCCTTACATATAACACATTTAAATGCAAGTTTAAGGGGGGAACCCTACAACTCAATATAAACAATTCCAAGACCTATAAAATATTGTATGCTCTTTGAATACAATTTATCCACAGGCATAATGGATTAATTATACCTTGGGTATAATTACCACATGCATTACTATGGTACCACTTCAATAAAGCAATTTTTTTAATCATTTGGAGAAGCAGAAATAAGTTATAATACAAAGAATACAAACCAAGGCACCGGCTGCATAAAGCATTGCTTGATCATTAAGAAAATCTTTCTTTGCAGTATGATAACAACTATAAGCCAAATCATAATGCTGCACCAAAAAACATAAATCGGCCATTTTCCTGATTTGAAGCTCTGGTGCTTCTGGTGGATACCTGTCAATACAAAATAAGCGGACAATTAACAATTTATAACTATTGTAAATGCTCGAGCGGGTCCAGTAACGTCTCCATTGGAGACTTTGTTGTTACTGTGTCTGGCATATCGAATACTCTCGGTAGCCTGCCAGGCTCTCCGAAACTATTGTAAATAATATAAAATATTTAGCAAGCTATCAGAACATGAGAAAAATAACATATTCCTTATATGTATACATACAATAAAAAATGGGTCTCAATTCCTGAAGACATAAACTTCTCTTTTAACATACTGATGCCAGCACATACCAATGGTAGGTCACATTTGATTGTGGTTTAATAAGCATAAATGGCAACACTAGCATCAAGGAATCAAAGACATAATAAGCACAAGCCATCTTGAAAACAATCTTCCAGGGGAGACAGTACAGTGGGTAAGGTGTTTGCCTCATATGTGGCCTACCTGGGAACAATCCCCTGCATCCCAATTGGTTCCCTAAGCACTGCCAGGAATGATTCCTGGGTACACAGCCAGGAGTAACTCATGAGCATCACTGGGTGTGACCCAAAGAAACCAACCCTCCCCCGAAAAAAGAATTTTCCAGAGAGCCTGGCAAGCTACTGAGCGTATCTCGCCCGCATGGCAGAGCCTGGCAAGTTCCCCATGATGTATTCGATATGCCAAACACAGTAACAACAAAGTCTCCAAAGGAGACGTTACTGGGCCTGCTTGAGCAAATCGATGAACAACGGGAGGGCCTTTACCTTATCAGATGAACATATTCTCTTGAGATCAAGTAGACAAGGAATTATCAAAAGCTGAAGGGGAAAATTAATTTCTATGGAGATGAAGAGGATTTAAAAAAAAAAAAAACAAAAAACTTCTTTTTCCTAATTAAGATACAAACTACAAAATTCCAAGTCATTCTTTAAACCTCGGCTCCTCTCTGGGCCATGAGGTTCTGATGTATATTTCATGGCATCCTTATGCATCTAGGGTTACATATGATAGAATGAATAAATAAAAGGCTGTATCTCTATAAAAAGAGAGCGAGAGAGCAAGAGAGAGAGAGAGAGAGAATTTTACCAACACAGTATAACTTCTAAGATATAAGACTAATAGCCTTATGAGACTTCCTCAATAGCATTAACTTACTTCTCCTCAAAAGCACTTTTCTCATGGTCAAATTATGAAGTAAATGGTTAATTCCAAGTGGTTATATACAACATGGAAAAAAATAATAAAATCCAAAACAAATTTTAATTTTTCCTTTACAAAATATTTTGTTAAGTATTTTCAAATAAATGCTACCAGTAAGGAGTACCAGTCCACCAGTTTTGTGCTGATTTTTATTATGTCAGCTTGAAATTATAGTCCACGATGTTTTAACAAAAATTATTAGCGATAGCTAATCTATAATTTTATAAAGAATACAGAAAAAATAAAGTGTTTCCCAATAATTTTAATTTTAAATATCTCATTAGTTATTAGCTGAGTTTTGAGCAGTAAAATACTAAAAAGATGAGTTCATGTTTTTGCATAACTTCATATACATAAACACCAATTAAATAGAACAAAAATTTAAATGGTAATATTTTACTCACAGCAATCCAGATGTATTTTTCAGTTCATTAATGCTCTTTTCTGGAACTTTACTGCCACTAAACCATTTTTTAGTTGCAGAAAACAGAGATCGACTCAAACCTTTTCTTGATATTAACTAAGAAAAAAGATGAAATATGCTGACAAATTGAAGAATGTAGTAATTTTTTGCACAAAAAAATTCTACATAATTAAAACACCTTAATATTGAGAAAAACATTTTAAAACATGAATTTAAGAAAACTGCATGACTGATAGACTGACAAAACTTAAGTCCCTAGTACACAAGCCTCCTAAACGTCAAGATTTTAGTTTGCCTTGTTCCAGAAACTCAAAAATAAATCTTGAAAGAGAACAATTTGCCACAAAAATCTCTAGGACACCTGTCCCCAACCAAAACATCTAAGGAACTCTTGGAGGGGGGAATGCCAGCGCCCACCCAAACAAAGCCCTGGCAGCCAACTGCTCCCTCATCCCAAGTCTCTTCTACACCCCAAATCTCAGACATGTCTCCAGTTAGATTCCCTCATCTCAGGACTGAGGTTCACAGAAACCTACTGGAAAAATTCAAGTACACGGTCCTTATGGTTGGAAACTCCAAGCCTTCTCCTAGTCAGGACAGGCTAACTATCCCCACTTCTCTGTACTTCTGGAAACCCCAGCAGTCAGCACATAAACCACCTCTGCTGCCAGGTAAGTTCCAGAGACTCATAAATAAATCTTGAAAGAGGTCAACTAGCTGCAAAAACCTCCCAGATATAGTCCAGATGAAAATTTAACTACAACTGTATCGCCCAGCTAAAGACTACAAATTTCCCAGAGAATGCTTTACACCACTGACAATCCAGTAGCAGTACATCAGATTGGATGGGGTGTATTGTGAAAGCCAACCAATCTCCATTAACAAAAACATGAACACAGAAGGCTTAACCTGTAACAACATTCTTGTAATCCTCAGACAGGAATTTTATGTCCCCATGATGAGATAGAACAATTTTCACTAATTTTCTTCTCAGTATTTTTGGATCATTTTTGGTATTTTTGGAAGTATTTTTAGATCATTCTATTAACCATTTATTGGTAACATGCAATATAAAATAAATTATTGTGGGCCTGCTTATGGGGCAGACTTAAGAGAGTAGATGGGAAAATGGAGACAATGGTGGAAGGAAAGTAATAGCGTAGTGGGACTGGAGTTGGAATATGGAATGCCTGGAACAAACATGAAAAACTTTGTAAACCAATGTTTCAAAAAAAGTAAGTGAGTGTGTGTGGGGGGGGGGGGGCGGGGGGGGAGCAGGAGGGAGACCACACAATAGTAAGATAAAAATTTTTTTAAAAAAGATTTTATCATGTTCTTCAAGCTCGTGTTCTCCCTTAAACATGTATCTTGCTTGCCTGTCTATTTCTTTCCTTGCCTTTTCTACTCTGGAGAAGCCTATGCTCTCTCAAATACGTACTTCTCCCTTTTTCTCCCCTCACATATTTCTAAATGAAGTTTCAATAAAAATTTTGTTTCACAAAAATTAAAAGACTTAATAGGATTTCATCATAGACAGTAATGTCAGTAAATCTTTGTGCTTAAAAACTAATCAAAAAATTAAATCTTACCTGATCATTTAATTGCCGAATTGTTTTCTCTATATGTGGCAAAAGGCCTCGAAATGTGAACTCTTGTATAAACTGTCGAATTCTATCATGATCGGTAAGGGTTAAACATGCCCCATGAGTAATTCCAGCATTTGTTTTCTTTGTTTCATGCAATGAAGCAGATTTTAAATTATCTGGGCCATCAGTGCTGTTAGAAGGATCACTGGATGGATCCAATTGAAGTGGATGAGCTCTAAAGTTATTTGGTAAGCCATCTACTGAAAAACAGATCTTTCTGTTACTTTCAGAATGCAACAGCAACAACAAAATTATGATATCAACCAACTATCATACTGATAAAGTAAAAAATGAAGAATGTTGGAACCTTTATCTTTCTGTATTTTTTAGCAATCTACAAAAAAATAACATAAAATCTTTTCTCCCCAAAATTTTGGCTCAATACTTGATATTGCACTGTAGCACTGTCCTCCCATTATTCATCGATTTGCTCGAGCGGGCCCAGTAACGTCTCCACTGTGAGGCTTGTTACTGGGCTGGAGCAACAGCACAGCAGGTAGGGCGTTTGCCTTGCACGTGGCCGACCTGGGACGCCCAGGTTCGATTCCTCCACCCCTCTTATAGAGCCCGGCAAGCTACTGAGAGTATTCCGCCCGCACACCAGAGCCTGACAAGCTACTCGTGGTGTATTCGATACGCCAAAAACAGTAAAATACTTGATACACATAACAGAAATATTTAATTTATATAATATTTTTAAAATTTAATAATTAAGTCATTGATTTTAAATAGCACCAACGAAGCAGTTTAAAAATGCAAGATAATCATAAAGCTATCATTACAACTGTTAAACAACAATTAGCTTTCAAAATCACTATACATTCCATTTTTCCTTGTTTCCTAGTTTTTAAAGGATATTTAATATTATCCAAATAGAAAAAGAAACTCAAACTCAAATGGCTCAATAAAACCATAAGAAATGTGCTTATTACTATAATTATAAAATTTCCCCACTTTTTATCTATGCAGATCAGCATGCTTGGTCATTAGTGTAAATTTTCAATGAAAAGAGAAACTTAAAAAGTATATCAAGACCTTTGACTTCGTTATCTAATCCATCCAATGAAATCAAGTTACTATCAGAATTCTTATTTGAAGTTACAGTACAAGGGCCATCTTCATATGATTCCTACCAAAATAAAACAAAAACTCATCAGCAGTTATATTTAGCACATTCACCAACCATTACACCTGTTAACAACCATGGTTGTGCTGGTAACTAACAACGAAAGTCTCATTTGTTACACAATTCTGTTCTTTCAGTCCTCCTATTCCTAACCTCCTGCCCTCTTGCATATTCTGTCACTCCATTCCAAACTATGTCGATTGTTGGTTTTTTGTTTGGAGTTTTGATTTGTTTGTTTTGTTTTGTTTCTAGTTCACACTCAGCAATGTTCCAGGTTTATTCCTGGCTCTGTGCTCAGGGAACTATATGGATCAAACCTGGGTAAACCACATGGAAGACAAGCACCCTTCCCACCAGACTGCATTTCTCCAGCCCCTTGCTATGTTGTTTTCTTTCTTTGTGGTGTGAGGAACTGAACACATCATGCTCTACCACATCCCAGGCCCTCTTTACTATAATCTTATCTTTCATATTCGATTTACTATCTAAATACATCTCATAAATACCTGCATAGGTATCTTAAAGAATAACAGCAAAATAACTCCTACAACCAATGAAGTAGGGGAATAAAGAAGAATGGTATAAAATTTCCTAAGTATATTATTAGGTCAGAGTAAGAACGTTCTGAATAAATGTTTAAGGATTTTTGAAAACTGATACAGTAGTAATTAAATATACAAAGGCACTGGTTTTTTCAGAAGAAAGGGAAGATACAAAACTACAAATATACTGACTACTCCCAAAGACAGTAAATATGACAGACTGGAGTGATAGCACAGCCGGTAGGGCATTTGCCTTGCACCCAGCCAACCTGGGTTCAATTCCCAACATTCCACATGGTCCCCTGAGCACTGCCAGGAGTAATTCCTGAGTGCAGAGCCAGGAATAACCCCTGTGCATTGCCGGGTGTAATGCAAAAAGCAAAAAAAAAAAAAAAACAAAAAAAAAAACAAAACTGTGGGTTGTGACCCTACAAAGCACACTAACCAAATGTGCAGGTCACAATAATGTATTTTAATATAAATTTATGATTTATATCAATGTGTTAATTTTCATACATATTTTATATACCCAGGATCACATAAAACCTTCTCAGGGGAAGGGGTCAGAAGTGAAGACTTTCAGAAACTCTGGCTTAAAATGCTTGTCTGGGAAACTCAAGACCACTAATTCAAGTGCTCATTGGCCTGTGGGGATCAGAAGATCTTTCAATATAGAATAGCTCTCTTGTTCCATTTGTATTTTTGGAGACAAGTATATGCAGTTTAAAAAGAAAAATTTTTTTGGCGTTTTGTTTTGAGGCCACACTTAGAGGTGCTCAGGGCAGACTCCTGGCAGTGCTTGGGGACCATAGAAGGTGGAGATTATATTTGAGTAGACCCCGGGCAAGGAAAGCACCCAACCGGCTATACTATCTCTCTGGCCCCTAATGGTGTGTTTTACATGGGGGTTTTCAGAGTCTTTATTAAAATGGTGGTTACAGTGTATCCCATTCCCTTGCAGGGTAGAGTGGTCAGGATAGCCTCAGAGCATGCCCAGCACTGGGGAATAAGCTCACAAGCTCCTCAAATATTGAGCATCTTTTGGACCCTATTTTCTTGGGTATTCCCAGCTGCAGCACTATCAGTTACTTCACTGCGTTTGGGCAGAACTTGATTATTAATAAAGGCAGAAAACTTTTGGATCTTTAAGATGTTCAAGCATGCAATGCATCACCAGAGAAGAAAATACTGTCTCTAGTCATCCTTATTCCTAAAGCATTAAAGCCATTAAAACCAATCCAAGGTCTGGATTGGACACCAACTATGCTCCAATTATCGGTTTCTAAGAGGCAAGCCAGAAAATTATGAATAAACAGTCTTATATTAAAAATTCTCAGACAAGGGACTGGGGAGGAATTACAGTGGATAGGATGCCTGCCTTGTACATGACTGATCCCGGTACAATTCCCAGCACCCTGTATATCCCCCTACTGGTCCCAACAGGAGTGATCCCTAAGCACAGAACCAGGAGCAAGCCCTGAGCAATACCCAGTGTGACAAAAAAAAAAACAAAAAACTTCAGACAAGACAATCTGATTTCTGATGCCCTGTCCAGTATTAAGATACTAAATTAATAATTGCAATACTATTACTATTCTGGGTCGAGCCTTTTTTGAAAAAGGGAGCATCTTCAATTCCAAGTAATTCCTTTCTCACATTCCCCATGATTATTAAAAAAGTAAATAAAATAGCAGTACAGCACTATATCTAGATTAAAAATATACAAATTAGGCAGAAAATTATTAAACAATATATCAGAACATCAAAAATTAAGCTTTATTATAACTGATCATTAAAATAGCACATGAAAGTATACATAATGAAGTTTAAAAATACAAAATATAAATATATTTCTCCATTTATTTAAGAAATCCTCCTCCAAAGAAAAAAGTCAACTCTTGATTATCAGAACTAGGCATTGGAAATAGGTAGCTATGACCAAGAAGCAAACAATTCCATATTAAATATATGACACGGAGCAATTCCTGACACGCACCCACGTCGGCCAAGAAACCAAAAGTAATATTAAGTTAAGAAAGATGTTGGAAGAAACACTTCCTAAAAATTCAGAAGGAAAAGAAATCAAAGGAAAGTTAGGGAAAAAGCCCACCCACCTAAAAAGTATGAACTCCAAAAGGTGGCCATAAGAACAGCATGTTGAAAATGAAGGAAGGCAACCCCAGAGCATGTGGATAATAAAGAATTGACTGTAAGCATTTAGAGTAAATTAAATATACAAATCAAAAATTCTATTCTCTACATGTCTAGCCAATCAAATTCCATTTGTAATGTATAAACCATTTTTCATCTTTTAAAGAGATCAATAAACACTGGTATTAAATACCTGAAAGGAGTAAACAGAAGGAATTATTGCAATTAATAACAGCTTTTGAACCACTGATTTAAGAGTTCACAAGCTTATAGATCAAAACAAGGTAAAATTCCACAAAATAAATATTAATAACTCTATTAGTTAAACCAAGAAATAAATTCTACATTGATATCATGTCATAAAACTGAAACACAGTTTTTGTGGTTTACTTCATTGTTGTTTTTACATATACCTGGTTTTGAATACTATTTTTCTGGAGATACTGACTCCAAGGATCTGGTATCTGTTCATCTGATGCTCGATTAGATGCTCGAGAATTAATTTTAAGTAAATAGCAACCCTGAGTTCCATATTTCTGTTTCATTTCTTCATAAATTGATTCAGCTCTATAATAAAAAATGGAGAAAATTTTGCTGAGTAGACTTAAGGCAATGGTAAATATTAATATTACATGTAGGATTAAAAAAACAGTATGACTCACTGAAATTTAGCTTGGGTAGCCCCTTAAAATAATTATCAATGAGATGAAATGTTGCAAAATACTGCTCAAAGGTCAGAGTTCTGGTAACTGAACAAGTCTGAAAAACTACAACACACAAAGCCAGTTTCTTTGCAGCTGACCATCCAATAAGCACAGTGAATTTATCCAAAAAAGACTCACAGGATTTAGACAATACCCAATGGAAACAAACACTGACATATATATACACACACACATACTATATATATGTCAGAATTTGTTTATATGTATGTGTTTGTGTATATGTGTATAAACGTATACACATAATCAACAGAATTATGGTTTGAGAATGCTAAAGCAAGGGAGGGTAGGGGCAGTGGGATCAAGTAAGGTGGGGGGTCTTGGCACTCTGGTGATGGGCTTGGTGTGGCAGCAATGTAAGTATAAAATAACATCACTTTCATAATAAAAAAAAAGAAAATCTCTTATTACTCAGAATAGTTCTTTGGTTTCCGAGGAGAAAAATTATTTAAAGATAATGGTCTATACTCAGAAAAAACATAAAGAAATGCTTAACTGCATAGTCCAAATGGTACTGAGATATCAGAAAAAGTTTGAAACAAGATTAATCTCAATAATATCTTAAACCAGAAAGTGAAAATAAGTTCCAAACTCATTAAGGTAAAATTGCTCTTAATATTCCCTTATTTTTGTTTTGAGGCCACACCCAGTAGTGCTCAGGGCCTCCTCCTAGCTCTGCACTCAGGGAATCTCCTGGCCAGGCTCAGGGGATAATATGTGGTCTGGGGGATCAAAATAGGTCAGCCTCATGCAAGGCAAGCGCCTTACCTGCTGTAGTATCTCTCCAGACCAATATTATCTTATTTTTCAAAAACTTAATTTGCTTGTAAGAATCAGCTATTCAAGGGCCAACGCAGGTAGGGTGCTTGACATGCACGCAGCCAACTCAAGTCCTGTCCCTGGTACCCAATATGGTCCCCTGAGCACAGCCAGGGAAGATCCCTTGAGAACAGTGAGGAGTAAGCCCTGAGCATCGCTGGGTATGGCCCCCCAATTTTTTAAAAAAATTTTAAAGACCAGTCATACATTTAATCCAAATAACTAATAATGAATATTAAAAGGTAACCATAAAAAAAAGTCTGAATATTTCTGAGACTGAAAAACATCACTGCTAAAAATGTAAAGTGACAGAAGAGTGAAGAGTGTTGAAAGAAATGTCTACAAGTAACAGTCAAGAATTGTAAAGTTAGAGAAAAACTGGGCAGAAGATAACAGAAAAAATTAAAATTATATATTGAAATAGTAAGAAATAACAGCAAAGATTTGTAGCTCTAAAATGAAAAACATCTATAAAAAAACTTTTTAAAAAAAAGGGAAATGTACACTGGTGAAGGGATGGGTATTAGAACACTGTATAACTGAAACTTAATCATGAACAGCTTGTTAAGTGTCTCATAGTGATCCAATTTTTAAAAATTTTTTAAATAAAAAAAAGAAAAACACTCTATAAAGAATACAGTAATGGAGATATACACTGAACATTTCTGAAAAAGCATATAAAAAATCTAACAAAATGACAGCTATGAAACATAACATGGATAGAAGATGTAATTACATAGCCTATTAATAAATTTTCAGTTTCTTCGGTAAAATTAAATTTATAATTGTAAATAAGGCATGTCCAAATTAATAGTAAATCACTTATCAGGAAAAATTTGAAATCAAAAAAAGTAAAGCTTACCTCTGCTCATCTCCTGCACTTACATCATGTAAAAGTACATAATATTTAAGTGTATTTGGTATAAACCATTTCGGGTAAGAATAGTCACTGTTATGCTGAATTCGATGCTGTTCTTGTGACAACTTTGAAAATTGTTCCACAGGTTCAGCTTCACTAGATGATGCTACCAACATGCCTTATAAACTATATTAAGGTAATTATCACCAGTCAACAAAATTATATTAGAATAAACTTTAAAGAGATATTTCTGAACTAAAATATATCTGATTTTCTAAGTTTTCACTACAACGACAAAATAATTTCTCCAACACTTCAAATTCAAGGTTCTAAATAGGGGTTGAAAGGTTTTTTGTTACATTTTCACAGTCACCTATATGAAAGAATATACTTGAAAATAAAAATGAAAGATATAAAAATTATGCAACAATCAACATAATGTACAATTCTACCAGGTTTTTTCTATTCTCTGTGCATTTTCATAGTCTATCCTATCTCTTAACTTTTCTCTGCAACCTTACTTAAAAAAATAAAGACATAATTGGCAAAATAAAACATCTTTAAAAATGGAAAACTGCCTTTAAAAATTAGGTTTTGTATAAGCAATAATTACGTGGTAATCAGCAAAAGTAGTTAACATTAACTATTTATATGTTCTCTTTCTAAAGTGGTTCAGAAACTTGTTAAGCATAAAATATTCAAGCTGGGGGGATAAAGAAAAACAATAAGCCCTCAATATTTATATTCTGTAATCAAGATTAATTTGATTATACTAATACTGTATCTATAATGCTATTAAATAAAAACAACAGTAAAGGTAAAAGGTAAAGGCCCTCCCGTTGATCGTCGATTTGCTCGAGCGGGCCCAGTAACATCTCCATTGGAGACTTTGTTGTTACTGTGTCTGGCATATCGAATACTCTCGGTAGCTTGCCGGGCTCTCCGAGAGGGGCGGAGGAATCGAACTCGGGTCGGCCATGTTGGCCGCGTGTAAGGCGAACGCCCTACTCGCTGTGCTATAGCTCCAGCCCCAAAAAACAACAGTAATAACAAAAACTTGAAGCATTTATTAAAAAACAATTCCTCGGGGCTGGAGTGACAGCACAGTGGATAGGGCGTTTGCCTTGCACACAGCTGACCCAGGTTCTATTCCCAGCATCCCATATGGTACCCCAAGCACCGCCAGGAGTTTCTATTACTGAGCCAGGAGTAACCCTTGTGCATTACGGGGTGTGAACCGAAAAGCAAAAACAAAAAAACAACCAGTTTCTCTATGCTCTAATCCTCTCAGCAATTTGATTTCATATAACTATCTCTATAATTAATTACTTTCAAAATATTTGATTTTAAAAGAACATAAAGGTCAAAGGATACATGCCAAATAGTGGTTCAGAAATTCATGATCTGATGCTGGCATCGACTGAAGAAAGGTTTCTCGATAAGATTCAAACCATGGGGTAGTAGCTAGAATTAATAATATATCTGAAAGTTAAAACTCCTAAACAGAATTAATTTACAACAGACAAAATTTCAAGTTCATAATTCCTAAAAAAAGTTAAAAATAATTTCTACCAGTAAATAAAGCATACCTTTGTAAAACTGTAAATTATATAACATTTCTGTAATATGTAACATTTTGTAACTGTAAATATATAACATTTTCACATGTACTTGCAAGTGTGTATATATATACATACATATATATTTATACACACACATATACATATACACATATATACATAAACCTTTCCTTTTTCCTGGTTTTTGGGCCACACTTGACTGCACTCAGGAACTATCCCCGGATTAATTCTTGGGGGCCACTCCTAGTGGTGCTTAGGGGTACCATACAGTGCCAGGGATCTCCTGCATGACTATAGGCAAAAGCATGTATTCTAGCCTGTTGCACTCCCCAGCCCTATATTTATATTTTTATACAATGAACACATATTTTACACCATACACGGAAACATACATATGCTTGGAAAAAACTGAATTATTCCCTTCCCGACACCTCCAACCTAAGACCCTACAACCTTTTTACCTATCAATGTTTTTGCATTATCTACACAGGTAAGGATTTTAGAAGTAGTTTTGTGCCCCTGCCAACAGTAATACAGTCATAAATACTAGTTTTCATAAATGGCATTTCAGAACCAGGGTTCTTAACCAAGAGTGATTTTGGCCTCTGGAAAGCATTTACTAATGTCTGGAGATATTTTGGTTGCCTTAACTAAGAAGAGGAGGATAATACTGACATCAAGGCAAAGAAAGAGGTTGGTAATGATGCAAAATATCTTTTACTGAACAGAACAAAGCAGCCTCCTCCAATTATTTATCTCAAAATGTCAATAGTAGTAAGTTAACAAATTCCAACTTGTAAGCTGGTTACTCTGATTAAGACAGAAACAAGCTAGAAATCAACACTGAAAAACAAACAAACAAAAAAAGATAGAAACAAGCTTCTACTTAAATAAAATTCAAAACACACTAAACCCTATAATTAAATACAGAGGGGTATTTCCAATTCTGTGTAAGTGCCAAAACATATACATGATTTTTAAAAAGTTAAATCTCAATCCATGCTTAGCATTATAGTTATTCTATTTTTATTATCCAAATTAAGCACTGCCGTTTCACTAGGTTTAAAAGTTTCTAAATTGAGAAAGAGAGAGAAGAAAACTGCTTGCCATAGAGGCAGGATGGTGGGTGGGGGAGGGGACGAGTGATGGAAGGGAAATTGGGACACTGGTGCTGGGGAAACAACGTATACCAGTGGAAGGATGGGTGTTAGAACACTGTATGATTGAAACCTAATCATGAACAGTTTTGTAAGGGTCCATCTCACAGTAATTCAATAATAAAATCTTTTTAAAAAAGAGAGATAATGCAGCTTTGGAATATGTACAAAACTGGGACTAATCAAACTTTCCCCCCAAATTGGGCTTAATCGGGACTTCTTGAACTTTTTCCATTCTTGTCCCTTTTACAGAAGAAATTTTTAACTAAACCCAAGTTTACAGATATATAAGGTAGATATGTACGTAAACATTTACTGGTAATATATCATTAAAAAATGTATAAAAAGGATACAAAATAAAATAGAATGATCAAAATTCCTTTCGCGTAAAAGGATGTTCCATTCCTAGCTACTACTGTTAATTACAAAACCTCATATTACCTTTTGTTGCCCTCTTTATCACTGAAAAAAGCAAGTATTACATTCTAATGCTATGTTCAATGACTATGGGGTTGAAGAGGGAAATATTTCATCTTGGTCAAATAGCATTATCTAATGTGGTGGTATTTATTCAAAAATTGCATTATGAGGTCAAACCCAACAGTACTCAGGAATGATTCCTACATGATGGACAGGCAGGGGTCAGGAACCACAGGGAGCCGGTTACAGTGCCAGGAATGAAATCTGGGCCTCCCGCATTTGAGCTTCAGCTCTTTGAGCTATCTTAAAAGTTCATATATACAAAAGTTAACATTAGAAAATGCCTTATGAAAATAAACCATATACCATTTAGGAGAGTTATTACTTTAACAATGTCACTTTCATTAATCACTGTATCACTGTCATCCCATTGTTCATCGATTTACTCGAGTGGGCACCAGTAACACCTCCATCCACCCTAGCCCTGAGATTTTCACAGTCTCTCCTTACTCATCTTTCCCAACAATTGAAGGCTCTTTCAAGGTTAGGGGAATGAGACCCGTTATTGCTACTGTTTTTGGCATATTATGGTGTAGTAATTATGGAAAAAGGATAGGGAGTCTCATGATATGTCCAGGAATATGTTCACTCATATGTGAGGCTCGGCCCGAGCGTGTGGAAAGTGGCCTGGTGTGTGGTGGCAGTTGGGTAGTGGAGGTCAGCTGCCGGGGCTGGGTCCCTTAGGGCAGGGAGGGTTCTCACCTACCCCCCTCTGGGGCACCACGGCGCTGAGTCTCCATTTTCATTAATGTAAACAAAAAAGTCTCACCAAATACTATGTACTAAAGGTGGCAAAAACTGGAGAGTGAATGACAGACTAGTCTAGATAGCATGACCCATTTTCTTACCAATGAGGAAAAAAAAAAAGATTAGTTGTACAACAAAAGAATACATCTTCTTACCAATGAACTGTATATATCTTCCCCCAAGCCAGGCAGAATGTTTTAAAATTAATGTATATTTCAATTATCAACAATGATAAGAAAGGATAATGAAAATCTCGGTTAACAGGAAGAAATCTCTTAAGGTAAGAGGAAATGATATGATTATTTTTTTCTATGTGTTGCTTCAATGCTCCTTAAATCTAACAAACAAATAAATAGTAGATATTCAAAACATTTTATTTTCACGAGGGGCTAGTGTTTTCTAAATAACTAACTTAAATCTTCCAAAATAGCTATACCTATTGCAATACAATTTTCAGAAAAACACTAGAAAACCTACCTGATCATCAGGAGAGAAGGGGTAAAATATAAAATACCCTTTGTAAGAAGTATTAAGTGGGGGGAAAGCAACAGCAGAAATGTATGCATTTTTATGTAAGAAAAAATTAAAAAAGGCCACATGTGCTTATAACGTCAAAGAGAATAACTGGATAAAGCAAATAAATTATATATGGGAAAAAGAGAAGAGAAAGGGAACTCTTTTTTGTTCCCTTCTTAATTGGTTCCAGTAACTTCAGATTCAATGGTTAGTGTTCCCAATACATATCTAAAAAGGGCTGCCAGCTTAAGACCTAAACTAATTCTGGTCTGTCCCACTAAAACCAAGGTATTTAGTAATCTTAAATCTGAAAATGCCAAAACTGAATATTCCTTTTTTTTTTTTTTTTTTTTTTGCTTTTTGGGTCACACCCAGTGATGCTCAGGGATTACTCCTGGCGCTGCTCAGGGGACCATATGGGATGCTGGGAATCGAACCTGGGTTGGCTGCGTGCAAGGCAAACTCCCTACCTGCTGTGCTATCACTCCAGCCCCCAAAACTGGATATTCTTAACAGGATAGTCTTAACAGCATATTCTTAATGACCTGTACATGCACATTATTCACAAAAACCCTTAAAAGGATATTCTCAATGACCTGTACGTTATTCACAAAAGCTGAAAGTCTCAGCAAAATTGTTAAAACTAAAACTACTAAAAAATATTAAATTCCAAATAACCTAAATACTAATAATGATATAACTTTAAAGAGCTGCAGGTATAACAAAGCAGTTATTCTCAGAAAATAGTATTTTGAAGGGAACAATATTAACTAGATGGTGAATATTTAACTTACTAAATTTTATCTTAGACCAAAAATATAGAGACCAGAAGGCTAGGCAGACAGTTTAAGGACTGGAGCTAATGCACTGTAGTTAACAGATCACCAAATTTCATCCCTGGCACGGAATGATCCCTACACACTGCTGGGTATAATCCAGACAATCCCACTCACAGTCAGGGAAGCCGGAGTAGCACCAAAGCAGTACTGCGTGACCAGGACTGACCCATGAGATTCACACTGGTCAGGCCACTCAAGTATCACTGAAAGGGACTCCCAAGACCCAAGAATCCCTGGAGAGGGTCCTCTCAATTTTTTCACAACACTGTGATTATCAGAAAACATCATCCAACTTAGAGAATCTCAGAATACAAATGCTAAAAGACTCATAAAATGAGTATCTTACAAATCATAAAAAACCTTTGAAAGAACAAAGAAAATATTTGTTTTATAACCCTTGGAAACTATCTTTAAAAGACTATTTTCAATCCTTTTCAGAAAAATCACAGTATTTAAAGAGAAAGCAGTCATGAAATACTGATGTTCAATTTTAACTTCAGATACCACAGTGGAAGATTTTTTTGTTGTTGTTGCTAAATAAATTGTTCTCTAAGGCTAGGGGTTGGCTTGTCAGTGCGAGTCTCTGGGTTCAATTTCTACCACCACAAAGTAAATAATAATAAAATAAACCGTAAACACACAAATACACACAAACGACTTTCCTTAAGTCTATACCTCTTTGGGGGCCGGAGTGATAGTACAGTGGGTAGGACACTCACTCGCCTTGCATGTAGCCCATCAGGGTTGGATCCCTGGCATCCCAGATGGCCCTAGCAATCCCCACCAGAAATAATTTCTGAGAGCAGAGGCAGGAGTGGCCCGTAAGCATCGCCAGGTATGACCAAAAGAGCCAAAATAATAAAATTAAAATTAAAAATAAAATCCATACTCTTTCAGCCCTCAGCAAATCAAAGCTAAATTAAATAATCATTGTAAAATTGTGGTCCTATTGTGGTCCTAAAGGGACAGTCTAACCTGCATTAGTCCAAGAGAGGTAAGGGTACATTTATAAATTGCTTTAGACAAAATCACTCTCACGCTTTTTTTCTTTTTTTTTTCCTTTTTGGGTCACACCTGATTATGCCTAGGAGTTACTCCTGGCAGTGCTGGGGGATGCTGGAACTTGAACCTGGGTTGGCCGTGTACAAGGGCCTACCTGCTATACTATCGGTCCAGTCCCTCACTCTCACACTCTTGCAGGAGCTGCTTTGTAAAAGCAGTGTGCTATAACTGTTTTAGAGAAACAAGCAAAAGTTCTCTTATACCTGGATTTTTCCTGCTTACCATTTACCTTCAAAATAGCACCCCTGTTACACGATTAAGGAGAAAATTCACAGAAAACTCATCTTCTTAAGAAAGATTACTTCCAGACCCAAAGCTTTTGTCCTACCTAATACCACACCTCTTGCTATTCCTATGGTCCCCATCCTGCTTGTCTTGAAACCATATCCTATGTTTCAAGAAACAAAACAAAAATTTCAAGTCCCTCCTTCAAACTATAAAATATTCCCTAAATAAAGAGAAGCAACACTCCTATCTTCCCAGTGCTCTAGAAAGGAAAATAGTCTTTCCTTGCCTGTAAATATTGAAATAAGTGGTTTTCTGCCACATCCAGCAGCAGGTACAATTCAGCATTTATTTTTTTTTTCTTTTTGGGTCATACCTGGCAATGCTCGGGGGTCACTCCTGGCTCTGACTCAGGAATCATTCCTGGAGGTGCTCAGGGGACCATATAGGATGCTGAGAATTGAACCCGGGTCGGCCATATGCAAGGCAAACACCCTACCTGCTGTGTTATTTGCTCCAGCCTCAAAATTCAGTTTTGTCACTTATCATCTAGATATAACTGACCTTTGGTACTTTATTGTAAAATAAATTAAAATATAATTTTAACTTTTATAGTATAATATATAATATAATGAATTATATTTTGATTCATTTTATAAGTTATGCATAGAATTAACATTTAAAAAAAATTCTGAGGTGAGGGGAACGAGGGCACACCCAGCAATGCTCTGGGCTTACTCCGGTAAGGAGAACTCAACAGGCCATATGTGGTACTGGGAATCAAACCCACACCAGGCACATGCAAATCAAGTGCCTTACAAGCTGTAGTATCTTTTCTGGTCCTAACAGTATAACAACTGTTAAACACAGCTAACTCAAATATTGTATTCCACATTTTCCTAAATTTTTTTTTTTTTTTTTTTTTTTTGGTTTTTGGGTCACACCTGGCAATGCTCAGGGGTTACTCCTGGCTCTGCTCTCAGGAATTACTCCTGGCGGTGCTCTGGGGACCATATGGGATGCTGGGAATCGAACCTGGGTCAGTAGCGTGTAAGGCAAACGCCCTACCCGCTGTGCTATTGCTCCAGCCCCCCATTTTCCTAATTTTAAAGATAGGTATGACTCAATGAAGCACTGCTTAGAATGCTAATAACTGTTCATCAATTGTTGAGTCAACATGAAACATTCATCACATAAATATTAATCACAGGTTCATATACAGTTCCAGGAAGTTCTAGTTTATCATTACTTCTGATTCGTGCTTTTACACACGCTTTAAAAAACTCTGGCATCTCATAATTTTGCTGAAAATAAAAAAAGGTTGTATTATTTGCTCCATCTATAATTCAATCCAAAGACTTTTGCATTTCTACATCATCTAATTCCTTCCAGTAACCTTCATGCATCAGTTTCTTTCAACATCTGTTTACTCACAATCTATTAAGTAAAAACAGAAAAGAATGAAATGTCACACATAACCCTTACCAAAATGGGATGATTTAGGTTTTGTTTTAAAATTGTGTAAAGTCCTGTTAAATTATTGTCTATATGGATGAAAATACTGTCTTTTTTTTTTGTTCTCAGAAAAAAAAGTACTATATTAAAGTTTTGTCCTCAATAATATACTACTTACACATTAATCTTTGAGTTTAAGAAAACTGGACTTGTATTCTGAAGAGTTAAAATTGAGATTTCTGTATATGATTAATTTCTCCATTATCAACAAGGTACATGGAGGGACTATGCACTACAGCAGGTAGCCACTAGCCAGTTGTGAGCACTAGAAATGTGGCCTACCGGAACTGAGATGAGCCAGAGATATCAAAATACGTAAAAGATTCCAAAGGCACTGTAGCACTGTCCTCCTGTTGTTCATCGATTTGCTCAAGTGGGCCCAGTAACGTCTCCATTGTGAGACTTGTTGTTAATGTGGTTGGCATATTAAATACGTCACAGGGAGCTTGCCAGGCTTTACCGTGAGGGCGAGATACTCTTGGTAGCTTGCCAGGCTCTCTGAAAGGGGTGGAGAAATCGAACCCGGTTTGCCTGGGTCAGCCACATGGAAGGTAAATGCCCTACCTTCTGTGCTGTTGCTTCAGCCCAAAGGCAGTATACCAAAAAATAAATCTTGCATTACATGCAGAAGAGATATTTAACTGATATTTTGTATATATCGAGTTAAATAAAATGTATTACTATACCAAATTCCATCTATTTCTCTTTTTTGCTTTTGGATTTGGGGTGACAGCTGCTGTGTTCAGGATTTACTCCTAGCTATATGTTCAGGGAACACTCCTGGAAGTGCTCAAGAGATGGTATGGCATGCCAGGGATTGAACCTAAGTGGGCTGTGTGCAAAGGAAATGCCTTACCCACTGAATTGTGTCAATGGTCCCAGACATTCTTTTTATTTGAGGGGCAGTATCACATCCATCAGTGCTCGGGATAGGAATCATTCCTGGCGGGCTCAGGGAACCACAGGGATGCCAGGGATCAAACCCAGGTGAGCTGCATGCAAGGCAAGCGCCTTTACCTGTTATACTATTTCTCTGACCCCAGAAACATTATTATACCCACTGAAACTATTGAAAACATTGAACATTGAAAATTATGTCTTACAAATTTCTACCTGACTGTATTCATCTAGACTGCTGCTACCTTTCTGCATTCATCTTTGGATCTCATAATTGTGTCCACTGTCAATTTTCTTTTGTCAACAGTAAATATAAAAAATTCTTAACTGTACTCAATAAGAAAAAAAAAAACAAGACAAAGACAATGACTACAAAGATATTATATCCACCTTTTATATATTCTTGAAAAGAAGATGCAATACTTTGGGCAAGACAAAACTTAAAACTAAAGGATGATATAATCGATGACTTATTTCACTACTGCATCATCCTTCTAGAAAATTTCTTTCAATTTCTTACAGTTCCATGAAAATCATAACAACCATAATGTTGAAAATAAGAGAAATACTTGAAAATATTAGTAAAACAAGATCACTGATTCTATCTTGCACGATCCACTTTCTAAATTGCCATTTTTAATTTCCATTTTTTTGTTCTTTTTATTGTTCTTTTTTCTTTTATTTCTGGGTCGCACGTGGCAATGCTCAGGAGACCATCTGGGATGCCAAGGGTCAAACCTGAGTTAGCCACCTGAGCACCTGAGTACCTGAGCAAGGCAAGTATTGTAACTGCTGTACTACTGCTCTGGTCCCCAATTTAGGGAAAATATTAAAGAATATCTGACCATTTCTCCAAAACAAATTTCCTAAAGTACCACGGTTTTACAGAACAATAGCAAATGATATAAAGTTAGAAAAAGTATACTTCACATTAAGAAAAATGTAAGTTATTATCAAGACAAGATGCAACCCAAATTCAAAGACAGTGGCTGAATCTAGCAGATGGTTATAAACCAAGAGTAAACACAACAGATAATACTTGATAGTATAGACAAAAGTTGAACAACCATCACTAGAACACCTATGTTTTAGAAAACTTAGACATGCTAACTGAGACAAATATTAAAAAACATATTAACTGAGTGGAAAGAAAGATAATAGGGAAGAAGTAGAGTGGGAAATTTTGAAAAACTGAGACTACTACAGGAAATACCTGTAAATAATGAGGCTTCTTTCAATTCCATCAATGTTTCTTTCCAATTACTGTACCAAGGAACACTAGCCTTAATTGACCGATCTGACAAAGAAAATATGGCACTGTTAAGCTAGGTTTGTAAGAGAAATATCCAACATGTTATTTCTTAAATAGAATGAGTGAAAAGTATGCTGATTCACATTAATAGTAAAAATGTGAAGTGTATTTTTTAATATAGAGAATTTAAATCTTCTATAAAATCACTATCCAAACTCTCTAAATATTATCATTCCATTATAGTGCAATTTTATTAAACCAAATTCAGTAATCCATCATACCATATTCCCAGTCAAGACCAACATAATATAGCTGAAAGAGGAAGATGCCTTAAAGTAACAGGCAAAGATAAAGAAGCTTTTTCCTTCTGGGAGACAGGAAGAGAGTAGAAAGGGTTAAATAGCATGCCTGACAAAAGCTGAGGCCTAGAGTAGGATCCCAGCACCCCAGCCAGTCAAGCTATCTCCAAGCACTGCATGGGAGGCCCTATCACCATCAATTAAAAAGAAAACTATTTTCTTCTTGTATATACTGTATCCTAATTATGTGGGATTCTAAAACCTGCCTTAAAAGAAATAAAAATGATTTTTAAAAAGAAATAAAAATAAGTAAAGACTGCCTAAAGAACTGAGCTACATTAGTGCCTCCACCTGCTTTTAAAGGTAAGTATCCTGTGTAAAGATAATGGTAGCACTGTCCACCATCCTCTTGTTCATTGATTTTCTCAAGCAGGCACCAGTAACGTCTCCATTGTGAGACTTGTTGTTACTGTTTTTGGCATATCGAATACGCCATAGGGAGCTTGCCAGACTCTGCCGTGCGGGTGGGATACTCTCAGTAGCTTGCCAAGCTCTCCGAGAGGGATGGAGGAATCAAACCCGGGTCGGCCGTGTGCAAGGCAAATGCCCTACCTGCTGTACTATAAAAATGAGGCAAATTAATTTCTCATAACCAACTTATAATACTGTTTCTATTACCTACCCATCAACCATTTTAAATTAGATTTGAGAATCATTTTCTGAAGACTTTAAATCACATCAAATAAGTAACAATAAAGACTGGGCAACTGTGAAACCTATTCACAGCTTCAGTTCCCAATGAAGGAGTTCACTATCATAACAGCTCTTATACTCAGTGAGTATTTAAACACGTCAACTGAACACTGAAAATAATGCCAAGGGTTCCTGACAGCTGAGGCAAGTTTCCAATATGAAAAAAACAAACTGAAAAGTAAGGCAAATCAGAGACAAAGTAAAGGGGAAAAGAAAACTTAAAAACTGAAAGAAACCAACCCCAAAGTTAACTGCATGAGAGAGAAGAAAAAGAAAATTCAAAAAAAAATTGTTTTAATTAAAGAAAAAGAAGAAAAGTGAGCATTAAAAATTTAACAGAAAGTTTCAAAACATAGGGTGCTGGAGCAATAGTACAGTGGGAAGGTAGGTTATTTGCTTTGGACACGGTAGACACAGTTTCAGTTGCTGGTATCCCCTATGAACCCCTGAGCCCTGCCCAAGGGCAACCCTTAAGCATTGCCTGGTGTGCCCTCCCCCACCCAAAAATGAAAGAAAAAAAGCTTCAAAGATAAAGTCAAACAAATTTCCCAAAAATAAATATGTAGCAATAAAGACACAGAAATAAGAATATTTCTTATTTCTAAGACATACAGTTGAAAGAGTCCCAGACAAAACAGTATACCACTAGGAAGAAATTAACAAAGAAATACTATAAGAGAATCCCTCGGGCCTGAAGCACATGTATAACCAGATCTTTGAAAGTGTTTTATCACAATATTCGAAATTTTAAAATAATAGGAATAAAGACCTAAAAGCTTGTAAAAGTTGGAAAGAAAGGTGGAAGAGGACAAATGGCATTGATAGCATACATCTTCTTTAAAGCAATATTAAACCTGGAATAAAGTAATCAAATTCTAAGGGAAATTATTTTAGATTAATATGTAACAAAACACACTGGCAGTAGAACTGATAACAGTTTAACTTAAATATAAATATTAAATTCTAAAAATAACAATAATATATAATCAAATTTTCAAGTATTAAAAATATTTTTTCAGGCTTACCAATTTTTACCCTGCAAAAATCTACCTCAGGAATCTAATGGAGATAATCTTTCACCAAACCAAAGAAATATACCACAAAAGATACAAATGAAGGCTGCAAGGAAGAGGAAGAAAGGAAATCCCCATGACAATAGTGGAGAAAGGGGACTTAAAGAGTAACCAGTCCCAGATGGAACAGAACTTATCCCACTGAACTTATAATTCAGTATGATAAGTTTTAAGGGATCGTTTTGCTTTGTGGTTGTGTTCTGGGACCACACCAGGCAATGCTCAGTGGTTACTTGTGGCTCTGCTCTCAGGGATCACTGCTTGGGAGACTCTAAAGGATGCCGGGGATAGAACCCAGGTTGGACATATGCAAGGCATGTGCCTTACCCACTGTACTATCTCTCCAGCCCCCCTCAAAATTATTTTTGAATAATGCCACAATGATTTGTCAATTAACTACGATGTGTCAGTGTGTGAGTTTAACGTGGTCCTTTGGAGAGCCACAGCCATCTAAGAATTCTTGATCAACCTGAGTCAAATATTAAGGTGAAGATATCATTATCTATTAAAAACATAAGAAGGAGAGACGAAGGAAGGAACTGAGGGATGGAGGGAGGAAATGATATACATATGATCCAATAAATTAATCTGCTAAGCAGAAAATCTTACTGAGAAGTCCGAGAATAACAACAGACACAAAGAAATCAGATCAATTTGTTTTTTAAAAAGTAGCCAAAAGTCTTGAAAAAAACAAAATACACTATAAAAATGGGTATAAGTTCAATATTTGGCTTTGTAGTGAAGAAGCAAACAATATTTTTTTTAAAGTGAATAGTAACCAAAAAATTTTAAACCAACATTGATGAAATGGCCACAAAGAAGGGGAATAACTAGGGGCTGGAGAAATAGTACAGTGGGTAGGGTGCTTGCCTTGCACACAGCCAGCCAGGTTCCATCTCCAGCACCCTATATGGTCCCCTGAGCATCACCAGAAAGAATTCCTGAGTGCAGAGCCAGGGGTTACCCCTGTGCATCGCCAGTGTGGCCCGAAATTCAAAAAAATTAAAAAATAAAGGCGGGGGATAACTCAATGTTCATCAATCATGATATAAATTAAAACTGACAAATCATAGCCATACAAAATATTATTTAGAAATAAAATAAATACCAGAAGAAATTATAAAATAATTACATTAAAGCAGGGGATACAGAAAACAGCTCATTATTATTCTTTTTATGTCTTTTAAATATAGTGTCTATGTGTATGAGTTATTTAGTTAAAAAATAAGCCTTTTTTTTTTTGGTCTTCAGACCACACCCAGAGGTGCTCAAGAATCACTACTGTCATGGTTCGAGGAAGCATATGTGGTGCCTGGGATCAAACCTGGGTCAGTTGCATGCAAGGCAAGTGCTCTACCAGGCTTGTTAAAAATTTTTTAACTAAGACTTCAGAGGTTAAGAGAGCACTCAAGTATAAAAACAGGGGCTGGGGATAAAGGTTAGTGGTAGTGCACTTAACTCTATGTGTGAGGGCTGGGTTTTATTCCTGGCACCACCAAAAAAACAAACAAAAAAAGTAATAAAAAAAAACAATATCCTAATCAGTAGCTGAATAAATAGCAGTACTCCTACATAAAAAAAAAAGAAAAGAAACAATACGTGTCTTTAAATATGATCATGGGCTGGAGTGATAGCACAGCAGTAGGGCGTTCGCCTTACAAGCGGCCATGTTGGTCGACCCGAGTTCGATTCGTTCGCCCCTCTCCGAGAGCCCGGCAAGCTACTGAGAGTATCTCACCCGTACGGCAGAGCCTGGCAAGCTACCCGTGACGTACTCGATATGCCAAACACAGTAACAACAAGTCTCATGATGGAGACGTTACTGGGCCCGCTCGAGCAAATCGATGAACAACGGGAGGACCGTGACCGTGAAATATGATCATTACCTCTCCTTATGCAACTTTAATACATTTGCTTATGCCATATCTCAGGAACAATGCACTATAAGGCACTGAAAATGAGATTGTATTACGATTACGGATTTATGTTTGTCTCCCCACCAAATTATAACATCTCTATGTCTCAATGCTAAGCACAAAGAAGTAAGTCAGTAAAACCTGGTACATGAATTTAAAATCCTATAATACATAATCACAGGGTTAAAGGTCTAGGAAAGGTCCAAAAGGAGAATACTATAGCCAAATTCTTATTTTTTAAGAATAAATGAAATCAAGTTTGAATGAGTGATTTATCCAAATGCTCTTCTAATATACAAATTTGGACACACTAACATTCCCCTCCATACTTCAACATGAATTCCATCTCTTCTAGAAATATTCGTATTTTGCCCCATGGTTGAAAAATGCAATGTCAGAGGCAACTCAAAATATATACCCTAAAATTATGATTCTTTTGTAAAACTAGTCGTAATATCTTAACTTAAAATTACCAAGTTAAATAGAATTCGATTCATGACAAGGAAATACTGTATTTTTGAAAATTTTACAAATATTTCTAACTAAACAAAGTATACAAAAACTACAACAAACCAGTCTTAAATATATAATGTCTTGCATATTTTAAGAGATTTTTAATATCTAATTAGTGTTAAAATATCAGAATATACACTATAGTTATCTAAAAAGATTATTAGAGTGCTGAAATACTCTAATAGATTTTTTTTAACTTCACCCTCTAAAAAAAAAAATCTATCTCACATTCCTCCATTCTTTTTATACTGGAAAAGAATCACACCAAATACTGCAAACTCACTTTATATACTAAACACAATTTTACCTATCTTGTTTAGAAAACATTTGTCATCTAATTCAGATTGAACACTAAAAATATTAAATATTCATACAGTATAAACACTTCCTTTTTTTAACAGTAAGCAAAATAAAAATACAATAAACACTACTTTTATTTTGTTATAAAAGTATATGCTGTTTTATCTACCACTATTTCTTTTATTCAAGAATTACACATATGCTTTAAGTATTGGGAATAAAATACCAAAGTTTCTGCTCTTGTGGAGCTTATAATAATTTCCTTATTTAAAAAATAAAATGAAATCAAATGACTCACAGCTCAAATGGCTACCTACTTGACTCCTTAAAAAAATATTTTATCCACGTTATATTGTCAGGCTCTAACAGTCACCATGTACCATACTGAACAATTTCCAAGTAACAAAAGTAATTTTTCTAAGAATTTGATTTTAAAAATAATAATGAATCTCATTACATACCACTGATGTTGAGGTCATAATCTCCTGCTGTAATCACATTAGCTACTAATCCTTCTGCAGGCTGACTGCCAGAAACAACATCATTCAAGAGCTTCCGAATGGCTCCAGGCTGAGGTGGTTGGGTGATAATGTTGCTTACAGCTATCTTCAAATTTTTAATTATGTGAAGCTGATTATTAGGATCTCTCATATGAACTTTAAAAAAGAAAAGAAAAAAATCTTGAAGTTAATTCTACACAGTGTGTAACAACCCAACTATGACAATAACTTTTTTAAACTGAGTTAAACGTTTACCCAAAAGAAGATGCTCAAACCAGAAATCAGAAAATTCCGTCAGTCTTTCAACTTACAAATGACTTAGAACATTCCCACGTAAGCCATAGAGGCAGTCAGTCTAAACTTTTCCTAAAACGCTGCTGACAACTCTCCTAATGTAGACCCTTGTCTCCTATTTTTGCAACTGCAAGGGATCAAATCGTTGATACCAAATCTCTAATTCTTACCTAACTCTAAGGCAGGTCATGGGCAGAGCTGAGAGCTGCGGTATCAATATTGAAAATAGTACGGGAGAAGAAAGTGGAATAAAATATTGCATGCAAACTTCCTTTGCTTCCCCTACAGACAGCCTGCATTCACAGTGCCTATTCAACTACTAAAAGACAAGTAGTCACTCTATTACAGAATGTTGATAGTGGGGGAGACAGAGTGCATGTGAGAACTGTAGATATCTGAGAAATGTCTGTGCCTTCTGCTCAATATTTCTGTGAACCTAAAACTGCTCTGCAAAAAAAATTAAAAATCATTGTTGAGAACAGAACAATGGTATAGTGAATGGGAGCTTGCCTTGCTTGCAGCAAACCCAGGTTTGATTCCCACGACTCCTCTAGTCCCTGGAGTCCCCCAGGAGTGACTCCTGAGCACAGAGCCAGGAGTAAGCCCTCAGCACTGATAGGTGTGGTTCAAAAAGTCAAAAAAAATTCACTGCCCAGATACTCTCCCTCAGAACAAAGTCTCCTGCCTCTAGCCTGAACCTTTTGGGGATTTTATAATCTGTAGTTCCATGTTTCAAGGCCAAGGACCAGGTTCTCAGGAACCCAGGGCGTGACAACCTACATACGTACAGCATATAATGACAGCATACTTTTCCACAGACTTAGGCAAGATGATTATTTCTACATAAGTATCAGAAGTAGTCCACCCATTATATTAAGAACCCAAATTTTGTTAACTTCATAACTTCATTTTAAACCTGAGTTTCCCATTGATTTAACTGGGTTATGCTGAACAGATTTTTTTGTTTTTGGTCAGACCTGCCTGACCAAATTTAAATTTGTATAAATTTACATCCAATAAAGTGTTCCTAAATTCCGGTGTTCGATCTCCATTCCCAAATTTTTTAAGGAAGAAATTATTTTAATAATACATAAGGTATGAATATATTCACTTATAAATATTTGTACAGAAAATAAGATGTAACTTTCATTATAATGGCCGGCTATGATGAAGCAAGGAAATTAAACTAAAGAGAAATAGAAGGATGACTTCAAAATTTTAGGCTGGGGATGTAATTCAATTTTAAAGTGTATTGTATGCCTGTATGTTTAAGGCCTAAGTTCAACCCCCAACTCCACCAAAGGACAGAAAATTTGAATTGTTCAGAATTCAAAGTGCATGTCTGATTCCTTCTTAAAGGAAATAAAAAGATTAAGTAAATAAAACAAAATTAATGTATTGGTTCTGTGTAGTGGGCAATTGGTTGTTTCTTGTAATCTCTGCATTCTTCTGTAATTGTTCATACTTTCTAATTTAAACACACAAGTCTCTCTCCCTAATTAAACTTAACAGTTTATCTTATTATGAAACACAAAAAGGAAAAGCAAAATACTCTTTAGTGGGACATTCAGATATCTTCCTTAAAGTTGATTCATAATTATCAAGTAACATAAGAAGATAAGTGTATTAAATTGCAAAATTTTTAATTGGCAAGATGAACCGCAGTTGCTGGTCAACCTGACCACTGCTTCCAGAGGCTTCTCCAGCCCAGCCAATTAACAGACACCCGAAGAGGACCAGAGACCTAAGTTCACTCTTAACTGCTGAAATAACGAGAAATACAAGTCTTCCGGTCCTTCCAGTTTACACTGAAGGCACCAATACCTGTAGAAGTCCATAATCATGGGGTGCCCCTCACTGTCTCTAGGGACTAAATCACTAGAGTATTCACTCTCATACAAGTGAGCTGTGACACTCAGCCCAGAGAACAAGCAGCACCATGGGGAAACTGTAAGAATCCACCAAGCCCCTGGGGAACATAAAGTAACAAAATAGGAGACTTAACACCCAAGAGTGGCTGAGATTAGTACCAGGAATTTTGCTCCATGGCTTGGAGGTCAGCCACACATGCTAGGGGAAAAGGGAGCTCAGATAGAGAAGGAAACACCAAATAAAGGTGTTGGGAGGATCCTCCGAGGATGGGAGAAGCATGCTGCAAGTAGACTATAGACCAAACATGATTGCCACCCATTGCCTCTTTTGCAAACCACAACACCCAAAAGGAGAGAGGGAACAAAAGGGAATGCCCTGCCACAGAGGCAGGGTGGGGTAGGGGGAATGGGGGGTGGGAGGGATACTGGGATCCGTGGACGTGGGAAATGGGCACTGGTGGAGGGATGGGTATTTAATCATTGTATAATTGAAACCCAAGCACAAAAATCTGTAAGTCTACAACTGTACCTCATGGTGTCTGGCTAATAAAAATTAAAAAAAAAAAAAAGAACCCACCAAGCCCAAGAATTAGCTCAGCTCTACCAGACACCAACCAGCTCTGTGACCTCCTAACAGACTGCATGGACACCAGGAAGCAATGTTCAATATGCTGAAATAAATAATTGTATAGGTAAAAGAAAATTATGAACGCAAAAATGAGAAACTACAATCAGAAGTGACAAAACTGAAGCATGGCAGATGAAACAAAAACACAATAGAGGGACTGGAACAACAGTACAGAGGGTACAGCGTTTGCTTTGCACATGGCTGACCTGGGTTCGATTCTCAGTATCCCATATGGTCGCCCGAGCACTTCCAGGAGTGATTCCTGAGTGCAGAGCCAGGAGTAACCCCTGAGCATCACGGGGTGTTGTGACCCAAAAAGCCAAAAAGCAAAAAAAAAAAAAAAAAGTCCCACAATGGAAGAACTCAACAGCAGAATAACAACAGATGAAAAATTAGTGAGTCCCCATGATTGGATACTGATAAATCCTAGAAACCAACAAAAAATGGGGATAAAGTCTAAAAAGAACAACACACCAACTATAGGATGAATTCAAGAGGAGTTCAAATTGCACCCAAATACAAGGGGCCGGAGAGTTCCCAGCCAAGAAAGCATCCAAACAAGAAAATACAAGACACACTGTAATCAGAATGACAAACAACAAAGATGGAATATTCCAAGCAGCAAGACCAAAAAAGTAACTTACAAAGGGAAAACTACAAACAAAATTCACAGCATATCTATCAAATGAGATTCCTCAAGCAGAAGAGAATGGGGGGGAGGGGGAGAGAATTGGGGGAGCGTGGAGTGATACAGTAAAGTTCAATGAAATGAATGGCTCACCAAGGGTACTTTACCCAGCTATATTATTCAGATTTTATGGAATGATATAAAAGTTCATGAATAATCAAAAGCTTGGGAACTTTGGGGCCTTAAAACCAGTTTAGCAAGCAGAATTAAGGTGCATCTTTAAAAGGGATTAAAAAAATTCACAACTGCACATAACTTCTACAAAATGATGACAATAAATTCCCTTATCTCAATAATCTCACTCAGTATCAAGGAACTAAACTCACCAATCAAGAGAGACACAGTGGCAGAATAAATCAGAAAATGAAGCCAACATTCTGTTGCCTACAACAGGAACATCTGAACAGTCAGGGTGAAAAAAGACTTGAAGTCAAAGGCTGGAAAAATAATAATCAGGCGACAGAGAGACAGTACATGGGTAAGGTGCTTCCCTTGCATGTGGCCAACCCAGGTTCTCACCCCGGCATCCCATATGATCCCCGAGTACTGCAAGAGTGATTTCCGGGTGCAGAATCCAGACTGAGCATCTCTGGGTGTGGTCCAAACCAATCCCCCCCCCCAAAAAAAATCATACATCAATAGACACAAAGCATTTGACAAGATCCAACATCCAATCATAACAAAAACTCAATAAAATGAGGATTAAAGGAAATTTCATCAAGACAGTTAAAGCTACTCTTTTAGGACTGGAACCATGGAGGGTGCAGGAGAGAAGAAAAAGAAGGTCCCTGCTAAGCCGGCAGCAGTGGCCACCGGAGAGATGAAAAAGAAGCTTCCTGATGTGCCAGAAACCCTGAAGAAAAAGCGAAAGAATTTTGCAGAGCTGAAGATCAAGCGCCTGCGAAAGAAGTTTGCTCAAAAGATGCTTCGAAAGGCAAGGAGGAAGCTAATCTACGAGAAAGCTAAGCATTATGACAAGGAGTATAGGCAGATGTACAGGACGGAGATTCGCATGGAGGATGGCGAGAAAAGTTGGCAACTTTTACGTCCCTGTGGAACCTAAATTGGCTTTTGTCATCAGAATCAGAGGTATCAATGGTGTGAGCCCCAAGGCCTGAAAGGTGCTACAACTTCTCCACTTTCGCCAGATCTTCAATGGTACCTTTGTTAAACTCAACAAGGCTTCGATTAACATGCTGAGGATCGTGAAACCCTATATTGCCTGGGGGTACCCAAACCTGAAGTCAGTAAATGAATTGATCTACAAGTGTGGTTATGGCAAAATCCACAAGAAACGAATTGCCCTAACGGATAATGCACTAATCGAGCGAACTCTATCTAGGTAAATACGGCATTGTCTGCATGGAGAACCTGATTCATGAGATCTATACTGCTGGAAAGCACTTGGCTCTTCAAATTATCTTCTCCCCGGGGTGGGATGAAGAAAAAGACCACCCATTTTGTAGAAGGTGGAGATGCTGGCAACAGAGAAGACCAGATCAACCGGCTGAGTAGACGGATGAACTAAGGTATCTACCATAGTTTTATAAACTGGTCAGTTAATAAACGATTGCTTTCAACTTGAAAAAAAAAAAGACAGTTAAAGCCATTTACAAGCCCACAGTAAACGCCGTAACGGTGGGGGGAAAAAAAAAAAGAAAGCTTTCCCTCTAAAATCAGGCACAAGACAAGGTTCCCACTCTCAGTATTCCATATAATATTGGAAGTCCTTCCATAGCAATCAGGCCAAGAAGGGAGATTCTAAGAGTATTCGGGTAGGAAAAGAATAAGTCAAATTCTCACTATTTGCAGATTACATGATTTCAATCTCTTGAAAAAAAATACCCTACTGACTCTACAAGAAAGCTCCTAGAAACAAGAGACTTGTACAGTAAAATGGCAGGCTACAAAATCAATGCACAGAAACCCATGGCTTTTCTATGTGCAAATATATTAGAGAAAGAAATTTTTTATTCCATTCACAATTGTGCCTCAGAAAATCAAGTACCTAGGAATTAGTCATTACTAAAAGTGAACACAAGAAGTAAAATATATCACTATGAAACATTTTAGAAATACTAAGTTAAATAAGAGATATTACTGAGGGGGCTGGCAAGATATACGCAGGTATGGTGTTTGCCCTGCACACAGTCCTGGGTTTGATCCCCAGCACCCTATTAAAATAATTCCTATCCCACTCCCACCCTGGCCAAGAGTGATCCCTGAGTGCAGAGACAGTAGTAAAGTCCCGAGCACACTGGGTGCAGCTCAAAAAAAGCAACAAAAACAAAAAATATATATTATTTAAACTAATTACACTTTTTTAAATTAATTTTTATTAGTGAAACACCGTGAGGTACAGTTGTAGACTTACAAATTTTTGTGCTTGGGTTTCGATTATACAATAATTACACTTTTAACGTTACTAATTTTAAATTTTATATCTGTGACTCAGTTATTTCTTTTGACAGCAGAGCTCTGTAATTGAATCAAGTAATTCTAAATAGGAAATGACTTGATTAAAAACACATCTTGATTAAAAATGCCTGTTTTCAAATCTGCCCCATATATGACAAAAAAAAAAGTTACCATCTATTCATCAGTCCTCAAACTTAAAATGGCAGCAACACAGGATGGGGAGACAGCTCAAAGGGTTGGAATAGATGCTTTGTATACAGGCACCCCAAGTTCTTTTGCCGGCACTACAGAGGTGGTCCCAGAGAACCACGGGATGTGGCCCTAAATAAATAAAATGGCAATTACAGTAGCTACTTCATAGTATTCAATGAGAACTAAAATTTAAAAGTAAGGGCCTGAGGGATAGTACAGCAGGTAGGGTGTTCGCCTTGCAGGCAAACAACCTGGGTTCCAAGGCAGGCACCCCATACAGTCACCCAGCACCACAAGGAGTAATTCCTGAGTGCAGTAGCCAGGAGTAACCCGTAAACACCGCTGGGTGTGACGCCAAAATAATAAATAAATAAATAATAGATAAAAATAAAACGAAGAAGCAACAGAAAACACAGGTTAAACAGGGGGGGAAAGCACACACGTTGAAGTTGATCACCCTTTAAAAAAAATAGTAAGGAATATTGTAGGAGTTTATGTGTCCAAGCTATGTATGCAACCCCACCCTTCCTTAGTTCGATCCCAGACACTATCACATGTCCCCATGAACACCACGTTACACCGCTAGAAATCCCCGAAACACCACGAGGTGTGGTCACCATTCCTGAGCATGTCTGGAGTGGTTCCGGGGATCCCGGGCAGCATAGGGTCCAAGCAGCACCTGTCTGTCCTTCGGCCGAACCTGGTTGGCACACTGAACCTGAAAGGCCCCAGACCCCGGGGTATCGCCTGGAAGTCCCCATACCCCAGAGAATTTAAGATGTCCCAGAGGAAGACCACTGGAGCCAGCCAAGTGCTTGCCTTGCAGGGAATGACAGGATCACAAGTTTAAACCCTCAGTGAGTGTCCCACACGCAACGAGGGCTTATCCAGACCACTCTGGATTTTGCCTAGTAGCTCTGCCTGTGATCCCTGGTACCCAAGTGTTACAGCCGCACCGCAACCGAAAAATTTTGGGGCAAACTTCAATGAACATGAGGCCAGGTGTGGGAGGAGCGAGCAGGATGGGCATCCCCAGGCAAGCACGACAGCTGCAAACTGTGGAAGCAGTCCAGCCAGCCGTGTTTTTAACCCAACGCCTACATAGGCAAGGGACAGGGTCTAACGCAAGTGCAAAAAACGTCAGAAAGTAAAGCAGAGCGGTAAACGGCCACGGGAGGCTAAGGAACCTGGGGAGGAAAACGCAACCAAGAGTTCCCAAACTTTTTTTTATTTTCTCCCTTCATCTTTTGACTACTCTTTCTCTCAACACAGAAGTGACAAATGTCTTCTCGCAAAGAAAACACACCTGTGGCACAACCTATACATGCATGGCACAACGCTTTGCTTGTGAAGTCATCGCAACCCAATAAACGTCCAGCGGTTCACTCGGCGGCGTTCGAACCCAGAAAAATCAAGGTAAAAGTGCTGAACACAAAGAGTAAACCCTTTTTCTCTGAAACACACGTAAGGCCTCTTGCATCCCTATAAATCTAAATAAAGTCTATTATCCGGCTCGACCACAATTTGACCTGACTTCCTCTCCGCCCGGAAGGCAAATGGTTTGTTGCGAGTTCTGAACTTCTGCGGGCTGCTTCTTGAGAAGTTTAGCAAAAAGCTGTGTGCCTTAAGAAACTGCTCAAAATCCTCGGAAGTGGGAAAGAAAAAAAGTGAAATGAACTGAAACAAGACGCTCAGAGAGAACGAAATGCGCTTCCCGGCACCAAGGATGCAATAAACGCAGACAGCTTGGAAGCGGCCGGGCAGGTCACACACTCCCGAGGCTTCCACGCACGAAGGAAAAAGGCGGCATCTTCCTCCGCTGCCCCGTCGGGAAACTTCCCAATTTCCTCCCGCCGGCCGCTCCAGGAGCCACCGAGTCCTACTCTTCGCGCTCAGGACCCGCCAGGCCGCGCGGCCGAGGAGAGGCGAGGCGAGGGCGGGTGCCGAGAGAGCCCGCGGGGAGACGCGCCCGTCGGGTCCCCGGGTGCAGGCTCGGCCGCCCCGCCGCCCCGGGAGTGTGTAAACACCGCCCTGCCCCGCGCGCCCCCACCCCCCACTCCCCTCTCCCGGCCCGGCTCCGCGGGACCACGTACCCTCGGAAGTGAGGCGAGAGAAGGGCTTAAGCAACTCGGCGAAACTGAGGTGATTGAGTCGCGTGAGCCGCTCGGCTTCCTCGCTGCACAGCGCGGCGACACAGGGGACGAAGGAGTCCGGGATCAGCTCCTGCACTGACTGGACACACTGGGCCATCGCGGCGCCCGCCCGCGGCCCCCTCTCCAGAGGCCGAGCCTCCGGCTGCTGCAGCAGCTACCGCCGCCGCCCGCCGGCCTGGCCCGGCCGGGCGGGGCCCCGCACCCGAGCCTGGAGACCAGTAGACGGAGCCGACGCCCCCGACGCCTCGGTCCCCGGAGCAGCACACGCCTCCGGCCCCGACGCGTCACCGTCGCTCCTCAGCGCTGCCCCCGGCGTCTTCGCATTCTGTCCTGACAGGCGGGGACGCCGACGATCGCCAGGTAAGCCTCCCGATGGCAAAACCTTGGTCACTGCCTCACCGGAGCCGCCATGTTGAGGCCGAACCCTGACCCACCGGCAGTACCAATCCCGGCAGCCTCCGCGCTCGCCCCTCACGTGACTCTGTTACCAGCGGTACTAGGGGCGGGGAAAGAGAGGCGAGAAGAGGGAAGTAAAGAGCGACGGAAGCCGGTTGGCTGACCGGCGCCGGAAGTGGTGAGACGGAAGTTCCCCCCCACCTGTGCTGGGCGGGGCGGAGGGCGGGGCTATGGGAAGGTGGGCGGGGCCTGCCGGAACGCTGGGACTCCTGCGACTTCAGGCCTGCGGCCGGCCCGAGTTCTACGAACTAGCTTACGCTGCAGATCAGTGCGGTCACGGTACTAAAGTGACCCGCTGGGCTTCGCTCCCGCCCAGTCTCTTTGCTGTCCCCCGCCTCCCCCGCGATCTCTACCTGGAAATAATGGGCAAATGATGAGAACCATCGCGCTGCTTCTTCCCTGTACCCCCTTACCCTTCTATCGCTCCCCAAGAGCGACAGGGCACACCTGCTCCGGGGAGAGTGTGCTGCCTGTCCACTGTTAGTTAGAACTGGGCATGGGAGCCGGAGAGACAGCACAACGGGCCGAACACTTTCCATGCACACAGCCGACCCGGGTTCGATCCCCAGCACACCTCATCTCCGGACCCCGAAGAAAATCCTGAGCATCGCCGGTTGTGGCCCAAAAAGAAAAAGAGGTGCATGTATTATTTAAACACAGCCGATTAGAAATGGACTGTCCCCAACGTGCACTAGTCCTTGGAACAGAAACGTGTGCGCGATGCTCTCGTGGGAGCTGCAGTTAATTTGAGTAGAGAAGAAACTCCAGCGCTACTTTTTTGTTGATTTGGGGGAGACGGTTTGCTTGCAAACGTCCTAACCGGTCTTCGTTTTTCACGCTCTGCTAGGGCGTTCCCTTCCTTAGTGGAGCGCAGGTGCTTCCAAGGCTGGGCGGGGGGCGCACACCCACTCCCAGCCGTGGACTTGCTCCGGGCGGTGCGCAGGGGACCAAGGATTGCTGGGATCAAGCCCAGGTTGGCAGTTACCTGGGCAAGCGCTTTAACTCTTGTATTATCCGACCCCCTCATTCATTTTTATTGATTGCCCCCTCCATTTTTTTTTTCTGGTATCGGTTGTCCTTACAGTAAATTATTGTAAGGAATGTTCTTCGGTAGTTTGGATTCCTTCTGAATTAAATGCCCAAAGATAAGATAAGTGAAAAATGGTATTTCCATCATGCTTTCCGATGCCTTGATTTTCAGAAGGACATGGGACATACTGTGACTGCTAGACATCCAACCGTGGGAGCTTTTATGACAGGTGAGAAGTGTGCCCTCTTGTAAACAAAGAAAAGGGAAGGAGGGGAGGACAATGGGACATAATATTATTAGCATAACAACAAATCAGTTTAGAAAAGAGAATACCAGCATGCTGGGAGTCTGGTTCTTTTGCCTCCAGTATCTGTGCCTGAGCACGTTGGGGAATTCTTGTATCCTCAGTAGTACACATATTCTCCTTTGAATAAACTGAGAATCTCATGCTGTGTGACTCAAATTACAGGGAACTTTATTTTTGTAATGAGGCACCTAAATGGGAGAATACTTGTTATCCTGTATCTAGTACTGAAATCCAAATAGTTGTTTAAAGGGTGATTTTTTTTTCTCATTGTGAAATTAAAGCTACCTGTATTAAACTCCAGAAGAACTTCCAAGAATTTAGCCTAAATGTTTTTTTGAAATTTAATACACATACCATAAAATATGCCCCTTTAAAGGATACAGTTCAGTGATAGTCAGTGATAGTCAATCCTTTCATTGCAGACCACAACACCCTAAAGGAGAGAAAGGGTAGAGAGAGTAAAAGGGAATGCACCTGCTGGGGGGAGGGGTTGGGGAATGGGGGAATGGGAGCAATAATGGGAACATTGGTGGTGGAGAATGGGCACTGGTGGAGGGATGGGTACTCGATCATTGTATGACTGAAATGTAAGCGCGAAAGTTAGTAAGTCTGTAACTGTACCTCTTGGTGATTCATTAAAAAATAAAAATTTAAAAAAGAATTATAATTTTAAAATAAGGCACAGTTCATTGGCTTATAGTATATCTGAAAAGATCCATTACTATTCATTCATGAATACCTACATAATCAAAAAGCCTGTACCTGTTCACAGTCACTCTCCACCTCTGTTGCCTTTCAGCCCCTGGCACTCAATGATCCATTTTATGTCTGCCTATTCAGGATGTTCCATATCAATGAAATATGAAATAACACAATATGTCACCTTTTGTGTCTTTTCACATTTAGCATGTGTTCAATGTTCAACATGTTGTGATTCGAATTAGTCCTACATTCCTTTCACTGCTGAGACTAAGTGGATTCTTGTTTTAGTTTTATTTATTAATGTAGTGGTTTGGTGGCCAGGCCTGTGCTGAGGTATTACTCCTGGCTCTGTGGTCAAGGCTCACTCTGGGCAGGCTTGAGGGACCCTATGGAGTGCCAGGGATTGAACCTTGGTAGTCTGCATGCAAGGCAAGCATCTTACTTATTATACTATTTCTCAGCCCTTGGATTCTTGATTTATATATTGACTTTATAGTTTTACACTATTTTTATTTCATATTTTTTAATTAAACCACCTTGAGATACATAGTTACAAAGTTGTTCATGATTGGGTCTCTATCATACAATGTTCCAACACCTGTCCCTTCACCAGGGTACATTTCCCACTACCAGTGTCCCCAGGTTCCTCTTTCCACCTACCCCCTCCCCACCCCTAATCTGCCTTTACAGCAGGAACATTTCCTCTCTCTGTCTCTCTCTGCTTCTCTGTCTCTTTCTGCCTGTCTCTCTCTCTCCCTTCCTCTCTCCCTCTCTCTCTCACTCTTTCCCTCTCCCTCACTCTTTTTCTTTCTCTCTTTTTTCTTTTGGGAATTATGGTTTACAGTACAGATACTGAAAGGTTGTATGAATCCCTTTACCTACTTTCAGCATTCAGTTCTTGCTCAGAGTGATCATTTCGAACAGTTTGACACTATTTCTACAAAGTGTTTCTGATTGAAATTTTATTTCTTTCTTAGTCTAGCCTGGACATCTGTGGCCTTATTCTTCCAAGACACTATCCTGCAGATTTTAGCTGCCTTATTTGCTTTCTAGCTTTCAGAAATTCAGGAAAGAATATGGTGGGGGGGGGATGGGGAAGGCTACAGGAATAGCTAATGGTTTAAGATCAAATTCTAGCAATATTCAGCAATCTTTTTCACATATCACTGGTCCAAATGAGTCTTGTAGTCACGATTCTTCAAGGAGACAGACTAGATAGGTTAACAAGGAGGAGATTGAGAGGAAGTGAATAAATACAGGGAAATCGATTATACAGAGTCTCCACCATATATTAGGGTAAAGTAGCACTGTAGCACTGTCCTCCTGTTGTTCATCAATTTGCTCGAGCGGGCACCAGTAACATCTCCTTCGTGAGACTTGTTGTTACAGTTTTTGGCATATCAAATACTCCACGGGTAGCTTGCCAGGTTTTGCCATGCGAGTGGAATACTCTCGGTAGCTTGCCGGGCTCTCCGAGAGGGGTGTAGGAATCGAACCCCGGTTGGCCGCATGCAAGGCAAACGCCCTACCCACTGTGCTATCACTTTGGCCCAGGGTAAAGTAACTTGAGAATATATTTACTTGGAGATCAGAGGTTTCACACTGCTCTCATTTATCTGACTCTTCTGAACTCTGGTTCTTTTTGCATCATATGTCCTCTGAACATACATTATGTCCCGGAAAACAAGGTACTACGATTGCCAGATCTCCAAGGACAAGAGGTCATGTGACCACCCTCAAGGACTAGAGGTTAGGGTCTATCACTAAAAGAAGGAATGCTTGGTGACCATAATAACAATGCAAACAACTAATGACGTCTTTTCCAACACAGAATGTGAGACCCTGTTTCCTTTTCCCCCCTAAAGCAACGAATCCATAACATTTATTATATATTAATGAGCTATAGCGGTAGGGCGTTTGCCTTGCATGCGGCTGGCCCGGAGGTTCGATTCCTCCACCCCTCCTGGGGAGCCTGGCAAGATACCAAGAATATCTCACCCGCACAGCAAAGCCTGGCAAGCTCCCCGTGACATATTCGATATGCCAAACACAGTAACAATAAGTCTCACAATGGAGATGTTACTGGGCCCACTCGAGGAAATCGACGAACAATGGGAGTACAGTGCTGAACAGTGCAGTGCTATAATATTCTATATTAATACTGATAAACTTTTTTCTGAGTTACTTTTTTTTTCTTTTTGGGTCATACCCGGCGATGCTCCTGGCTCAGCACTCCAGAATCACTCCTGGTGCTGCTGAGGGGACCATATGGGATGCTGGGAATCGAACCCGGGTTGTCCGCATGCAAGGCAAACACCCTACCCGCTGTACTATCGCTCCATCCCTGAGTTACATTTTTTTAAGGTTTTTTTTTGTGTGTGTGTGTATGATATTATCCACTTCTTCTGATGGCTGATATCGTCAAGTTTGAAATACTGCAGTCAGAAAGGTTGGATTCAAAAAAACTCCACTGCTCTCTGGCTCCTGATGGAGTTGCTGAACGGCCATGATCCCAGAGACTCCGAAACAAATCTCGGAATCCAGTGGCTTTTGGCAGAAATTCCTCCAGATTTCACAATCACGATCATCCTGTTGTTCGTCGATTGCCTCGAGCAGGCACCAGTAATGTCTCCTTCGTCCTAGCCCTGAGATTTTAAGAAGTGCCATATTCAAGGCTCTTTCAGGGCTAGGAGAATGAGACCCACCATTGTTACTGGTATTTGGCATATTGGGTACGTCACGGAGAGTTTGCCAGACTCTGCCATGTGGGCAGGTTACATTCGGTAGCCTGCCAGGTTGTCCAAAAGTAAGAATGAGATAATAAGATGTCGCACGGCCGCGAATGTGGCCGCGTGCTTCCAGGAGCTGGGTTTTGTAGTCTCTGGGTCTTGGCCGTTGATGGGATTACATGGTGCTGGGGGTCAGTTGGTGGGTGTGACCCCTGCCTACTGGAGGATGGAGG